AGTTACTTACCCGACCTATCGCTTAGAACTTACTCGTCTAACGAGCTCTAACCCCCTTATACCGCAGGTGCATAACACTTATGCTCTAGAAAATAGACATTACCACCCTTCCGACAGGGTCACAGCGCGGCATCCCGCGCCTCCGATGTGATCACGCGCCTGCGACTCGGTCTCGACGATAACTGGATGTTCCCTATCGCCTTTGGCATAGGCATGCCACTGTAAGACGTCCGATGGGTCGATAGCCACCACATTTCTGCTATCTTCGAGCAGCCTCTTGATGTCTTCGTGTATCACCCGCCTTGCTATATCGTTTAGTGAATAGGTTTCGCGAAATGACAGCACCACAGCGCAGGCGTCCATATGAGGTCCAGTAAGCTCTCGCTCAAGCGCACGAGTCAGCCTCTCAGAGCCTGCGAATCTGACAGCCCCACGAAGGCTGAAGACCATGACTTCACGGTCACAATTGGGGTGGTGTGGTTCGGTGTTGTTCACGCCCGCGAGTATTTTCGCAACCTTGATCTGTACAGTAGAGAGCGCAACTTGTGAGCTGTTCATCAGGTGCAAGCCCATATCTGCGGAAAGCTGTTTACAGATGTCCACTGATCGGAGACTGTTGCCTCGCTCATCAAGCTTTGGAGAGAAAGCGGCGATGCCAACTTGGCCAGGTAGAGCACCCATAATAGCGCCAGACACTCCACTCTTCGCACTGAAGCCAACAGTGGCGAGCCATTCGCCCGAGCCATCATACATGCCGCAAGTAGCCATGACAGATAGTACTTGCCGAGCACTCTCGGCTGGCATGATACGCTCGCCGCTGATCGGATGAACCCCAGAGTTGCAGAGCACAGAAGCCATCATGGCAAGGTCTTTGACGGTGACGTTGATTGAGCACTGCCGGATGTAGCCTCTCACCGCTTCAGCAGGATTGCATGTTATAATACCAGCAGCTTTGAGCATGTAGCCAATGCCCATATTTCTGTTCGCGTCTTTCCATTCCGCTTCGAATACCTCTTCGTCGATGTGTAGCTCCCGTTCAGCAAGGCGTGATAAAGCATTAAGAATACGCTCAGTCCTTTGCTCAACTGTTGCATCAGGCGCCACAACGAGTGAGTGCGCAGTAATAGCTCCAGCATTGATCAAGGGATTAAATGGGCGATTGCTATCCTTCTGTAAGGATAATCTGTTGAAAGCATCGCCCGACGGTTCCATGCCAATCTTGTCGAGCACAGCCTTGAGTCCAGCATCTTCAATGGCTATTGCATAGACAAACGCTTTCGAGATTGACTGCATAGAAAATTCCAGCTCGTCGTCGCCGGCGGAGTAGATATTGCCATCGACCATCGCAAGCGCGACGGCTAAGCGAGAGGTGTCGGCTCTCGCGAGAACATCGATGTAGCCTGCCGGCGCGCCTTCTTCAATCGGTCTCGCTTTCTCTAGCACGCTCTGCAGATAGTCCGGTATGGGAGACTTCATTACGGCATGTGTATCGTGCCTTGAACTGAAGGTGACTCGGTGAATCTGTGAAAGGTTTGTTCTGGCTTGGTTCTGGGCTTGGCGCCAACACTCACCACGCCATCTGAGCAAGGATTGGCGACCCACGTAGTCGTTACTCAATCGTTTCGCCAGTTATACTTCACGACAAGGGAAGCCATAGATAGCATACAGACAAGAGATGGGATGGTGAGGTATTCGAGCAGCCTATAAAAAATACTGTCCCAAGCCATTATGTATCCACCCATTAGAGCACATCTAGCACAACCAAACTTCCGCCGACTACTCTATCTCATATAGAAGCTTTTACTCGTCGCCATGACGTTTAGAAGCCGTTGCGCGCAAGCCAGTCGAACTGCGCCTGAAATCCCATCGTCGCATTGTTGTGGAACGGTAGGCCATGGCCACCGCCCTGCTGTAGATGGATCTCAAAGTTTCTGGCCTTTGGAAACATCTCATTCGCCTGTGTAGTATTATAAGTGTTCTTACAATCACCAAGACACACAATGAAGTCAAACTCGCCGACCAAAAGCTGCACAGGGCCGGTGAATAATGGCGCGGTCGAATGCTCCGCGTAGAGCACAATACCGGAGCCAAACTCCACGACTGGCTGCGGCTGACGAATAGCGTAAGCGTAATCGAGGAACTCAGGCTCGAAGCCGCCGATGTGCGTGGTCGTGTTGACAGACGAAGAGAAGAACCCCGTCTGCAGGGCCCCTGAAGTGCCCGGGATTGCGTAGCCAGAGCTGCTGTCTGCGAAAAGGTACGGATCGTTCTGGGGGGCATACTGAAGATCGCCGGCAGTCTGCCTTCCATCAAAGACTTCTTTGCTGACCAAAAATCCAGTCAAAACGGCAGCATCGGACAGTGTCGGGTATGAGCTCAGGAGACCGTAGGTGGTGATACTACCGACACTGTGTCCGACGTGAATGATCTTGTCGAAGTGCATGCTAGCGCTCCCCGAGCACGACCATGATGATGCGATGCTGGCGATGGTACCATTCCGGACCATCTCCGTCAGGACCCGCAGGACCCGCAGGACTTCAATATGAGCAGGCAATTGTATATCCGTGTAGGCGTCCGGCTTGGAAGACTGGCCGGTCCCAATACGATCATAAGTCAAGATGCTGTAGCCAGCCGCGAGTGCAGCACGGACGTACGAGTGTTGATCCGGTTGTAGCATAACCTCCCAATATCGGCTGTCGAAGCCTCCGCCATGAGTTGCGATCTGTAGCAGGTTCTTCTTCTTGCCATCGGCAGATACACAGAGCTGTGCGTGAATGTCGTATGTTCGAGATATGGTAATGTTCTGCGTGATTCGTTCGACCATGGATGGACTGTCCCAGGTGTCTATATCCTGTGCAAAGTGGATGGCATCTATGTTATTGTTGACAGGCACGACGTCGTAGAGATGTTGGCGAGCTGTGATAGGCACCTGCACGTTGAATGTTGTGCAAGGCTGTCGAGGAGCCCTATATGGAATAGCGGATGCTTTGGCAAACTTCACGCCATAGTGCCCAAGCAGAGCAAGGAGGGCAATACCGATCATACCCATGGCTGCCTCCTGTGATCGAGTGAAGACCAGGCAGATTCGAAGTGTGACTCGACAGGTGCTCAGATTGGGAACCTACCATCATCTTATACCGCCATCAAGCATAGCAGCCATGGCTGAACGAGTACGTGGGGCGAAGATAATGACTGATGCGATTCGTACTACGCCGTCGATACATCGTGTTCAACATGCGAGAGCGACTCGGTCAACAGCCACTGACCTAGCATCGAGAAGATGGTCAAGTTTGACTCCGTTTTCGCTCGCGTTCTCGTTCCCAGTCATTCAGCCGCGCATTGCAATTCAGTCTTGATGTCAGTGCTACAGGAGGATTTAGCATGATCACGGTGCCGCGTCTGGCGACTGGTTGCATAGGATACCTGGGCATCTCGCGGCAGACTACGCGATACTGTGCAGGTTGATGTCAACGATGAATTTTGCAGGCCAGAACAGAAAGGTCCCACTGTAACATTCTCGCACGCTATCAGCTATCAGCGGAACTGCTCCCGACGCTAACGTCGATCAACGGCCCAGGCGGGCAATCGACTGCAAAGTGGCTTGCGTCGTGAGGATATAAGGACAAACCTTCGCACCGATGCCGGTAGTCTCTCCTGCACCTCAGCTGGAAGCGACATTGTCTACTCTGCCGGTGGCGCACATCTAGACAGACTCTGGCCATCTTGGCTTCGAGATAGCCAATCTGGCGCTTCCGACGCACCGCGGGTATCATGTACCTGTTTTCTTGTGGAAACGATGCACAGTCGTCGGAGGGGGAAGGCGGATGCAAGCTGCAAAATGTTTATAGACTGCGCTCCCACAGTGCAAGTCCCTTGTTTCTGTCGTCTTCCACGGTGTTATCATGGCCACGGAGAAGAGCATGTATGGAGTGCCCGCCGCTGCCTCGACTGTTCATGATTACAGCGAAGTACCTCTGTCCGATCATGGCAATACTCCCAACCAGAAGACCGCCACTGCAACAACCACTACAGCCGTGTCTAGAGAAGATGACAGTCTCATTGCAAATGAGAATGGCGTGGCCCAACCCGATCGTGACCTGAAGGCCGCAATATGGACAATCGTACGCGGTGTAGCACTGCCGTGCATCCCGATCATCGCCGTCTCAGTGGCACTACTTGCCATGGTTCTCACAAAACGCATCAAGATTGAGTCCGGCTGGCCCGAGTTGAGGCTCGCTGCTGCGGTCGATGATGATCATACATTCGCACACAAAATCCGGGAGCTTAGGCATGAAGCTGGACGGTGGGCATACTATACCGACCGCAACCCCACCACCATCACCACGGTCGCTTCCTGGACAAGCAGAGTTCTGCCTTATCTGACCAGCTCGATCATGGCCTTGGTTGCTTTCTTTGCCGCCCGTAGCATTGCTACGAAATCCAAGCATAGTGGTGGTGACGACCTGCCGACGCCCACGGAAGTCACTCTATTGATCAATCTGCTTAGCGGTAAGGATCTAGCCCCGCTGAAAGATACATTGCTACACCGTTGGGCATACAAGAAGAAGTTGGCAGACCCAATCCCATTGGCATTTACGGCTTCGTCCCTGATTACTTTTGTCGGGTATGATGCCTCTATATCTTGTGCAAGCGTTCATAGTCTGAAACACTTCGTAGAATCTCGATTCCGATCATTGATACTTGGTTCGGTATCTCGACCACCCCTCAGACAATTGTTGTCTTGAGCAACAACACCGACGGCCCACACCAGTATGGAAGATCATTATCAACCACACTTTGTCCACAAGGCCCCGGGAGTTTCGTAGCCAGTAGCGGCCTGCAGTGGATCCCGTGTAATCTCGCTGTAGACGAGGAAAACAATGGAGATCGACTGGCAGATCCCTCCTTCCAGCTCATCGGAGCAGATAACGCAGCCAGGGTGGCACAGAATTTGGGCATGGATAACACAGTCGGCTTATACAAAGACATCTGGGGCTCGGAGAGGCCCTACTACTACTATCTTCAAGACCCTTAGACGGAGAACATTTACCTCGATTTTAAAGCCCAGACCTATGCGATGACAGCACAATGCACACCAATCACGCAGCAGTGCCTACCGAACGTGCAATGGCCAACATTCGCCGACAACGCGGACAACACTGCATATTTCAACTGTAGTTCCGGTTTTCAGGGCAACTTCTCATTTCCCGGCGCTGCACAATCAGTGGACGCAGACAGCAGTGACAGCTCCGGCGGCGCCGATGTGAACACAAACTCCCTTAATCCCACCATCGGGATGTCCTTCGCCTCGGACGCCAATTTGACTCGGCGCATCGGAGCCTACAACCCTTTACTTTCAAACATAAGCATCGACTCGGTGTCTGCCTTGCGAGGCTCAAACTTGAGCTACGAATACATCCAACCGCAGAACCCGTCCTACTTCGGCGCCTGGGCAGCCGGCTTCCCAACCTACACGGCCTTCCTCAACAATCAGACCGCACCAATGAGTAACGTCCTTCTAAACGACAGCCGAATTTACCGCTCGCCAAGCACAGGCAACACATATTGGGTACTTCCCTGTTCCGCCACTGTGCACGAGTTCAACTACACCAGGGTTAACGGCAGCATATCCGACATCTCGCACCGCCCGGCTTCGCCCGAAATGGCCGCTCTCTTTGCCGCGCCGTTCGCAGTCGATGGCATCGCCGTTGCCCGGCAGCAATTAGTGCTGAGTGCCATTGAAGCAAGCACAGCCTATGGTATGCAGAGTCTCGCAGATCGTTTTGCGACAAATTGGGTGACAGCAGCTCTAGATTTGTCAACAGCAGTGATGCAGAAAGACAATGCTCTTGTAGGGCAATCACGCACTTTTACAGGACCCGTGGCAAGGGTACCAATGCTGCCACTTTACCTCCTCCTCACCTTGAAGGCGTTGTACGTGGTAGCAGTCATTCTATTAGCAATGGGCGCATACTGCTTCACCCATCCGGCGGAGACGGAGTTGATCAAAGAGCAACTGAGCGCGAATGGCCTGGCGGCAGCGCACTTCGATGACCCTGGGATTCTGCAGAAGAATGCAAGCAGCACACTAGAAGAAGTGTTGCTTCCCACACCGACGATTCCAGACGAGAAGACTGGAGGCGCCACACGGGGCTCGAGCGGAAAGGAGGGCGAGGAACCAGTACCCGGCGTCACGAAGACAGTGACGGGACTAGACGAGATGACGGAGAAGCGCGTGGGACTCGTAGCACGTGCGGATGGGGCGTGGCGATTTGCTGTCATTGCAAATGGGATGTGGAATGGCATCAAGCCGATCGCAGTCGACCTCATCGGCATCGAGGCGAAGAATGGCAACTTGGCCCAAGCCGGAGATCTGATTACGGCTTGGAGGAAATGAGCATGCCATCCTTCATAGATCCATACACACGACGCACATGTGCACCTTTAGCTTTGCCCTTCTCTTTGCTGTACTAGCACTTCCTCTCCCGTTGACCACATCCTGATTTGTGTTGTCTGGCTTCGCAGTAGAATTAGACCTACTAGACATCGTTTCTTCGACACAGCTCGGCAACCGAAACAGCCGGGCCGAATTCGTGCCTCGCGAGCTCTCCACTCCCTCCCACGCCATGTGTTGTTCGTCGGTTGCGGGATCCAGCGGTCGGACAGCACGATGGAGGCTGTTTCCTTGACATGACCATGATAATACGGCAATAATAATGCACCGTTTTGTGATCTTCTCGCGCGTTGGAGAAGCTTCTACCCTCACACTCAACATGGCCTCACCAGAAGCGATCCGAGCTCTGCGGAGCTTGCTTAGAGGCGTGCGGAAGCCTACACACGTGAACAGCCAGCAGCGACGGCGACTCTGCTCCGAATGTCTGACGAAGCGGAGACAGTTGGGCCTCCGCACCCAAGATCCTCTAGTCGCCAGCAGAGTCACCCATACGACGCAATGCCCACCCATCCGCACCATGGCCACTATGGCCGACTATCGCCAGAGAGAGTACAGACGAGAAGGCCCATTGCAGGAGTACAACAATCGAGTGGAAATTGGGAAATTGCGGGCAGGCGACGAGCATCAACACATGGTCATCCAATCGCTGCAAGACCTGTACGACGAACTCCTCAAATACAACCCACCCATCGTCAAACACCCTACGATCGACTCCCTCCAACCCAAGAAGAGCACTTTCTTCGGCTCACTGTTCGGAGGAAACAGTGGAGGTGCGGCAAAGCTATCGCTAGGTGATGCACCGGGGAGGCCGAAGGGTCTATATCTATACGGAAGCGTCGGATCCGGCAAGACCATGCTCCTCGACCTCTTCTACGAGTCCCTGCCTAAGGGCATCAAGAAGGAACGGATACACTTTCACAACTACATGCAGGAACTGCACCACGAAACCCACAAGATGAAGATGGCGCATGGCAACGACATTGACGCCGTGCCCTTCGTGGCAGCCTCCATGGCCGAGAAGGCGACCATTTTATGTTTGGACGAGTTCCAGGTGACAGACGTAGCAGACGCCATGATCCTGCGGCGAGTAATAGAAAGTCTCATGGCACATGGAGTCGTGCTGATCACGACGAGTAATCGCCATCCCAAGGATCTGTATCAGAATGGCATCCAGCGCCAATCCTTCATTCCCTGCATCAACCTCCTACGCGAGAAGCTGAGAGTGATCAACATAGACAGCACCACAGACTATCGTAAGATACCTCGTCCGCCATCAGGCGTATATCATCACCCTTTGGATACGGCGGCGAAGTCCCATGCGGATCACTGGTTCAAATTTCTGGGAGACAAATCTGACGCACCGCACGAAGCCTCGCACACAGTCTGGGGCCGCGAGATCCACGTTCCGCGCGCATCGGGCAAGGCGTGTCATTTCACATTCAATGAGCTGATGGGTACTGCAATGGGAGCAGCAGACTACATTGAGTTGGTGCGAAACTACGATGCTTTCATCGTTACAGATGTGCCAGGAATGAATATTCGATCGCGGGACTTGGCGAGGAGATTCATCACCTTCCTTGACGCTGCCTACGAGTCACGAGCGAAACTGGTGCTTACGACCGCGGTACCGCTAACTCAACTCTTCATGGCCGAGGACGAGATCGGGAAGGCTTTGTCCGAATCCGCTGAGAAGGGCGACAAGAAAGCGCGAGCAGCGAAAGCACAGACTGATAACGTCTCAGACGCCATGCGCTCCCTCATGGACGACTTGGGCCTGGACATGGACACGCTGAAGAAAAGCAGCATCTTCACAGGCGATGAGGAGGCGTTTGCATTTGCTCGAGCGTTGAGTAGACTGTCGGAGATGGGTAGTCAAGAATGGGTGGAGCGTGGTCTTGGGATAGAGAGGATGCAGGGCTTGGCGGCCTTGGAAGGCGACGGTGCTGCAATGATGGGCGAGGGGACTGGTGCGGCGAAGAGGGAGATGGGAGGGAAGCAGGAGGTGGAGGATTGGAAGAAGGTCAGGAGTTCTTGGCGGCAGGATAGTTATTGAGGTGATATCTGCAAACTCATTACGCACTGGATGGCAGAGCAAGAAGGAAATGCTTTCTGCAATGCCAGCGGGCAGGTTGCAAGACTTTCGGAGACGCGTGCCTACCCTACGTGCTCATCACTTGTCAATTCGACTCGACAGTGGCTCCTCTTCGTCGAATGAGAGCTTGACCAAGTTGAGTCACGACACTCGGGATAAATGTCACCACCCTACCCCTCATGTCTCGCCCATAAATGCGGCTTGGACATGACCGCCAGCAAGATAGCTTCGCCTTGCAAGCCTATTGACTTGCAAACCTTTTCCACCTCCGCCAGATGCACTTGGATTGCATCTCTGCGAGCCTTCAGGAATCGTCTTTCAAACTTTACCCGCGGTCCAGCCTTGGCGTCGAGATAGAGCTTTATGGTCCCAGCATCGTACTGAACGGACAGAGTCCTTAGGAGCTTCGTGATATCGCGAAGAACATCGCCGGCAAGACGTCGCATTGATTCCGCGCGCAATTGAGAATGTTCAAGACGGAAGCTGTAGAAATGGAGGCCGAAAGTTTCTGTAGAAAAGTGGAGCAGCTTCTATTCCAACTTTTCGAGAAACGCTGAGGATGTCCGGAAGCTGCTTTTCCGTGGTACCGCACTCGTCGATGACGCATCCGTTGTCAGAAGCGTTACCGGAGGCGTGGTCGAGGAAGAAGAACATGTAGATCCTTTTGCGGAGGTGTTCCGGCAAGCCCAGGAGGTTGAAAGGCCGAGCATACCGCTCGAGAGCCGCAGTGCTCTTGGCACATCGACCAAATCGTAATCCGGGATGCGCGTTGCCACCACTGGGTCCACGGTCCTACGCAGAAATATCCCAAGGTACTCGAAGACCTCCTCCAATCGCAGCGCTTTGAGAGCGTCTTTGCGGCTCTTCGTTCGCTTATATAGTCGGTAGGGAAGAATCGCGGGCGGAGATTGTGCTTCCAGCTGTGCATGCAGCTTCTTGTGCCAGTCGTCGTGATTACCATGGTACAGCCACCCCAGATACGTCGCCTGGCATACGTAAGGCATGGTTGTGCTGTCGAGGACGTTCGTGGTTCTGATAGTCCGCAGAGGTTATGCGGGAATCCCGATATCTACTAGCTGATGGTCAGAGCGGGCTACATATGTAGCTGAATGCCGATTGATTGACGACAGCTCAAAAGCGGCGAGTGAGAACATTCCGCAGATCTGAGCATCGGTCACTACGGCTGAAAAGCTGCGGCCACCGACCGATTGTTCACTCACTGACCCAGCTTGTCCCGCCTCATCTCATTCGTGTCTCGTCGGTATCCAGCAAGCTTGGACAACAGCCTTCAAATGCGAGTCTGCCCTCTTGAAGTAAGAGTAGTGGCTCAACAACTTCTTCTCATTCTACACACAACTCCACAGTCTGATCATCGACGGAACCTTGCATCCGGGCCCTCACGATGAATCAACCAGGCGATATCACCGAGCGTTTTTCATCTACGAAGGCAACTACGTGGAAGGGAGAGACCGCATGGACGCCTCCCTGCGACTATACTGCCTCATCACCTTATCTTCGGTCGACAACTCAGGTACGTCAGGCTTGTCCCCAGTCATCGCCCGGTGGAGCAAGGAGCAGCACACATCAGGTTTCACTCACAGACCGAGATCAAAATCGGCCTGGCACCATGCTTTAGCAAGAGGAGTAAGCCTCTTTGCGAGCACGACGGATCATCGAGGACGGCAGAGGTGAGACGAGGCATGAAACTACCACCGCATTAAGGCGCTTCTTCGAAAGGTAGCAAAAGTTCAGCCCTCTGCGAACCTACAAGCAGCTTGCTGTGAGAGGTTGACTGGAACTAGGCAAGAAGCCGGTGTGCTTGCTTGCATAGCAGGCTAGCACGTTTCCTTTCATTGCAGCATGTTAACGCGTTGATACCAAGTTCAACCAAAGTAACTTGGATTATGTTCATTGCCACGTCCTAGGTCTTCGCTCCATTTCCCAACCACCCACTCTCGACCAGAAACTCAAAAACCCGTCCACCTTTGGTGGTATCAATCCTCGCTATCTCCCTAACCACCTTCTTCTTAAGCTTACCCTCCTGTCTCCCCGCCTCCTGCAACACCCTCTCCTTGATAGCTAGGTAAGCCTTGGGTTGCAGCCTCAACTTCGCACACAGATCCCGCTCGCCATGATCAAGCAGTTGCCACGAAGGAGCGTTCTCAGCGTCGTACTTGGCCGGGGTAAGATTAGGGATTGGTGCAAGCGGAGTGCGCTGGATGGGTTGTTGTTTGCTTGGCGAGATATCTGAAGAGGGTGGAGTGGGGAGGTGTTTCTTCGATGCTGAGGTTGTGGTTTCTTCTGCGCCTACGGAGGTCGGACCTGAAGTCGGACTAAGGCGCACAGGGAGATCCTTGGTGGTATATTCTGTCACTGCCGCAGCAGTCTCTGGCGGTGGCGCAGGTCGCTGCCTTCCACCACCACTTCCGCTCAGGCTATTAGACAGGCGCTCGTATTGTGCTGCTTGTTGTGTATGCTTGGCTAGTCGTGAAGCTTTCTCAGCTTCATACTTTTCGCCGGTAGGTAAAGTGGAGATGCGCATTCGTCGCCACTCTTGAAGTTGTGTGATGGCCTGTCGTAAGTTTTGCTCCTTCTCCAGATCCGAGGCCAGACTCTCAAAGTCCGGATGCGACATGATCCGTGCGAATGGCTTGAGCTTATGGTGCAAATCACGCTGCTCTTTGGTCCGCTTCTTGTCTATCGCAATGTTCTTCCGGTAGTCCAGTAGCTGGTGGTTAAATATGACTCGCTTTCGATCCGTCCGAGCAGTGAGGCGATCGTTGTAGATGTTCATAACTACCATTTTCAGTTGTGTTTCGGGATCAAACTCGCAGCTCTGCGGATTTATGCCTTCGTCGGGCGAGAACTGCATGTGCTGTACTGCTTCTTCGGCCTCGTTGAAGTATTCGCTTTCGAACTCCAGACGTCCAGGCATGAAACCGGCGACCTCATGACAGCTCGGTACAGAAGATGTAGGCTTGGCAGGCGTAGGGGCAGTCTGCGCCGTCTCGGCAATAGCCTCCTTGCGCTCTTCTATCCGCCGCTTCTTCCTTGACTGAAATTCCTCCCTCGGCATGCCATCAATCAAGCTGGTATCTGATGGGCTCGCACGTTTCGGTAGAGGGAAGGTGGGCGCATCAACATATGTCTCGATATAGTGATCTCGCACCTCATCTCTCTCTCGGTACCCTCCGATATGATCAGCAATATCCGCCCAGCTACCCAGTCCATACTGCTCCGCACCCTCCAGCAACAGAAGCTCCTCATCCGCGCCCCACCCCTGGTCAAAGATCGGTATACTATGCGGCTCGATCACCTGGTAAGGGTGCGTGCGCGGGTCATGGTGAATATTGTGTTTACCCTGGGAGAAGCACGTGACACATAGATCATAGTCGGAGCAGTTCTTACTCGCGCAGCGAATGCGCACAGTCGAAGTAATGTCGTTACTGCAGACGTTGCAGATGTACTTCACGCCGCCGCCGGACGACCCTGATTCGCTGGACCGGGGTGCGCCTTTGGCCTTGGTAATGAGGCCCATGCTGTCGCGGGCATGTGAAGATGCGATGTGAGATGTCGGTGATGGATGCGACGCGCAGGCAGTGTGTCTTTTCTGACGGTCGCAAAGTGGAGGTGTTTCGGTGTGTTTGTGCACGTGGAGAGAGAGCGGTAGATAAGGTTGTGGAGAAGGTGCGGCCCGCTGCAGATCTGACGTGCTTGCCTTGTGCCACTGACCATCTGGAAGGCGCGATGTGCTCCTGAATGAAATACAAAGGGAAGGTTCTCTACGAAACTGAATACCATTTGCATTTACAACTGATCTGCAATCTCAGCAGCTCAAATGACAGACACCGACATGCAAACCGGCGCTCGCCTCTTCTTCACGTCAAGCCACTACGCTGTAGCAGGCGCTTCGTCCATCCCATCAAAATTTGGGCATCGCATATTCGCCTGGTATCTGACAGAACAGCTTCCCGTCATCCCGCTCAACCCGACATGTACATCCATTACGGTCCGACGGAAAGACTACGAGACGGTAGCTTCACCATCCCAGCTTGCGGACCCGAAGAACACTAGCTTGTCAGTAGTGACGCCACCTCAAGTCACTGCAAAGCTACTTCGAGAGGCGAAAGCAGCTGGAGTTAAAGCCGTCTGGTTGCAGCCTGGTAGCTTTGGCGAGGACGAAATGGAGTATGCCACTAAGGAGTTCCCAGGAGCAGCGGTAGGAGGATTTTCTGAAGGCACAGTTGGCGGCGAGGGGTGGTGTGTGCTTGTTGATGGAGAGACCTACATGAGTGCTGCGCAACATGGCAAATTATGAGGTACTCTGTGCTTCTGGCGAAATCCCCTGTGAGAGTCGCGATGCAGGTGGTAGCCACCAATCTGCGATGCCGAACTCGATGTACTAGATCGTACCTCCGGCATGCATCACGCACGCTGGCATTGGTAATTGCCCCTAAATCGGCATCCTGTCCTGTCCTCATTCCAACACTCGAACGCGTCAAAATTCACATGCTGCTTTTTCACAACAACTTTGCTACCATGTAACCTCAGATACTACAACATTTAAACCTACCGGCCTTGGCCATACTGGTGCTGCGACAGCCAAATATTATGACGACGACTGGTGATTGAGGAGCGGCTGAAATGGCTGTATACGAGTCAACGAATACGGTGGCGGGGATCGCAATAGCATGTGCAGTGACTTGGCCGTGAGGACCATCTCCCTCTTGTGCTCCCGTATACTTGCAAAGGTTTTCATGGCATGATATGCTATATGAGGGCTGGCTCGTACAGTGAGACTTGTCGGTGCTGGGACTACGTGCGACGGACATCCTGCTATCCACCGAGGGTACTTGGGGCGTGTTGAGTGAGATTAATGTTTCGTCAAGCAGCTGATGTGCTCACCCACAGCTATGATGGATTGATAAGCTGATGTGGCGAAAGCGAATCCCCACAAGTGCATTGAAACCATAGAATTTTGAGTTCTGTCCAGATTAGGAAGGCATGCTGGAAAGGCAAACAAGACCCGCGCATCGAGTGTTGGCGGTTGGAGTCTCGTCAAGGCTACATTTTCCCGCAAAAACTGTTGAGTGCCAGTAATGCGGCAGAACGTGACAAGCATAAAGTAGGGTGCCCATAAAGTGAATGGGCTGAGAGGGGCTACTTTCGGACTGTCCTCTCCTCGTGTCCGTGCGCCTGCTAGCGCCCTACGCTAATATAAATAAAACGACGCTTGTTGCGACATTTGCATGTTCGCATAGCACAAAGAAAAGGGGAAACTGCCAACCCTGGTCATGTCCAGCATGGCCCGGTTCGATGATTATGTACCGCATGAGCTGGATGAGGTGGAATGGTATACGCGGCGCTTACAGCAAGCTAAGGAGAGGAGCGCGTACGGGGCCGCCAGAGAAACAGTCATTAATGATACTAACGCAAAGCAACAAGTACTGGAAGATGAGGAGCGAGCCGCTCGCGGTGCGCGGGAGGACTTAGGCAAGGAGCGCGAAAAGCAACATGAGCAGCAATCCAACCTTCTGAATCGGCTTGAGGATTCAGACAGTCGCCAGGAGGTCCTCCATCGCAAGAGAGGCGAGGTGCGGGACCTGTGTGACGTGCTCTTGATCCAGATGAGCAAGACTGCAGATGGTGGACGACTCAACGAGGAAGCTACACGCAGACTGCTGGAGCAACGCCGAGACCTGACACAAGACTTGCTGGTAAGATGCAGCACAGAAACATATCTTGGCCATTACTGACAGCTTAACAGCGCATCATAGTGGAGACCTGTCAGAAAGCACTGAATCCTCATCCGCACTTGCGACCGAGCCCACTACTTTTGGAGGACCAGGGCTATCGCGTCCAGTGTATTCCTCCAGCGCAATACCACTAGATGCTGCTGGGCCACTTGTCGAGAATGAGCAGTCCTTTCCACCTACAGTCGCCACTCCGAGCATTGCTCAGCAATGCACGCAAGGCCGAATTTTCGACAGCTCGAAGAGACCACCAAAACTGGTAGACCTGGCCGAAGACGATGATGATGACCCTGAGCTCAGAAGCTTGCGAAAGATCGCCCAGAACATCGTGCGCTACGACGGTGTGCTGACGAGACTGGCGTGCAAGCATGAAAAATGTTGCAACAGCTTGAATGAAGCTGCAAATGCTCCTCAAAAGAGTGCGACTGGCTTCTTCATCGGCGCAAGCGGCTATACACTTCACTGCGCCGCGGTGCACAAAGATGAGCTCCGAGAACGCCTTCAACGCCGACTTTTGCGAAGTAAAGGGCATCACTAAGGACGAACTCGAAGCTCTGAAGCAGAGCAGTGTGCCGTGGAAACGTGTGCCGGCTGCGACGAACCACAAGGTCGAAGGTGGCAGCCAGAAGGGAAGTGCTCGGGATTCCTTTGGTATGTACATGCGTTGCATTTGTAGACTAACCCGTAAGCTAACATAATGCAGGCGGCGGCTCAGAAGACACAACCGCAACATCTCCAGCCAGAATCCGCCCGGTTCAAGCTCAGAAGAAACAGAAGATCATGAACTCAGCCGACACCACTGTGCCCTCGGAGGACGACGCAAACGGGCTTCACATAGCTCATTCAACGCCAACACCTCAGTCTTCTACAGAGATGCGGCGCGAATTTGCCACCGATCCCTTTACCTCGAGGCAAGAATGCCTTTCTGGCGCTCGTCGAGCAGATTGCGAAACGCTAGCCGGCATCCGACATTTCGGTTTGAGGAGATGCTGCGGGTGCTGGTTGAGAGTTTCTTCTGCTGCTGTCAATAGCTACATGATTGAAAGGATGACCGGGATGGACCATGTGCAAGTGCGAGACGACTGTCAAAGTTCGTGTGTTCAGAGCATGTTGCAAGACTGAAGATCTTGGCACGCTATTTCATTGGACGAAGGAATACAAAGAAGTCGGTACGCCATGGCCCTGTATGCTGAAGAAACATGCTGCTCAAAAGAACAGATAGCTGCCCATGCATCTGAGGATATTTGGCCTGCGCGACAGTTGTATGCAATATGGCACGTAAAACGCGTTCCATTCTGCGTACTCTCAGTCCGTCACAGTCACGAACGATTTGACTTTATTCGTGCGGCGATGGGTCAGCTAGCCGCTGTCTAGGTACTTTAGTGTCTCATGAGTCCACAAGTTGGATATTAAGAAGAGGTATTGCTGTACACAGGATGATGGAGCCTGCAATAGCTAGTACTGCCCCTGAAGGTGTAGCGCGCAAATCAAAGACCGACATGAGGTACCACCGTTTTGCTAAAGACTGGAGTATCCCACGATGGCATTCAAAGTCTGGTGAATTGTATTGCGCCGGCTCTTCACACCAGCGCGGATGCATGTGACATGCGGACGCACGTGACATAAGGACGCACAGTAAAGCTTTCGGGCTGGTGATTATCCACCAAGCCAAGGTGTTGATGCTTATGCATATTCGTTGGGAACTTTAGTCTTCGCGCACTGGTGACTTGACGTACTTCCAAAGCTCAAGGAGGTTTGTGGAAACCATGGTGACAGTGTCGCCTTCCAGCCAAGCTTCTCGAATTGACTCGATGCGAGTCATGTGCTCGGCATACGACTCTTGTAGTAGCAGGCGGAGCATCATCTCCTTCCACGGTGAGACTGTTGTGCTCCAATTAAGTGAAGTCGACTCCCCGGCAGTCGTCGCCATCCTAATAGGGAATGATACCAAGGTAGCTGACGTACTTGACCATGCTGCACGGGATGTTCTGAGCAAAAGCCTTCATCTTGTTCATTCATCCACGATGAAGATCTTAAGTCGCTGGATGATGTCGATCGTGAATCTGGGTGCAGCCAAAGTTGAATCGGCAGTCGGTAAAGAATACTGACATGACTTCTGCGGGCACATGACTTGGGGCTTGTGTCAGGCTCGTGCTATTGCGGAGAGTAATGATGCATCTCCACCTAGTATGTCAGATGGAGGGCATATCCCGAAGTAGTCTATCCAGTCCATATGCCGGGGATCGAAGCTGTACAGTCGATTGCGTGGCTGAGTTGGCCAAAGAGCCAGGAGGCCATCACATGAGCCTCCGGCTTCTGCAAAAGTAGTCTGGTCAAGCCTGACTCCATCGTATAGCCTTGCCGGAAAGTGGCGTCGATGTTAGACAGGACAGTTTCCGTGACCATGTCCGCGTCCCAAGGATGCACCCTCACATCCGCATACGTTGTCTTCAATTCCACCTCACCCCAAACATTCTTCCCTGACTCCTCTGCCCACCGATAATGCCATCGCCACCCTCCAGGAAATATCTCTTTTGCCCCGGCACATCCACAGCCAACATCTTATACTCAAAGTCCTTCTGTCCTGGCATCCTCAACATATGCACCTGCACCGTCCCCTTTGCCGCCGGCCCCTCGACATAGAAATGCATGTGCATGTGCTCCACACCCGCTCTATCCGTCTCATTTCTGCTCGCGATCGTCCTGTTCCTGGCCCACCTGCTCCAGCTCGGCTCACCATAGGCTTTGATCTCTCGTTTTGTGTGTAGACCCTCAGTCCCCGCTAAGAGTTCGATACATCGTGGGTCCTTTCGCACTTGGTCAGCTGCTCGATTGAAGATGGCGGTCTTGCTGTCCGTGCTGAAGACTTCGAGCCATAGCACGTAGCCGACTGCGCCTGTCAATGTAATGCCAAGCATGATGAGGCCGAAGTTGAATGACTGCTGAGTTGCTCGGGCAGCTTTCTCGCCCATTTTGAGTTCCTTCCATGGTACGGCGCCTGTGTCATTCGTGACTGTGACGCGACGGGTACGTATAGCAGTGGAGCCAGGTGAGGACGAGCTCGTGGTTGCGAGGCGGATATGCTGCAGGATCGGCGATTGTCGGGCAAGTCTAGCTACTGAAGGCATCGCTAGTGTGGGCGACCGTAGCATTGCCTTTGACGCCATCCTCACGGCCTGATGGTATGCAGGGTAGAGATGGTCGATGAGGGAGCTTGTAAGCTTCTATGCACATGGCGCGTATGTGGGGTGCATGGAAGCCGGGGAAAGTGGATCTTGCTTGGCAGGGGTGTGCGCAACTTCCTTCTTGGGCGACGTCTTCTTGCTTGTTCAATCGGCAACAGCAGTCTGGTTGTCTCTACTACTTCTGCATGCACTGCCGTCTTGTCCAAGATGGCACAAACGGAGCAGCAGACCTTGACTCGCGTGTTCAAGGATCGGCAAATTACTTTGGACGAGGGAGTCTCAAAAGCATTCAACGACAACGCCACCAGTCACGAGCTCACATCTTGGGTGCAAGAGTATCTGCAGCCCGACACACTCCTTACCCGAGATGAGCTGAATTTGTAAGCTTCTGTCGCATTCATGCAAAAGTGATACACTGACATTGCCACAGCCACAACAATCGCTTCAAAAGCGGTGCTCTGGCCACGACTGGCGATGGTTTGTCACATCGTGCACTGGAAGATGCGGAGTTCGAAGCAGCCATACAGTCACTTGAGACTAGCACAGCAGCCATTGAGAAGCAATGCCAAACCATGGAGGAACAGAAGCGAGCATTGCAGCAGCTCAAAACAAGCAACTCCAGCAGTACGACAGCAGTTTCCCGCCAGCAGGAGCGACAGGTCGAGTCTGCACGCCACAAGGCACAGCTTGACTTCGAAATCACCGAACTTGCCGATTCTATTCAGGAGCAGATTCTTAGCTCAACTAAGCAGGTGAGCACTACGGCGGGAAGTCTGCCTGCTGGGGTGGACAGAGTGCTGGAGAAAGACGATCGGCTTCTCGATGGCCTGCAGAAGATCCTTCCTCGCATCACAAATACTAGCCAAGACAGTGATGCCTTAGCAGCAGAAGTCGAGCGTTTATGCCAAGTCCTCACCACTCTTATGGCGCAGGAGGTGCGGGTGCGTATCGATTCTGCATACAATTCTCATGCCCCGTCTACACCTAAAACGAACGGGCATACACCAAAGGATACTGAAAAGCAGCGCGATTCGCTTCTCGCCGAATTATCTGAACTATCCGGTGAGATTGACAGTCTGGCAACCATGGCTGTGGAGGGCAAGTATCGTCAACCGATCCTACGGGAGCTAAAAGACGCAGGCTCGGATACAGAGGCCAAACGCGCGAGATGGACGGAGTACATGCTGGCGACAATGCACTTCCTGACCAACCGACTCGCGACTCTGGACAATCATGCTCAGCATCTGCATACATACCAAGCAGCTATTGTAGAACTCAACGCTGCTCACCAGACCGTGACTGCTAAACCATTGGATCCGAGGCATGAAACGCAGGCGGCTGTAAAGTCTCCAGCTACACCAGTAGCCAAAGGTCTCAAGCCCCTGCGTCTGGTCCAAGCAAACATCTCCGAGCCACAGGACGCAGTCAGCCAGCTCCTCCGATCGTTCGATATCCGTGTCAAGGACTCCACAGACACCGCGAGACTACTCCAAGCGCTCACCCAAGCCAAACAGGACCGCCATGCGCGAGTGCAGCAATTAAGCAAGAGCACCGAGCGCGGTATCAGCGACCAATTGGCTGATAGCATCACAAAGTCGGATCATGATCTTCAGGACTTACTCAGCGCTGTATACGCACATACAAGCTATGGTACCATCAGATTGCAAGACGAAGATCTCCGCAGCAGAGTGGAGGAGCTTGAGGTGGTGACTGAGGGGCTGAGTGATGAAATGCGCGGCTTGGATGTCGAGGGTCTTACACAGGAGATTAGGAAGAAGCAGAAGGAGATGCTCGGGTAGAGAAGTTGAGAATGATACATTTGTCGTTCTATGAAACCAAGAACTCTCATCAGCATTTTCGAAAACATGCTGCTGATCTCTCAAGCAGCCATATGACTCTCCAATACTTTTGAACCCAACCACGCTGCATAAGATGCAAATTACACAAGCCGAGAGTGTATAAATGCTGATCCTCCGACGTTCAAAACTCATGACAGCTAGCTCATCGAAAGACTCTCATCCATCGGACGCACCTGGACGCCAACAAACATTACCTTTCCCCAACGTCATCAAAGACTCACACTCAGCTCAACACGTGATTCCACCTACCAAATCCCTCATGCTAGAAACAAAACCTCATGTCAAGCTGACATCGAGCTCCGTAAGCGCCAAAGGCGTCCCACAGATCGCGACAGAAGCTTTGTACGTCTTCTCGAGTCCGCCATCATCGTTCAGCAGATTAGTCGGGATCGCACGTTTAGGTGGCGAGCCATAGGTAGAAGGTGTGTAGACCCAGTCCCGGCTGCGAAAAGACAATGAGTCGTCATCGTCGTCTTCATCGTACTTGGGTGTGTGAGGCGAAGCAAGCCGCTCCGGATCGGTCTTGTGCAGTCCTACGCCAACATAACTCATGTCATTCTTCGGCTGCACAGGCTGCACAGGCTGCCCCTTGTGCGCAATCCAGCAGATGTCACCGGCATGATTATCTCCCCTGGATCCTCGCATAAATTCTCTGGTGGCATGAACTCGAAGATGACAAAGTGCAGGACACTGGGCCAAAAGTCGCCGATGACATCTCGAAGGCTTCTGTCAACCCCATCAGGATGCTTGTGCACATTAGCTAGGACCTCAGGAATATCAGCAGATTTGCCCTCTCGCCGTCGAAGAGCGTAGCTCAACGCTGCTACATCCTTGAAAGCTCGGACGCTACTGTGTCCGTGCTGTGGCATGTAGAGCTTTACTGTAACCGGCCGACGGAGTCCCGTGCCGATTACTGGGTCCTTGGAGTGGTTGAGGGAAGATGTGGGTTCGATATAGCCTTTACAGACCAAGAGCTGTTCTTCTTCATCCTGCAGATATGGGTTGCTATTGCCAGAGTTGTAGGAGCGCCGCTCCGTGACGATGGTGAGGACACAGCGGCTTTTGAAATGAGGCAGAGCGAGGACTTGTGGAGGACGGAGGACTTCGGTGTCGGTATGAGGCATGATCCTCGTCAGTACCTTCTCGGTAGGTAACACGATGCTGAGCCAAGTCCATGGATTCTGGAGGCTTGAACGACTTCATATATTCGCAACCGCCGGAGCATGCGATAGAACTGCCAGCGCATAGCAGCTTCATGAGCTGTGAAGTCTGCTAGCTGAGCTTATGTCATGATATGGGCATCCATGATATTCATGCTCTTGTATCGCCTGCTCGCTGTCATTCTCAGGAGATCTTGCTCGGAAATTATGTGCTCTCCGAGCAGTTGAGAGCTGGGCCATAAAGTGCGAATTAGGAAGCGGACATCGCGCCCTGACCTGACGTCTCCTCGATACATTCTGGCCTCGGATACTCAACATGCAGTCTATCTGATGTACGAAAGTATTTGCAGGAGCTGCTGCCGCTCCTGGATGTGGCGCGAGGGATATGGCTTCATGAGTCAAAGTTTGGAGCATATGCGCAGACACGACATCTCCGAGGCTCACCAACCACTGCTAGCGTCAGCTTACGATCCCTGATGAAGAACAATGCCTCTGCATCAAGACACTCATAAGCACATTGTGAAAGCGCCACCAAGTCTGGACGACCATTCCGCTTAGTACCCCATACGATCGTGTTGGGATCAGCAGAGTGCACAGACTCGTAGAGGTTCTTTCCGAAGATCGCCAAGGGATCAGGCGCCGACCAAATCACTCTGCACTGAGTGTGAGGCATATGTCCGAACAATCCCAGACAAGGCGCAATGCCGCTCCCAGTCGCCACGGTGACCACCCGCTTGAATATACGCGCCAGGTAGACCATGCCTGTAGCATGTGTACCACGCATGGAGTAATGTAACGCAGGATTCGATATCTGTCTAGAGGTCCAATCGCCAGCCCTGGCAATGATGCATGTCGCCGAGCACTTGCCGAAGGCCACGTTGCACGCAAGAATGACCGCCGGGGCAGTGGCGGCGAAGTCAGTCCCGAAGGTGAACCCAGCATCGCTGTAGCAGACTACGACGCCCGCAGCACAGCAAGTCTGGCAGACACCCTAGGCCAGTATACCGGCTTAGGTGGCTGTGGCCATGGCGTGAATGATTACGACGTTGGCGAATGGCAGCATCTTGCACGCGATCTGTGTGAACGAGGGTTGGAAAGGTGGTCACCCTTATCTTAGATAGTCATCAAGACTCACACCACGGTCTCGTCGAGTGAGACGGGGCGGGTCGTCGCAATGGATATTGAAGGTGAGAGGGATATGCTCCACCTTCTTGCATCTTGTGACAATAATGAGTGTCACGTCTGGTGGTGGAACGTAGCCCTCGTTGGCGAAGGCGTCCAAGAAGCAAAGGTACGAGATGCGATGGATGGGATTAATAGAAGTTGAATTGTATCGGCTTCACATGCACGATGCTGTCATGACGGGCACGGACGGAGGAGGTGCATTGCATTGACAACATCCTTCCTCCACTGCTCAAACGATGCAACTTTCTTCGCTATTGAGATATGGGTGAAAAAGACCAAGACATGTCTTCCTTCCCAGGCCGCCGTCTCATCCACTTCGCCAAATTCGATGTAACATCACAGGTACAGCGATCCAGCACACATCCAGCAGCAATAGCACGATGCTGAGATGGCACGGTAGGTCTTCCACATCACAAAACACTCTTTCGCGATCGTGAATCTCAAGCCCCTCTTGCCTGGCCACATCCTCGTCTCACCACTCGCCGTCAAACCCTCCCTCAGCGACCTAAGCCATGACGAAGTCTCCGATCTCTTCACGACCGTGACCCGGATCCAACGAACACTGAAGCGCCTCTACAAAGCCGACGCCTTCAACGTCGCGGTGCAAGATGGCGAAGCCGCAGGACAAAGTGTATCACATGTCCACTGCCACGTGATTCCGCGACAGAGGGAGGATGCGGGAGGAGACGACAAGATACATCAGTGGCTGGAGGGTGAAGAAGGCAATGTGGGCAGGCATCAAGATCAAGCTGTGCGTGGTGCGAAAGCCAAAAAGGAGTGGGCGCAAGACGAGGATCGGAAGCCGCGTGGTAAGTCAGAGATGGCTGCCGAGGCCAAGTGGTTGAGCGAGGAGATGGAGAAGGACGAGCGTGAGGAGGGTGGTAAGCTGTAAGCAATTTCATCAGCTGTTAATCACATATATCTACTTTCCCACTTTCTCGAGTGCACTATACTGTCATGCAAAGAGAAAGCTCAAAGGGCAACGCTTTTGATGACTGTACGGAATGGAGAGTACCGAAGCACATGCTGACCTAGAGATTTACTACTTACACCTGGGCCCATTACTTCCTCCTCGCTGGAACCCTTTTGCTGACGAGCAATAGAAGTGACTGAGTACTGCAGCTCGTAAGCTACACACGTGCAGTCCTCTTCCTCGGGCGAACGCTGAAATCCGCACCATACCACGTCAATCACCCAAGCCTGTGGTGTAAGGTCGAAGCTATCTCTCATTCTCAAAAGACTAAACATCTCCCTCCAGACGACTGCCGCTCATATTCGAATTCCCCGTTCCGGTTTGTACGTTCTATTCTAGCGTGTCGCACTCCAAGCAATCATACGGAACTGTGATGCTTGAGATCTTCATCTGGCAAGATATCGTCCGAATGGTCTGTGATTAAGTGCACGTCAAAGTTTGCCACGTAGCGAGATTCGCCTCTGTCGTCTCGTCTCAATGCTTACCAGATGAAAGCTACAAGCAGAAGCTTCTCATCCGTCTGGTCATCTGAGAACTCAACATCTAGGTTTGGGATGATGGATATAAGTATGGAGGTTCACCCTGCTGTTCTGTCGTATCTTCTCACCTCTAACACTACTACCATCTAATCAAGGACCAGCTAACACAAAGATGCCTAACCTCAAGACTTTCGCTACTCTAGCCGCCCTGGCGACCTTTTCGCTCGCCGTCCCGATCCTACCTTTACTAGCCAATCCGTTCGGCACCATTGTGCCCGCACCCCTCGGCGCCGACAAGGATGGTGAACACCCCACCGTCGTCGTCGACACGCACAAGGTGTTGTCCGGTGGCAAGGAGTGCAAGGTGTGGTGAGTCATAACATATACACATACCACTGCTCCAAGCAAGAATCGTCTGACCTCGAGATAGGCACCTTGGCCAAGACGGCGCCAATATCACCCCTGAATGCCGTCAGTGGGTCACCGACGCCGACGACTCCACTAGCAATCACGTCATCGTCGAGATCCAGACGGTCAAACTTGCTGATGAGAATGCTGTGTGTGAGAAGTGGCATGTTGAGAGTCATGAGAAGTATACATCCCCACCGTCGGCCAAACCAGTCATGATATGCTGACGTCCTTCCTCATAGCCTCATCACACCTATTTGCGGCGAGATCAAGCAGGAGCCTGGATTCGGTCCCTCCGATGTCGAAGATGTGGGGGTCCTTATAACACATCTACAACCGAAGCGGGATGAGTCGGATGTGTCCAGTGAGGTCGTCCACGCCCGCTCTATTACCGAAGACCTCCTCCACCTCGTCAAAGGGACCAAACAAGCTGGCATGGATATTGCTGATGAAACGATCGATATTGCGCGTGGTGCGGTCGGTGCCATGTTGCCTGATCACAGTGACAAGTCCAAGAGGTCTGAGGAAGGCTCAAAGATCAAGCCAGCAAAAATTATCCATGACCTCGTCGAGACGGTCAAACCTCTGCAACCACTCCCGTCCCTCGAAGAAGTTCAGAACATGGTCGCCCACATCAAGGACAAGAATCCAGGCCTCGTCCACTTCCTCGTCCGCCTGGCCCACAGCGATATTCTCAAGGAGAAGCTGTGGAAGCAAGATCCCAAGATGACCTTGGCATTGGACGGAATCGCCGAATGGGTTGGAGACACCGCCGACACCATGAAAGCCGCCCAGATCGCACGTGAGCAGAACGACGACGGCATGATTGCCATGACCGAGCCTGCTCTTCGTATGTTGATCGGCCTGGAGAAGAAGGGAGACGAGGATGGTGACGAGCGTGTTTACAAGGAGTTTGCCAGCGTTGAGGCCGCTGACGATGTGATCCGGAAAGCGGAGGAGAAGGTTCGCGATGAGGCCATGAAGGATAAGGTGCAGCACTTGCAAGACGATGGTCACTTTGGTGTGTTCCCGCCTGTCGGCACACTCAACGCCGACAAGGCCGCAGTAATCGCAGGTCGTGACGTCGCCGCCACCGCAACAACCTCCGCCAAAGCAGCTACCGCTCAACGAGCCATCGATGCCATCCTCTACTTAAGGGCCCGGAAAGCTGTGGATGGTCCCGATGTTGCTGTCAGCCTCGAAGTCGATACCCGACCGGCCGCAGAGAGACTCGCCGACCTCGTTGCAAAATTGGAGCCACTCCCCTACCTCGGCGAGATCCTGCCCATGACCGCCAGCATCAACAAGATGGTCCCCGGCGCCGCCGTCATCCTCGCCCGCGTGAAGGACAGCCCGATCCTGCAGCAAATCAAGACCCAGCCGGAGAAGACCGTCGTCCGTGAAGTTACCGCCCTCGGCTCCCTCTTCGCCGACCCCCACGCCTTCCTCGAGACCGCGAAGCAAGCCCGCGCGTCCATCGCCGCCGGCAACCTCACCATCACCGAACCTACCTTCGCCAATCTCCTGAGCGGCTACCACAATCTCACCAACCGAGCCACTCTCGACGACCTCCCCCGAGTCATCACCAACGCCACCTACGCCGCCGAAGTCATGACCGAGCTCGAAGAAGACGTAGCAGCGCATGGAGCGAATGACAGCGACCATCACGACGACAGGCTGCAGCGTCGTGTCCTACCTCTCGGGGTCCTCTACGCCACTTTTATAGTCCCTAGCCTTTTGGGCGCTATGGTCGGGGGCATTATAAAATCTGTCGGGTAGTGGCTAGCAGGAAATGGAATGGGGGATAGTTGCCGATATGCTATGCTATGCTATGCTATTCTTTGAGAACGAAGAGATCTCTGCGGGATTTGCACAAGAGAGATGGTGACCAAGGGTCAGAGAGAGATAGAAGGGGGAGGGAAATCGGGGCGAACGCTTGGGATATTACTTTGGAAAACGAGAAAAAGTGAATTGGAGGGTCTAGATCAAACCCAACCAATTTCTTCTCAGATTCAAGGAAAAAATTTCCTAATCTCCTCCCCTCACACGACCGAGCCTCATCCACCAAACCACCCAACTTCCATACCACCTACCCATCCCCTCCCCCTCCCCCTCCCCCAAAACTCTCCGGAAAATTCCTCCTCACAGCCTCAATCACCTCATCCGGCCCATTACTAAACATAACCCTGACCCCTGGCTTTCCCAGCCTCAAAACCCCCAACAACCGCTCAAAAAGCACCGTATTCTCCTTCACGCCCCTAACCCCATAACCAAAATTAACAGCCACCCACTCCCGCTCCATCAATCTCCGCTCGAAGCGCTGGAGACTATCTTCGATATCCTGGGGATTCATATCCTCGGCCAAAATCTCGAAGCCGGCTTCCCGGGCTTTAGCAATGGAGGTGGCGAGGAGTTCTAGTGCTTTGTCCCCGGCATTGGGACCGAAGCGAGCTTGACCGAAAGCATTATTCGAGGCGAAGCGGCCGAAACCTGCTGAGAGGATAGGTTTGAGTTGGGGCTGGTCCTGTGGCGCCATGGTTTCCAGATGTTCTCCGTCGGTAATGATCTTCAGCCCGGTGCTCAGGTAATGCTGCTATGTGGCCACGATGACAATGCAGAAAGGCCGACGGACTTGGATGCGCTCTCCGAGACTAGGCAGACTCCGTAGAAATGACTCCTTTCTGTCGCCGTGTCCCAGTTCGAGCGGACAGGTGAGTGGCAGGCCAGTGGCAAAGATCCGCTCTCAACGATCTTCGGAGGGCAGACGTCTCGTTACAGATGTAGGTCCCCCGGCCGTCACTCATCCCGTAATAAATAGAGCCGATGCGCTCTTCCCGCCTGTGCTCACCTACAAGCGTTTCCCATGCCGACATCGGCGAAAGTCGGTACAGATTATTGCGGTCGCAAGATGGAATGTCAATCATGGTTGTTTACGAGGCCCGCGGCAGAAACAGCGAGGGGATTTCATGGATACCGGTCAATAGGTTCATGAGATTCGCTTTCTCTATCATAGATACCTGACCTGCAAAAGCTGGAAGAACACCACCAGTCTCAGGAATGCCTGGCCTACCGCTCAATGCTCCTTCGTACGCCATAGCGCCGCTGCATAACCATAACATCACGCCGCTCTACTCAGACCGCGAAAGGCCGAGGACACTCAAGCGTCCTTCTCCGCCTCCCCCGCAGCATCTTCACCGTTCTCAACCTTCACCTCGCCCTCCTCCGTAGCAGCTTCGCCATTCCCAACCGCCTTGCCAGCAGCCGCCTCATCCTCCTCCCCACCAACATCAATCAGCTCTCCCTCCCCTCCCTTTTCCCCATCCGTCTCAAGCTTGAGATACTCCTCCCACTCCGGAAACATCTCCTCATCCTCCCCCGGCACCCCCAACAACCTCCCCACTTTCCCCCTACCCGCCTTCTCCAATTCCCCCTTCCACAACCCAACCAACCCCGTCGCTCGACTCGGCGCATACGTCTGCGCAAACAACACCGCCTCGGCCGTCCGTCCCGTCGAGGTCAAAACATTCAAACACCCCTCCACATCCCCAACCTGCCAAAGACAAGAGAAAGCGACGTTCCACTGTCCCGCCTCTCTCGCCTGGCCCGCCAGACTCCTCAACCCCTCCGCGTCCGCACTCGCCGAGTAAAGCAGCAGCAGAGAACCCAGATCGCGAGACTTCTCAAAACACTCCACCGCCAGCCCCAGATCCCAGGCCCCCAAGGCGGCATCCCCAACGACCTTCCACTTATGCTCGACATCACTTTCACGTGCAAGTCCGAGAGCAACATCCAATTTCCCCAACCCCAACGCCAGCTCGAACTTATGCTCCCCATCCGTCGCGACCTCGAGCGCCTCAGCCTTGAGTCCCTGGCCCTCCAAGAACCGAGCGATCTTGCCCCTCTGCTCGGCAGGAATCCCTTCGAGCACTTCCTCCGCAGCCTCCATATCGCCTCGCAGAACCAGAGTCTGGTATTCAATGACATTCACGCTTAAGGCAAAAGAAGTGACCTGGACATCTTTATCGCAGACGTAGACCCTTCCGTCTCGTTGCAGGTATCCGAGGACGTAATGAGGAGAGTCGAAGTGGGAGATCGTATAAGTCTGGTCGCCAACGAGGTAGTTGAGGCGGTTGGAGACGGAGGTATAGACGAAGCAGTCGCCGATCCATTGGCCGGTGCGGACACTAAACACAGAGAATCAAATCAGCTTACCAACTTTTCGTCCCCCAGGATTGTCGGTGAATGAAAGGGGGAAAGGGATGATGGACAAACCTCTCATTAATATCACAAACCACCTCAAAAGCCTCCTCGACCCCATCCTCCGCACTCACATTCCCAGACTGCACAGCAGCAACAAACTGCTCTCGCTCGAACCTCAGCACATAAAAGCTCTCCTCGCATGCCAGACACACGAGTTCGCCACTCTCACTCCAATAGACATTCCTCGGCTCGACTTCGATCCTCCTGACCAGCTGCCCAGACTCCCAGTCAAAGAAGCCGATCCCGCCTTGGCCTTTGACACCGAGCAAAACGCCACCACTCAGACCCTCAGCCGTGTAGCCTACGTTGACAGATCCGTCGCCAGATTTGGGTTTGAAGTTCCGGTGGATTTTCACCGAGTACTGCGTTTCACGAATCGCATAATCCTTATCGTTCTCCTTGCTTCCCCAGACGAAATCGAGAGCGGAGCCGAAAGCCTGGTTGCGGAGGGCCAGGGCCGTGTAGATGATGTACTCGCCGTCGCCACAGACTGCTACAAACCTGCCGTTTGGGGAGTGGAGGAGTGTCTGAGGATATATCTCTGTCGAGCCGAGGTCCTTGGAAGGAAGGGAGATGGGCTGTGCATCCTTCAAACTCTTATCCGCGCCTTTGATGACTGAGGTGAGGATATCCGTATGCCGAGCCCAGATGATCTTGCCACTGTTGTCCATACTCACAGCCGGCTCCTCGCGACCCATCTTGACCACGACCGCGCCATCATCAAACCCCATAGCGATACCCTGTTTGCCTCTCTGGTAAGCCACGCACCATGCGCGCTCCAAGCCATAGCTGAGGGAAGTTTCGAGACGATAAGTATTGGCGTGCCAGATCTTGATGGTGCCGTCTTCGGATCCGGAAATGATGACGGGGAGTTCCGGGTGGTAGCAAGCGAAGGAGACGTTGGAGGTGTGGCCTTCGAGGGTGGCGATGAGAGCTTTGGTGGTGTAGTCCCATATTTTGACCGTCCTGTCGTCGGAGGTGGTAAGGAGATAGGGCTTGTCGGATTGCGGGTAGTAGTCGACATGATTCACGCCCTTTGTCTCATGCGCCTCGAGGGTGAAATTGGGTGTCGAACTCCCCAAACTCCAAATCTTGACTGTTCGGTCCAAACACGCGGAGGCGAAAGTGTTCGTATCTTTCGGATTGATAGCCAGCCCCATGACATAATGACTATGCCCCTCAAACACCTGCACACACTTCCACCCCTTCTCCCAATCCCACAGCTTAATCGTCATATCATCGCTGGCGGTCAAGACAAAAGGCTGGGTGGGATGCACGACAATGGCTCGGATGTAATCCGGGTGGGCCTCGAAACTGGTGATCTTCTCGCTAGTGTTGTAGTTGTAGACGCGGAGCTGGAAGTCATCACTGCCGCAGACGATCCAGTTCTTACGGGTGACGAAGCGGCCGGCGCGGACGGGGACGTCGGTGAGCTCGAAGGTTTTGATGATGGATTGGGTTTCGTAGGACCAGATGTAGACGTGGCCACTGTAGAGGGTGGTGAGGATCTGCCATACACAATCCCACCATTAGAGCAGATCTCGTGAGTGATGGTATGTTGTATATATCTTACCCATGGCTCGACTGGATGGAAATCAATCCCCTTTACTCGCTCGCTGCGCGCAAAGAGTTGCCTCTGCAGGTCCAAGTTAACTTTTCTGCTCATCGTATTCCAGATATGTACCGTGCATGATATAATGATATACCTTCACATCGAGCCTCATGTTGCCGGCTGGCCCTCGTGTCACCGACGCAAGGGACCGTTGTTTGTCTCAATCGGGGTGTATACGTTTCACCTCTTGCCCAGCAGTAGCTTACTCCCGCATCTGTGAACTCCAAACTCCACTGTCGTCGTCGCCAAGTTGGTGGGAAGAAGATGGTATGGGTGGTTAATCGTTAAGAAAGGTATAGCAGTAGATAATCCGACCCAATGCTCCAGCTGTCGTATCCCTCCACCAAAATATCCAAAACCCTCGAGAGCCTCAGGCCACCCCGCATACAGAACGGGAAGCTCGAACGATAGAGTGTGGCGTCTGCATGTGACGGCATCTAGCGCCGAATCCAGAGCTCGCTTGCGATAGGAACGAACAACGTCTACGTGACAACCGCAACCATTCGCCACCACCACCACCACCACCATCATCTCCAACAGACATACACACATAAACACACGACACCATCATGAAGTTCCTCGCCTTGGCAACCACCGCCCTTCTCTCCTCCACCGTCGCTGCACGGTCCAGCATCTTCGGCGCCAGTGTAGGCGGCGACATCACTCCCAATGTCGATGGCAGCCTAAGCGTCCCAGGCGACAACCCCCTGCAGCATTGTCAGGACCCGAAAGACGACATCCTCACGATCGAGAACGTGGACATCTCTCCCAACCCACCTAAAGCGTGAGTAAACATCAACAAACCCAACGCACAACAAACCACATACAAGCATGAATGACGGTGTGAAGCTAACATGCCACTTCAATAACAGGGGTGAAACGCTCAAAGTAACCGCAAAGGGCATCCTCTCCCAAAACGTCACCGACGGCGCCAAAATCCACCTCAGCGTAAAATACGGCCTCATAACCATAATCCGCCAAACCGCCGACCTCTGCGACACAGTCAGCAAGGTGGACCTGACCTGCCCCCTGCGCAAAGACAAGGAGACCAGCCTATCCAAAGAAGTCGACCTACCCAAGGAGATCCCACCGGGAAAATACACAGTAGTGGCTGATGTGGTGGCCGCGGACGAGAAGACGAAGATTACGTGTTTGACGGCTGCTGTGGAGTTTAAACGGGGTGGCGGGGTAGTGTTTGGGGGGTTTCAGAAGGAGGGGGGAAATAAGGTGGGGTTGTAAGGGGATGTGATGTTGGGGTGCTTGGGAGTGGTGAGAGGGTATGATGAGAGGAGGAGAGGCGTGTGGGTGGGTGAGTGAGTGAGTGTGTGTGCGTTCTCCGCGTACGAGCGATGATGTTTGCAATTCGCATGGGAGACTGGCCTTGCTGAGACAGGCAGGCATAATATGATATGGCATTGCATTTGCTGAGATGTGTTTGGTGAGAAGAAGCTCGTTGTTGGGGGTATCTTGTCTATAGGCTGAGAGAGAGAGAGAGAGAGAGAGAGAGAGAAGGAAGCATATACATATCCCACCGCTCGCTGCTGCTGCTGCTGCTGCTGTCACATCACATCACATCACATCACGTCTCATGTTCGCGGCCACCTCCGTGACGCCAAGTAGGAGATTCACCCATACCCTCGACTTCATACTCGTTCACAAGAACCCTAATGATGGCACTCCTCCACATTCTTCCCGCCTCTCTGCCCAAACCAACATATCTCATCTGATCTGCATCTCACCACCCAGCATCACGCATATCCACCCGCCCCTCTCATCCCAAGCGCATCCCGCTCTCATCATCTCATCCCATGCACCACGGGCCAGCCGATCCCATCCCAGCCTAGCCAAAGCCACAGCCACAGCAGAGACAAAGCCGGGAAACCACCCAAAATCAATACTCCCCAAACAACTTCCGCACCCTCTTCATAACCGAGTCCTTCTCGGGATCATACGGATGGTCTTTACTCGGGATCTCCAACACGCTGGGAAAGGCCTCGGTATAAGCGTCGACTTGGCCTCGGATCTTATCTGCGACCTATACACCCGCCAAAAAGCATGGATATCAGTATAGTATAGTATAATATAGTCTTTCCGTGACAGGTATGGGGCGGGGTGGCGTTGGTGGGTGTGGTAAGTGTAAGTGTAAGTGTGAGTGATGGAGGGAGGGATAGAAGGGAGGGACGTACATGTTGGTTTATCAGCACGATGGCGATATCCTTCCTCTTCTTCGTGAAGGCATCAAAGGCGCCTTCGATGGTGGAGGTCTCGGTTTTCTGGTCGACGACGAGGAAGTTCTTTTGGGAGTCCGGGGGTTCGGTGACGTGCTTTGTATCACATGTATATGTCAGTCTGTGGCCTGGGGGGGATGCGGTTTTGCGTATCATGTGATGTGTCTCCTCAGAGGAGTGTGCGTGGAGTGATTTGTCGGGTGGAACAAGGGTGATGTTGATGCCGAGGAAGACGATGATGTGGGTAGCTCGTAGGGATAGAGAGGAGGGGGGCTGAGGGATTTGACTTACGCCAACACCTGCTAGGAGGATTCCTGTCACTGAGTCCTATACACCAGCACCGAGCAAGTCAGCCGACATGTCCTCTACTACCACTTCTTCTTCTGCGCTTCATATCATGACATTCCTCCAGCCCGGTCTCGGTCCCAATCCTCCGTAGCCACCTCTTGCTTCCACCACCACATGCTCATGATCCAACCCCACCCTCTGTCCCTCCATCTCAAGCTCCAGCCACGAGTAATTGCATAAGTAGCAACACCTACCTCATCCCCAATAACAGCCAAGAACTCCCGATCCTTATATGCCGATTGCGGTAACGCCATTCTTGCCTCACAGCAGATCCCACGATCGTGTTAGTGCGAGAGAATGCTTCCTTGCTCACTTCCGGAGCTCTCAATCGATAGTCGCAGATGATGGATGAAGCTAGCGGGGATGCGTCGGGGAAAGCTCGGAGGGGTTGGAGGTGACGTCCCGCTTGCCGATGGATTCGAGAGGACGGAAGAGAATATAATGCTGAATATACGGTCGTGAATGGATGGTGATGAGCGGGAGATTCTGGATGCGCATCGGGTCAGAGCAGCAGGTCACATCGTGTCACTTCGGGTCACTTTCGGGTCACTTCGGGCCAGATCAACGGTGCCCGACCAATGGACATTAGACCAGGCGTCGCTTCGACATGAAGACTGACAGCCCACGGGCGGCGAGACAAGACGATATATGTGCATGGAAAGGAAGCCTACGGCGACCATCGTTCTAGGCGATCGTCTTTTTGGTAGTCTGTCCGGAGCTGTCAGCTCAACGCCCACAAGGTCATCGGATCCCGAGGGATCTCCAACACGATGTACACCAAATGCCCACGGTTGACCCGCCCAAGCCCTCTCGGCCACGCCAGCAGTCTTGTACGATAGTACATGCGTTATGACGGCGACCCTCCTGTTCTCGTGGAACCCCATGCCAAAACATCAGCACGAAGGAAGCATCCTTCCTCGCCGTGGTGCCGGAAACCCTGCGTAGCTCTGCCCTACTCCTCATCGTCTTCATCGTGGTTGACGCAGGTGTAGTCGAGAGGTCCACCCAAAGGAGTGGTGGCGGCCGCGCGTTTTCTTGTCGGTCCTGGCAAGGAGATTTCACCCTGACACAGCATGTCGAAGCTACTAAGCTCAGGCTCACTCTCGTGACGACGCTTCTGAGGCAGGCCGAACGATGAGCGGGACATACTGGAGTCCGTGGATCTCTCGCCGGCGGTCCCGATATCTTGCTTCTCGAGATTTTCGAAGAACTTCCGGAAAGACCTCGTCTCGGTACTGTTGGGGACCGAGTCGTCCATGGAAGCCTCCACCGGCAGTTTGGGATCTTCTCAATAATTAGCACACCATATGCCAAGTAGCACTGTCGGAACCAGAGAGCATACCTTTGCAGACCCGCTTCACACGAGCTGGTGGCACAGCGTTCTTGATCTCACGATCGATTGGGTCTCTCCCCCGCACCATGTTGAGCGCGTCCCGATCGCTGACTTGACGCTTCATGCACGTAGCCAGAATCTCGGCAATCGGGAATACGCCACGTTCATGTGCAGCGTGGAGCTTGATGTGTTTGCCCAGGCCGACCACGCCCTTCATGAATTCTCCCGAATTGATGCCCGAATTTGCGCCGCAGTAGTTGCAAGAGATCTCTATCCAGGAGCCCTCGAATTTGACCACGATGGGAAAGCGACGGTGAATGCTTGGCGGTGCTTTTGTCTTGCAGACATCGGAACCCCTGGCACCTACCTCGCGTTTGTGCGTGACTGTGGTGGTGGCGTCTTCGGACTCGGCGCCGGCGCTCTGCGCGGTCGCGCTTGTGAGGTGGGACGGCTTGCTCGCTGGGATGCTGACTCTCACCGACTCGCCATCATCAGGAGGATTGGGCGTTGCACCGGACAACCGGTCGACGGACGGGTCAACGAAGTAGTAATGGTACACAGCCTGTAATACAATCAGCTGTATGTCGGCGGCGAACCTCCGCATGCAGTCCTATACGCACCGCAGCTTTTTCTTCGCATCGCTGCATTACTGTTTTAGCGTAGAGCAGCTGCTCTTGTGTCGTTGCAAGCTGCAACACCTGCTGTTCCTTAGCGCGCTGGAGCCGTGCGACACGATTCTGCGCGGATGCCGTCTCCTTGTCCACAGCTTGAAGCTTCTCAATCACCCGGCCCAGAGCGGAAGCCATGATGGTGGGACAAGTTAAAGGTGGTTCGGTGTGCTGGATTGAGAAAACATCGTTGCAAGTGGATTGAACAAAACATATGCTTGGGCCTAATTTCCGCGGTGGATCCACTCATTTCCTATGCAGGGCAGGAACGAACGACTTGCGTCTCATGTCACGTGAAGGAACCGCAGAAGATGACATGAGGATGTCGGCGGCCCTCAGCGACGATACAAACACACTTTGCCTCACCCAGCAGCAACACCTGCAGGCTGGATTCTGTGCGGCAACTCCAATAATACTAGGTGGATTGCGCTGCGGCTGTGATCTCGCACAATTGTGACTTTTATCTCGCGTCGAATGTCCCACGACCGCAAGTAAGAGACACGAGTATGCGGCTCAGATGTCGCCTCCACCATGGAGCGCCTGATCGCTAGGCACTATGGGTACGAGCGCCATGTGTGGACCACCATATAGAGGATCGTCTTTTTCGAAAACTGCATGGAAGGTCCGGTCGTACTGTGTTGATTGGGAACGACAGAAACCATGCGAGGACTATCTAAGATGAATTTACAACATCTAGGAGTGCGCATTCTTGTGCGGAGCAGTGTCCATGCTGCGTTCAAGACGCAGGGAAACAGCTGCTGCGCAGAATCTAACCCAACAAGCCTAAGCGGCATACCAGTCCTGGCCGACAGTCGATGTCACAATCGCGGCAGCATCGTAGAACACATCAACGCTGAGCGCAACACAGCCTCTTCCCATCGTTCACCCTAGCTCTCCTCATCGTCCTCATCACTATCGTACCGAGTGTCGTGGTAGACTGCGCTATGTCTGCCAAGTCGTGGAGCCATGCTCGCGTACCGACGCTTCCGCTCCACACCACCTTCGAAATTCCAACCGGAGACGCCAGTATTTGCATCGTCCGAGTGGCGTCGCTTGTTTGCTTCCGTGACCTGAATTCCAGATTCAGAGGAGGTGGGTAGGGTGGTTGTAGCACGTAACCTCGTGGCTGTGTCGCACGCAGTGGTGTCGGTCCCCTTTTTTGCTGACTCGGAGACGCCGCTATCGACTGTCTTGCTGCTGAGACGAACTAATCATTGTCAGCCAGCGAACTTGTGCAATTGAGCGGTTGTTGAATATACTGACCGACATGTCCACCTACCACCATCCATACCATATCAATCGCAACATCGACAGGGTCATCGCCATTCGCCATCAGCGTCGCATCTTGGTCGCTGATAGCACGCTTGTGACACAGGGCCTGCGTCTCCTTCTTCGTCTGCTTTGGGCCGTCGGGGAGACAATGGACCTGGGCTACGTGGAGATGCAGACCATTAATACCACGCAGAAAGCGACCGCTACGATTGGATGCGTTGGTGTCGCACTGGTTGCACGAAATCGCGGTCCATACGCCATCAAGGCGCACCACGCACTGGAAGCGATCGTGAATCATCTCCGGGCAGGAGAACTGTGGCGTCTTGCGCTTCTTGTCTTGAATGTCTTCAGTATCGACGACGTGCACGTCGCTGTTGTTACCGAAGCCGAACATCGCGGTCGGGCGCCAATGACCTTGTGAGTGCGTATCCGATGTCCTGGATGATTTGGGTTCCGTCTTGGTGGCAACAGCGAGTGCGGGAGTCGACGCATCACGCTCCGGCAAGGCATGATTGTTGCGAAGCTGACCTTCGGCCTGTGTATTGGTACGACCCCCAATGCTAGTGTGCAAAGCCTGTGTCAGTTTCTGGATAAAGCGGTCAGTATCTGAGAGTAGATGAGAATCGATATTTCACGAACCAAACACTCCTGCTGAAATTCTTCTACCGCGTCCTTAGCTACAGCAAGCTCCGCTCTGCTCGTTGCAATCACCCCCTCGAGTTCCGTCACGCGGAATTCTTTGCGGTGCTGTTCCTCCACGACAGCGTTTAGACGCTGCAGGATCTGCATGTACGACGCCATCGCCGGTACCGCTCTTGGTGTTGCTCTCGTTGAGAGAGTAATGGCTAGCGATGTAATTGAGGGCGAAAAGTGTTTGTTGTCACCACCGAAAGATGATGACGCGAAACTTTTCCTTACGACGCTAGCGATTTCCCGCATCACTCGCAAGGAAGGTACGATCAGCTGTAATCGATCATCACGTGCTGCGCTACACATGAGCATCATGAGAATCAGCCGAGGGCACTCTTTGACAGTCTGCGCACTGATGTAGTATTGGGGACTTGGCTCGACTGAGCTAATCAAGGATATGAAGTACAGCAAGTTTCACACCTCATCAGCATTCAGACGCCTAAGTGGCCAACGCAATCCTAGAGGCAAGACGACGACTGGTCTTGCACGCGGGGAATGCCTACATATCTGCTCCACAGCTGCTGCGGGCAATAAGATTTCTCAGTAGTCTGGTTCTTATGGCTGGCCTCCTAGACATCGCTGGAGGACTGACAAGTACAACCTTGCCACCTAGACGCACCGACATCAGCCATTGCCTGAGATCCTACGCTCCTGCTCATTAGGCTTGACTCAGCGCTACCGCCACCGCTGATGCAGACAATGCTTTAGTAGGAATACCTAAAATAGTGAAGGCCCAGCTCACTATTTCCACTTAGATCGACGACGAGTCTTCGGGAACCTTAGTACAGTGATGTCCTCAGGTACCAGAAGATTTGTGGGTCTCGCGTTCTGGATCAATCTTGATACGTAGTCGCTTCGGGCTCGGCTCTAGTTTATATCCATGGTTGTAGTCCACTGGCTCGTCGTCCTGGCAGCTCATGTGCACGGGTGCCTTGAGTGAGCTGGCTGACGCGGTGGGTGAGTGCTGATGTGTTGGTATTGCTTTCCTGGCTCGACTCCCCCGACCAATGGTAGGCTCCTGGTCAGTGTCGGCGCGTGGCACTTGAGAGATCATGGTACTCTTTCTCCCTGCGAATGGTTAGACTTCTGTGGTGGGGAACATAGGAATCGACGCTCTACGCACATCCTTTCCCTTTCGGCTGCAACGAGCGCTTCACAATCTCCACATCCACAGGATCCCGGCCTTCTCGCATCTCTGCCACGTCTCGAGAACTTACGATCCGTTTCGAGCAACTCAACATCGTGTCGGCAAACCAGTATGATCCAGGAATCTGGTCCGCATGTGAGGACAAGACGTGAGAGTTTAGCCCAGGAGCGCCCTTGTAGAATTTGGCACTGGCGATTAGAGCGTTACAGCCGCAGTACTAACAAGAGATCTCCGCCCATGTCGACCCGATGCGAACAACGATCTCGTAGCGCTGGTGCACGACTTCCGGCCTTTCGCCAGGGTTCGTGACGATGACCTCCGCAGGCGGCTGCTGCTCACGACTTGGTTTGGCCGTTTGAGAAGCTCCACTCTCCGGGCTCTTGTTTGGTTCCGATGGATTCGGATGAGCGTCATTGACCAGGGACGCCGTTATCGCTTGTGCTTGTTGCTTCCGTGTGACACCAGACATGGAAGCATTGCGAAGACTGGGTGTCACAGAACCAGTGCGTGCACGCATACGGGCTGTTGATTCTGGCGTCGTTGATGCGCCGCTGAAGCTACCCTTTATCGCCTGCATCACGTTCTTCACCCTTGTGTCAGTACAAAGTACTTCCCAAATGCAGGTGCAGTATGTCACACACGGTGGCTCGTACTTCGCATTGCATAACGGCGCTTTGGGCAACGGCGAGCTCTTGCGCGGTAGCTATCAGGATCTGCTCGAGCTCCCTTACACGTGCCTTGAGTTTCTCCTTCTCGGTCATCGCAGCATGGAGCTGCTCCATAACATATGGCGGCGACACTGCCTCAGAACTCAGCTGCAGATCTGGAGCCTGAAATGAAGGTGTTTTAGATTCACGAGATGCTTGAGCCACATTGATAAGTGATGTGTTTGCATGGAGACCGCGGCCCGATCCCGTCGCCGATTGCTGCTAGCCTCGCATGGAAGGCACGGGATACACGCATGTCAGGCGGAGTAGCACCGTCAACACAAATTATGATGTGGATAATGAAAGCTGTGAAGATAAAAATAGGATTTTAATAAGAGCATGATTCACATTTGCTCTACCTGAAGAGACTACGAAGGTCCATCAGCCCCTTCTTGCTGCGCCATGATGGTTCCCCTGTGCGTACGTGCATCAAGCAAGCCCGTTCCCCTGATCAAACAAGAGGTCTAGACTGTCGCCCGATTTCCTTCCCTCACTAGTGGACCCTATATCGACGTACCGAGGATCGACGATCTACTATGCGTAGTCATGATGTTCCGGCCGTAAGCGCGACCTTTAACACCGCGATCAGAATTCTTTTCTGATGGTATCGACGTCTGGTTCGATATCATCGCAGTCGCTGAAGCCCATCTTGTGGCGCTTGCTACCGATCGATAGAGGTGAGTAGGCCGGCGATCTCATCACTGCCTGTGGTTTCGAACGACCGGAGATCTTGAAGCTGGTGCTGGTATGATGGTCGAAACCTAGCTTGCGTCAGCAAGATAGGCACAGGGGCACTGTGAAGGGAGTACTCCGACATACCTGCTTGTGAAGCATCTGTCCGGATCGAAGCAGGAGTTACGACGCTCCTCCGGGCTGGATCGTCGGCAGCCCGCATCTTTACGGCGTCTTAAGCGTCAATTAAGCGTTTCGTGCACTTCTCGAGTATGTCCTGCCTGGTGTAAACAGTCTTCCCTTTCGAGTGCTTGCCTTTAATATGATTGTAAAGACCGCTAAGCCCTTTGAAAAGCCTGCCATCACCACAGGCATTGGTGCCACAGAGGTGGCATCGAATCTCGGTCCAATCAACATCCAACAAGACCACGTTCTCGAAGCGGGTGTGGATTACCTCTAATGGCTCGAAGGACTGTGACCTCTGAGTCCCGGAGCTCACAATCGACTCGACTACTCTCTTCATGTGTCCACCTTCACGGTTGGGGCGGGAGTCGCACTCCGCGATGGATAAACGGGCAGCCTCTGCAGACGTCTCAGCTACAACCGGGATGGCTCCAACAGTGACGGGTGTTGCAGGGGTATGTTGAGGCTCATCGCTAAAGCGTTTGATTAGACCCTGGATGTTGAGCAACATAACGCAACTCGTTGACTATACACATATCCACAAACTGTAGCCGTGTCCTTGTGCTCCTGGAGTGAGCGCCGCGCATCACCGAGCTTCTTTCTGGCTTCTGCAAGTTGTGCCTTGTGCTCAGTCACGCATATTTGGAGATCACCGACTAGGCCTTGCGCCTGAGATCTCTTATTCCGTACATCTTGCAGCCGCGCAATGATCTGTTCCAGATCGCCAGCCATGTCCGCGGTGTTGACCTGTTTACGGAAGTGCAACTCACAACGTGTCAAGTGAAGATAGATACAACACTAGCGCCGGTTTCGCTCCGCAACCGCGTGCTGTAAGCCTCGTTGTTCTCGTGCCAGCTAAGCGCACTGCCCCGCTTTTCTGCTTGAGGAAGTCACGCCGAAGCAAGACATAGAGCATATGACAGTACATGCTGTGCCAAAAAGCAGATTATCTACTTGGGTACAGCAGACAAAAGTCTTTGCACGATAAGTATTCCTAAGTAAGGGAGTTGTAAATGGGTATGCTTTCATCACAAATTGAAGTTTTGCATGTGATGGTAGAATATGAAGGGGACTCGGTGTCAGACGCACTCGTTGAGGCCATGCTCGATCGTCAACATGCCAGTTATTGCTGATAGCTACGCACCTCATGTACCGCCAGAATAGCATTCAAGACCATCCATTCCATTGGTGTATCCTAGCATGCGAGCGTCTGAGCCACAGTGTTCCCTTTTCTCTTCATCAAGCCTCTCAGGCCGCGTCATTACCGCACAAATCGATGACTCCAGAACCACCGTACGTGTCCCGACGGCGCTTAACGGCGTGCGCGGTGTATCTATTCTCCCCGGTCTCACCCTCCACGAGCGTCGTTTCCGCAAGAGACGCTCGGCGCTTGACCGCAAGGATCGGAAGAACATTCGAGCCATCATTAGCTGCAACGTCAGGGCCGAAGGAAACCTCCTCGACCTGACTGTTTGACAGGCGTGGACGAGCCGGTGCAGTTGTGAACACCATGACAACCTTGACGTCCTCCTGTTCTTGCCCAACAATCATCCTCGACACATCACGGTTACTGACGGCTCGCTTGATACATTCATCCTCCGTGTCGGCATTAGCTGGCGTGGATCCACTCCAGTCAGATGAGAGCTCGTGATATGTCTATTCAAGCCATGGATGCCCTTCATGAATGTCTTCGACCCGTGGGTAGCATTAGCGCCGCAGTAGTGGCAGGAGATCTCTGTCCACACACTATTCATCCTGACCACCATCGGGTAGCGATCGTGTATCGCTGGCAGGGATCTCACCCTTATCTTGGTTCGACCAATTGTGGAAACGTCTTGGCGCACACTATGGCCAGCGGCCTTCAAGCTTGCGACATACTCGTTGTGCTGGATGTCCAGCGCATGTAGCTTGGCGGGAGGTGCTGGAGTTGCGACAGAGGCCTCGACTTGTGGTTGGAAAGGACTCGTAACTGGTGTGCTAGCAGCATAACTCTGCATCAATCCATACTCGAAATCAGTACTCGCGCGAAACACCATGCAAGTAGATACTGACCTTCGCCTCCTCTTCACATGCATCAAGCTCGCCCTTGGCTTCCTCCGCGTCTTGCTTGGCCCGTACAAGCGTGGCTGACTGTTGGGCAGGCGTGAGCTTCAGTAACGCACTTCCAAATCCTGTGCTGCAGATGCTCAGCCGGCTATTAAGTGCGGGTAATGGTATTGCAGAGCGGTGAGGGCGATATCCCAGACATCAGGCAGACATTGTAGACTCGGAGGTTGAGGACCTTGAGAGCACCACTGTACACTATCGTCTATCAGAACTCTATACCCTTCGTGAACACCTCGCTCAATGCCTCCAGCGCAGCCACAAAAACACAGAGCAAACTCGCAATCACAAAAGTCGTGATGCTCTCCCCAATATCAAGCCAGCTTCCCTCGTCCCTGACCTCCCAAAAGAATCTCAGCGTCAAATAGTCCCCAATGCCCATGACCACCGCAAAAAGACTCCCACTCCGCAGCTGTAAGCGCTTGGTCAGTATCCCGAGGTTCGCGGAAACCAGTGCGAAAGGTGCGAGGATCTTGAGGACGAGGAGGGCGCCTTGGCTAAAAGGGTCGAAGATGGGTATAAGGCGGTATACGGCGTCAAGCGAGAAAGAGGAGATGCTGGAGATGTTGCCAGCGCTGAAAAAAGCCGATTGGAGGAGGAAGAGGAAGAAGAGGCAGATCCGAGCGTCTGATAGTGCGAGAGCGCGAGGTTTTGTAGGGTCGCGAGCGGGAGCGGAGGAGAAGCGCTGATATATGCGATGCTCAAGTCTGACCCAGGAGACGAGCGTAATGGTGATGGCGAGATAGAAGAGGCCTTCGTAGGATATGGTGAGGATGATGAAGGTAGGTGCAAACGCCAGGAAAATGACGACCAGACGGTGGAGGTAGTGTTTGTTAGGTTGTAGGGCGTGAAGGAACGGTATTCCAAGGGACGAGACTGCATGAGATGTTAGCAAAGGGTGTTCTGATAGCAAAAGCTAGCTGAGAACGCAACGAGATCATGAGTAGCATCAGTTCAAATCGCGTCCTTCCCACGTGATTTGCGGTGGAAGAACTGCATGAAGCGGGCCCAGTGACGTCGGAAAGGGCTGACCAGTCGGTGGGATTTTGGCCGTAGGCTATGCGTATCGCCGTGGTCGACAGTGGTGCTTTGTGAAGCTGAAGTCCCACCCGTCTTCATGGTTCCTGTCGATGCCTGTGGGATGATCGTGATAGACTTCTTCTCCGGGGTCTTCAAAGCTGGCTTGACAGTCGTGGTCTCAATGGTCGTGCTGGGCGCACTCGCTCCTGTAACGGACGGTAGTGTTGCTTTCTGAGAAGTTGCCGTGGGTATGATCTTGCTAGCCAGAGGGTCTGCTTTGATCTCCGTAGCAGCGGGCGTGGTGACTGGTGTCGGCTGGATCACGACGATACCCGGAGCGGTAGATGCGGCTGGGATGACGAACACATTAGGCGCAGGCTCATGTTCGGGAATTGGCTGCGGCGTCAGATCTGCTGCTTGGGTGACGACAGTGACCTTCTTGACTTCCGTCTCGAGAGCAGGAGGGGCAGCTGGTTCTACCTTTTCCTTTGCAGCCTTCCCTCCCTCAGCATGGTCCTTTTCGGCGGCTGTCTTTACCACAGGCTCCTTGGCTTCTTTCTCGTTCTCCACGTTTTCCTCTCCCTTTTCCTCTTTCCCCTTTTCTACCTTCTCCTTTTCTTCCTTTTCCTTTTCCTCCTTCACCTTTTCCTTTTCCATTTCCTCCTTCTCCTTTTCCTCCTTCTCCTCCTTTTCCTTTTCTTCCTTTTCCTTCTCAGCAGGTGATTCGGGAGCGGGTTCAGCAGCTGGAGCTGGGGAAGGTGCAGGCTCGGCAGGAGGGGCAGTGTCCGCCATCGTGCCGGAGTGCTGGTGCTAGGAGGGCGAGTATCAGGGTGCTGGAGAGCGTCCGCGAGTGATGGTGATGGTGGAGAGCTTGGGCGAAGTCAAGGACGATTGGCCAGTTAAAGCACTGCAAGCGGTGGTGTCCAGAGATGAGATGAGCCGGACATTTCTGCAGCCCAGAGGTCCAGAGAGAAGCCTCACCCGTGAGATAGTCCGGGAGGCTGACGCTGAGAGCGATGTGTAATGTATAGGCGGCCAAGAGTGAATGTGAAAGATAGCAGTGATGATGAAGAAGAGAGAAACAGACGCTGCACAAAGAGAAGTGAAGGACACGTCAACTCACCAAGTGTAAACCACCCCACGAGCTGCGTCCCGAGTGGAAGGCCCTGCTTCGCTTGCAGAGAAGTAACGCTCGAATTGGTAACATACATAGCAAGTGCTATGAGTCCAACCTGCAAGAGTGATCATCAGTGAGATTGCGAAAGATAGAGACACGCAAAGACCTACCTGCACACCGAGTATCGATCTGCTGATACCATCTGCTTTGGGAGCTGCAAGTCCTTCCTTCTTCGCAACACTGGCAGAAAGAAGGCCCTTCTCGAACGCAATATACAGCATACCCAGGACGAGCATGAGTCCACCACCAAGCATGATCATGGTTGCGTCTTCAGTCTTGATTGCCGGGAGGAAGGTGAAGATGCTCATGGAAAGGCATCCAAGAGCCCATGTGGCGCACAAGAGGATATTGTCGCTGATGAAGTCGGTGCCGTACAGTGCAGGCCACGCCGCACCAACGATGTAGCAGATCGAGTAAATCTCTCGATAGTAGTAGCTTTGCACCTGTACCTCACCGTCAGCACGAGCAGTACAGAGCTTCACCATCACGCGCGCGTACCATCACCTCTAGAATTGCCAGATAAGCTCCGACATACAGCGCAAGCTTCACCACATCTTGCTGCGAGAACTTCGCAAAGAGCTTGTTCTTGCCCTCGACAAGTGCTCGCCGGCGCACAATTACTTCTTCCCAGAACATGACCGGGAAGGAGGCATACAGGTAGTATGTAAGCGGGCTAGATTGAACAAGCAGAAAGCTGTACAATGCCACAAGTATCGAGCCAAAAGAGACTATACTCATGGTCGTGCGTGTTGCATCGACACTGCCATCCAGCACGAAAGCATCTACCGCAGTTGTGAAGGCGAAAGCGATCCAGCCGACGTAGCCAAGCGTCACTAATGTGCGCAAGAAAAGCCAATCGTACGTCTGCAGATATCGCAGGCCTTGAAGACCAAGCTGTATCAGCTCGTCTGAGCGTGCAATCGCCAGCTCATAGTTGCCATTGTCGATTATGCCTTCGATGTGCTCTAGTCGTCGCTCGATGGTTTGATTTGCAGAAGCGAAGCGTCCGTACGGCTTGTATCGTAGCACTTGTGCACTCTTCTGGACCTCCTTGACATGGTACATTTCGAGAATCTGGCGAGCATTCACGAGCATGGCTTTCGCCTTTTGTTCATCATCGGCAGCTAGGAAAGACAACGGCACTTCACCGACAGAGTTGACAGGATATTCAAGGCCGGCAAGATTGGCCATCAGTATTGCGATATCAGCTTGTGCAACGTCGTGGCGTTGAACATGATCCAGCTGCCAATCGTGCGAGAAGCCGTCGTCGTGTCCAGGCGCCTTGCCGCCTGGCACAGTCTTCGGTTTCGCCACACCCGCACCCCATGCAACGAGGGGAGTGCGGGTGTTGTCTGGATGTCCGTCGCCGTGGCTGCCCCAGTCACTCATGCCGTGGTCGGCAGTGAAGACGAAAGCTGTCTCATCGTCGCCGTAAAAGTCTTCTACCACTTTCGTGATCTCTTGCACACCCTGATCGACGACTTTGATGTTGTGCAGATATTCCTTCGAGTACGGTCGATACGAGTGGCCTGTTGTATCCAGCCCAAGCAAGTGCAAGAAGAACACCACCTTGTCCTCTCTCAATCTCGCATTCAACGCAGCATCCGCCTCAGCACCCTTGAACAATTGCTTCACATGATCGAACACGTAGTAGTCCAGCTCCGTTGCATCCTTGCTGAAATCCTCAAACTCTGCTCCGTATGTGTCGTCCGTCACTCGCCCGGGTATTGCACCAGCCGAGAACATCGGCAGGATGTCTGGACTACCCCATTGCCATGTATGTCTGCTCCTGTTGAAGACACTGTCGAAGTTGACTGGATTGAGCTTCCAACCAGTGGTGACAGCGGACACATCTTCGTACAAGCCTGCGATCAATGCTACGTGACCTGGTCTCGATTCGGTAGGCACACGGGTATGTGAGACTCCAAAGGTTCCGTCGTGGAGGACTTTCGATCGAAGAAATGGAGCCAAGGGCCTTGGCTCGAGTGCCGTGGTGTCATTGTCGGAGGGTGATGGGTCTGGGAACCACTGGAATGCCTTGTCTGCTCGTAGTCCGTCGCCTGAGGGGTGTGTCAGCTCATAAATGTGCGTTGCTTAGCGATCGTACCTACCGACATACAACACCAATCGTTTGGCCGGAGCTTTAGGTGAATCGACGCTGAAAGCTCTCATGCCACTCACGATTGGGCTGCGGAAGTAGACATCGAAGATCGATAGAACATAGATGACATGGAAGACAATCGCCAGACCGAGAAATCCAAGCCGCCCGAGCCGCGCCATGGTGAAATGAGTGGTGGTTTATCGATCACTGGAAAACATTGAAGCCAAGCCAACGTGAACGCATATTCATGCAGCTCGAGCGCGTCCCTGTAACGTCCGCACGTGGCTCGGAGTTAATTCCATGGTCATGATAGCACGCCAGACGAAAGGGGATGAAAAGCCGCCCGACAACAACGGCAAGGACATCAGCTGGTAGATCAATCTCAACGTAACAGAGGAGAGCTTGGAAAAACACAATCACTAGCTTCACGGCACTCTATAACGCAGGTGCTCACAGTCCGCAACGCTGTGACTCAACACTCTGATCGATCAAAGAGGCATCGATGACAAGCTCGTTTCGCCTAGCGCCCATGTCAGGTATATAGAATATTCATCTCGTCATACCCGCTCTTGGCCTTGCGCTGCGCTTCACCTTGACAGCCCGCGAATTGACTTCTGCCTCCGTCGTGCATCAACGACTTGGGAGTCCAGCCGTAGGTTTTGAAGTGCACAGAGCTTCTGCTCACCTAATTGTATCTTGCTTGATAGGAATCACCGTGCTATTGCTGGTCATAGCTGATGCTAGTGTCCTTTATGACCTGGATTCGGACAAGACAGATCCTCACCCATCATGGACGGCAGTGAGGTCTTTGCTATGCTAGGCTTCCCAGTCCGGATCCTCGGCAGGTTGCCACTAAGTGCCCGCTACGCGTTCGGGCCGCCATCCAGTCTTCTCAACACGAGCGAGTATGCCACGCAGCGTTATGGCCAGTCGTACAGATTTAGACCTTGGCTGCGCTTCGACATCCATGAGCTTGAGAAGATCGAGCGTTTGGTCAATCATGGATCAGACGAGGAAGTCTTGAAGTTCCGACAGACGCAACTCTCTAGTGGAGGGACTACTACTGTTGTCGTGGGTATCTCCCTCGATTGCTACCATGATCCTGCTAAGACTGGAATAGGGCTCTCTACTTGCAGCAACGTGTGCAACAATGCTCACCATTGACACCTTGTCCGACCTTCAGCTCTATGTTCGCGCCCTTTTCACGATTAGTCTGACCGTCAGTCTGATGTCCGTCTACTTCACGCTGGTGCAGCAACGAGAGTTGGGCTTGCCTACAAGTGCCGAAACATTACGCCGCTGGCTCTGCAACGGACATGTACGCCGAACGGAAGATCTTGACGACGATACCCACGCGCCCTTGGACACACCGACGATGATCAGAGAAAGCTCGTTGGCAGCGAACATCCTTCTCCAAGTCCCGTTCGAGATGCTCAGCATAGCCATCTCAGTATTCCTGGCAGGACTGGCAACATATCTTGGTCTGGCAATGGCAGAGCATGTTCAACTCGGCAATGGCAAGGGTCCAGGCAATGGCGCCTACCTCGTTGCATTGCTCATCTGCACAGCCTTCACACTGATTGTGTTTGGCCAGGCACTTGGGCAAAAAGATCGAGAGGCTTTGCGATGTTCGGAGCTTGATGTACCGCGGCCAGACAGAGACAGAGCGCGATTTACGAAGAAGGGGTAGGAAGTTCGGCGATTCATGTAATGTGCAGGAAGTCTCCCCAACCGCTCAGTTGATCCACCCTCCTGCTATCACTGGACTAATTTTTGTGAGCCCGTCCAATCACTGTGGTACGCGGGCAGCAAGAGATCACCCGTGATGCACCGACATAGTTCCTGCGACCAATTGTCCACTTACTCCGAAGATCCTGAGCCCATATTCTCGTGAATAAGCCTACATGTGCAGAATATCCATTGATTAGTAGTGACAGCTCTCTCCTTGTTTGGTCGCTGGGCTGTGTGCCTAGGCACTGTATTCCACGCTCGGGACTGATATTTTACGAGCTGCGAACTGGCATGATAAGTGTAAGATCAGCAATGTGTGCAGCATGGGGAAAGGAGCGTCGTGAGGAGTTTGAAATGCGGTTGCTACGTGCAGGTAGTTCTGGCCCGTGCTCAAACTTTGAATGTGACTTCCTCGAACTTGTCTTCACATTCGAAATGAACATTCGGCATCGCCTTTCGCTCCGCAGGTGGTGCACATCAGAGCAGTGATGTGTTCCCACACTGAGAGATAACACTAAGATCTCCCGCAATGCCGCGCCTCGTCCGTCGTGCGCCGCTCTCGGAGCGCATCAAGGCATATCTCGACCCCTACGATCTTCTGCTTTGGCTAGCCGAAGAGCTCAACGACGATGCCTTCGATGAATGGATGAAGTACTGGGCGTCGCCAATTAGTATCGTGCTCAACCTGATCTTTGTGCTTGCAAGAGGAGCAAGCAAGGCTGCACAGACAAGAGGCAGAGACGATGTGTTCGGGGATATCAATGATGGAGGAGGAAGTGCATGGTTCGCATGGATAGTGAGTACTCCAGTACATGGAGGTATAGCGCGATAGTGCTGACATATGTGGACAGGCTGTCTTCTTGGTCCAGCTTCTAACACTCTTTTGCTGCTTCAATGCCTTCTACACCTTCTTCCGGAAACGGAACTACCGCCTCTTCGAGCAACCCGTTGATATCGCACCAGCCACTCCTTCAGCCCATCGAGTGCGAGTGGACAGCTCACCCATGTCCTCGTCACCTTTGCGATACTTGCAGAACGTCATCTCCAGCGCCACAGCTTCAAGTAGAGCGTACCCAGACGCCGAAAGGGAGGTCTGGGAGGTCAGCATTTGGGATCCGAAACCTGCAAGCTTGACGATCTTCACTCTCTTCTCGCCCGGCCATGTGCTTCTGTACTATGCGCTACTACCGCCAGCTCTACTGGATCCACGACCATCAGTCACTGTCTTCACCGCGCTAGGCTTTGGCGCACTGCTGTCATTGCAGCTCGGACTTCTTCGAACTTCCTTCAGCCAGCAGGCAAAGGATTCAGCCCTAGTCCATGGCGAAGTCATGAATGAGTACGACACGAAATTCGTACGGCCCTCTCTGAACCGACCAGTCAGAGATGTAGGTACGCAAACGCGCGAAAGCGCCACCACGCCAAAAGGCACGAAGACACGAGAAGTCGATGTCTACACACCCACCACAATCATCAATCGCGGGTTTCGGGTCAATCCAAATCCAAATTATGCAAGCCAATACAACCCAGATGATATTCCGACACCAGAAGACGGACCAGCGAGGCAGCAAGCTTCACAACTACAACGCACCCCATCGATGAGCACACCAACCAATGGCACATACGTCAATGGCTATACACAATCAGCGTACTCACGACCCAGCACAAGCGGCGGGCCAGAAATGTCCTCGCCACTGAAACCACACCACGAACGACTGCGAGAGCGAAGTCCGATCAAGGGCGATGGTGGGAGTATGGGAGTCTACAGCCACGCCGCGAGTCCGTTGCGCAAAGCAGCGAGCAGTAATATCTTGCGTCCGAGCGAAACAGGCACAAGAGAGAGGCCTATGAGTCCATTGAAACGGGTGAGTACGCCTGGGAGTGGTCTTGATCGTGATGGTGGAGCGGCGAGAAGGAGAGAGACGGGGCGATTCTAGTCGTTCGTGCCGAATTCTCCTGCTCTGCATAGAGCGAGGTTGTCGCGATGAGCGCGGCAATGCTAGTATGTATGTACATTCATCATCCACTCATCCTCGCCACAGCTCTGCCTTTGAAACACCATCTTCTAATTCAATTTAAGCTCCATGCACACTAGTACAACGCAGAATCCCACTCGTAGCGTCACATGACCCTCGGACCTGCTTCAATGATCGCGCCCCAGCTTTCCCAGCTACCACGTCATCAACCTCCCCTTGGGTCAACTCGCGATACCGTGTTTCTTCCACGACTGCGCTGTCACTCCATGACCGATGCGGTCCGTAAACATCATGATGATTAGTGGTCATGTGGTAACGGAAGTCACGGATGCCTTTGATGAACACCCATTTGCTACTGGTGTTCGTGTTGCAGATGCTGCACCGCAGCTCAATGTACCCCCTGGGTTTCGCAGCGTCGAGAATGATATGGGGGGCGTGCTGTTCCAACCATCGGTTGGTATTGTTGGTATTTGGCAACGAGGCGCGCTGATCATTCGCAGTGCTGTCTGCTGCTATGGCGGGCTGCGTGTCGGTGATGTCGCTCATCGCAGCCGTTGAGCCATACGGCTCGATCTTTGCAGGCTCGGATGCCGGAGAGTGCAGTCCATCGGCCGTCTGAATCATGCCTCGCTTGATGGCAAACGGGACTTTATTGATGATCGAGACCTCATCATCATCGTCATCGATGCAGATCGTCGCATGCTCTCGCTTGGATCCACGATTGTGAGCAACTGTGATTGTATGGAGACCTGCTCCTGCAGATTTCGTGACGACCTAGCACTCATTAGCCATCTCCTCGTATACTACCTGGCGAGACTACCCACCGGCTCGACCTGTAGTGAGACCTTCTTCCCTCGAACGTCTTCCACCACCTGCGACAGCTTAGCTCTCAATTGTTCCAATTCGGATCTGTCGAGGAATTCGAGGTGAGGTCAAATCTGGTGCATGAACCTGCCGTACAAAAGCTCAACACGATTCGTGGTGTCGGCCATCGTTGTGCGATACACCCCTGCCAATATGTGCAGCGAATGTAGCAAGATGAGACCTTGCAACCTACAAATGAGCTGAATACGAGACATATCTGAAGAGCTTCCGGCGCACGGTCCGGACCCCGCGGCGGGTTGACAGAAGGAGAAGGAACGATGTAGTGCAGTACTTGTAGCACGTGCTCAACATAGACCCGACTTGGGCTCGCAGGACATGAGCAATCCTTCATAAGCCATCATTAAAACCCCCTCTTCACTCCCCCATGGCCATAAATCCTCCTCTCGGGTCAATTCGCCAAACACAGTCGGTGCCTATGATATCGACGGCATACCGATGTTACTGCCTACTTGTCATGCCGAGTCGCTTCTGAATCCGCCATGTTATCCTCACATGCATATGCCTATGGCTTCAGCTGCTCTGACCATCTAAGTCAGATCGAACCCACCTCATCTGGGTATTTACTTCGATCGTAGCAATCAAGAATTGTGCTTAGTAGATCGAAGTGCATCGGACCGCAAACCTCGCATCTCCTTCCGCATCCTTGCCATCTCATCATAAACATCCGACACCTCCTCTCGAATCCCCGCCATCTCATCCCGCAGCGCAGACACTTCCGCAAGCAAAGCAAGCACGTGGTTACCAGTTACATCACCATCTCCCTCCCGCATCCCCAACTCGACTGCACTCTCATCCTCCTCACAGGGTGGTCTCGCCTCACATTTCTTGCTAGGACCCATACATGCCGCACATCGAGTCGGTGCCTGCAGGCCAATGCGGTGGCGAGTGGAGATGGAGTAAACCATGCATTCAAGACCATGGCTCACACATCTCCGACACAGTGTCCGAGCACGAATGCCGTCCTCCGTGAACAGGATCGCCGCGACGTGATGCAAACGACGCTTTGCGCTCGTCATTGGACCTTTCCAAAGGCTTCGGCGGCTGTATGATACCAGTTTCCCGGGTCGTCAAGGCGTGAATCATAGGATCTGGGATTCGATTTGGCCTTGGGCACTCCTCGACGACTACGTTTTCGTGTGACACCCTCATCGATGCTCTCAAAATCCTCACTGTTGACATGGAAGGCCGGAGTGACAGATCCACTCGGTTCGTGTTGGCCGTCGACTGAGCCGGCACTCTCGTCCGGTCGGAGCTTGGACACAACGTCCTGCTCTACACCGCTGGCGAGATCACGTTCTGCGTCGGCTTTGCTCGCTCGTCCGCGCTTGCGATGCAGCTTGCCTACTACCGAACGGTCAGTTTCATTAGCGTTGGCTTGCTCTTCGGATGTGTTATCCGCCTGCATGGCGTTAGCATATATCAAGACTGATAGATAGGTCATGGACTACTGTGGGATCTGCACGCGGCACCGGATTGCTGCTAGACTCTGGGTTGATAATGTCGCCGCCGAGTCCACGACTGAGACGTCTCTAGTTCCTCTTGGTTAAGGAAGTCGAGATGCGGCGCGACACATTGCATGAATTCAGCGTACAGTAGCTCGTTAGAGTCAGAGTCAGTCTCGTCCGCCATTGCCGCAAGCCGGACCACGTCCCACCAAAAGCCAACGACTCGCGAGCTTCAAGCACCTCGATGATGGTTGGCCGCTGATAAGCGTCCATGAGATACGATGGTGTTTCAGGCAGAACCCTTCCTCCATTGAGCCGCCCTGGGGACGTGCAAGGTTCGACCGTCCCATAGCGTGATAACCTTCCAATTGCTTATTAAGTCCGGGCAAAGGTAGTTTGCAGGAGAAACTTGCTGCGCGGCACCTGAGCGAACTCCAGTGGATATGTGAAAAGCAGGGAGTGCGAACCCAGACGGCTGCCAGCCCCTCGACTCGAGATTGACATAGTAGCAAGAAATGGTTGTGCACTGTCTCCGTGTTATAAACGGAGAAGACCCTTGGCATATTGCTCAGCTGCGATTCATATCGAGTGTTCGATACGAAAGAGCGGACCAGCATGGCTGGACACAATTCCATGTCCATGAATTCCCGAGGAAAGGCGCCGTGGTGTATGTCAAGGCGAATGAGGTTCTCAGGGCCTGCACGGTTGCAGGGATGACATTTCGCAGCATTTCCAAGGCGCGACAGGTAGATTCTGTGAGGCGACTCTCGGATGCACGATCGATCCCCCGGTATCGAAGTCAAAGATATAGTGATAAGGGAGGTAGACAAGGTGGCGGTGGATAACAGAGGTATAGCGACCACGAGTTTCAGCCGTATGGGAACAAGGACAATATGTATTCGCATCCGTCGCCCACCGACACCGCGGGATCAGGGAAGGTTTCCATTGTAGTACATGTCATTAGCCGTTGTACGCTCGCTTAAGTATCGCGCCCTTAAGTACGGAGGACCTCTCAACAGCAAGAGATTTTTATTACAAGGACCGCCAAGCAATTTCGTCTCGACTCCTCCAATCCACTGCATTGAGCGCTGCGCGTAGCCCTGACGTATTCGATATACCGAACCCCAAAGAACGCCTTCGCCAAACTCCACGCACGCATCATTGAAATCAACGTCCTCGTTCCTCATTACCAGATCTCCCACTCCCGACCACCGACGGCGGCTAGCGGGTAATGAGCGAAGTCAAGGTGCCGGACTTAGCGCCCACCATCCTGCCAACTGACTCGCCGCTTCTCACCCGCGCCACCCACACGACCACCAGGCGGTGCCGACCGTACCTTCCTAGGCGTACACACCACCCCCACCCTCGCCTGCCCAACCTCCACCACCACCCCACCGCCAACCTCAGAGTTCCTGACTCCATTACAATCCTGCTGCTTCACCTCCCCCGTACAATCCTACTGATACGTAGGCGGCGAAGCCGAACCCGCACCCGCCCCCACCCCCTCACCACCATGAAGATGTGCCCCACCACTTCCAACCCCACCACTCCCGCTCATCCCCCCACCCGCACCACTCCCATCCCTCATAACCTCCAACGTCCTCGGAAAATACGGTTCAACCCCCCAATTCCTCAAATACGCCCCCGTCTTTTCAATCCGCTTAATCTCCCTCTGCACCCCCCACCCTTCCCCCTCCTCCCGGAACCTCCCCCGCACAATCTCCACCATCGCGTTATCCAACCGGGAATAGAACGCCCGGCGCTCTGCCAGATCGTCTTCATCCCCACTTTCCAGTCCGCCGTGGGAGTTCAAGTTCCCACCTAATTTGAGCAGGAGGTCGAAGGCGTAGCGCGGGCCGGAGGGGAGGCCGGAGAGGCGGGCGATATCGGGGAGGAATTTGAGCATGCACGCGCTGAAGGAAGGGGTGGGCAGGCTGTCGTTGAGATCGTCCTGGAGGCGATGGAGGTCGAAGTTGACGATTGTGATTTTGCGGTCGAGTTGGGCGTTGAGGGTGGCGGCGGCGTGGGTCGGGGAGGAGGAGTGGGAGGAGGTGTCCATTTGGTGGGCGATGCTTGGGGGAACGTCTGATCACGCATTCTAGTCAGTACGTGGATCGAGTGTTTTATTGTGCGGGGTTATGACAAGACTTACCAGGTCTCAACCCCCTCTTATCAATCCAAGCATGTACATCGCCCCGCTGCGCCTCTAACTGATCGATATAAGCCCGCAAATCCGCAATCTCGCTCTCCAGCGTCTCGACTTTATTCGTATAAGGCCGCAGCGCCTGGTTGAAAGCTTGCAGCAGGAGATCAGGCGCGGGTTCGTGGGATGATTTGGGGGCGGCGGAGTTCATGCCGCTGTCGTAGCTGCCGTAGCCGTTTGACATGCCGCCTTGCTGCCCGCCGCTTCGTGGACCACCGGCGCTCACGGGCGGGCTTTGGTATTGTGTGTTGGAGCCGACCTCGGTGGGTTGGTTCTGGCGCGCGTACATGCCTGTTTCTTTGCCCAGTACGCCGTCGTTCTGGTGGTTGGCTTGTCTCGATGAGCCTGGGCGGGAGTCCTCACGGTCGCGCTCCCCAGCAACGTTGTACTTGTCGTCGGCGAACTTGGAGTCGTCGTAGGAGGCGCTGTTGTATTTGCTATCGTGCGGGCTGTTGTTGTTGTTGTTGTTGTTGTTGTTATTGTACTGGTTATCGACGTAACTTTGGCTGTTGGAACGGGATCGTGAGAGTCTGATGAGGTTGAGGTTGATGTCAGCATGCAACACACCTAGCACCTCAATGTGGTCGTCGCGGTGAGACAGTATTGGTAGGATAGGATGGAAGACTCACCTCTTGAAGAACACCATCTTAGACAAGAACGAGAAGAGGGAGATGCGACAAGCGACGAGAGCTACAAATGCGCCGCGACAAGAATAAGCCGGTGGTGTGCAAGCGGGCTTTTTGGCGAAGTGCGTGGGAGAGAGAGACAATCTAGGCCGCAGAGTGAATGATGGCAAGATCGTGGAGTCTTACGCCGAGGGGAGGAGGTTGGTAGCGAAGTGGTATGGCCAATGGCAGGAGAGTGAATGGTGGTTTGTTGAAAGTGACGGTGCTGGGGATCGCGAAAGTCGGAAGGCTGGAGAGCTTCGTTTGACGGGGAGGTCTGTGCTTCTCTCATCCATGCACTTGGCAACGGATGAAGGTTTACACAGTTTACACAATTTACACCATTGAGGCGACGGCGATCATTACATATCAAAGCTGTTGTTGTGCTCATGCACTGCTGTCTACTTGATCATCTTCTACACCTAAGCTAATGATGCCCAAATCTGGCTCGACCTGAAGCCGGTGAAGCTGATCAAAACCCAGTGGCCGGGGAGGAAACCTTGGAGCACACTCCGACACGGCTCCTCCGCACACGGGCCGCCTAGTGCCAACTTAAAGCCAAGAATATCGTGGCTGGTAATCATAATCAGGAAGCGAATTCAGGGTTGAGACGACGAAGCATCGATTGCAACGCATCCTGGATCCTATCCATCTTTGTACTGAAAGCCTCCTATGATCCCCTCGTCGGTCGCCACGGTATTGCCACCGTCCCTGAGATTATCCCGAACCACCGTTGGTCCATGGCATCCCATTGCATCTCACCATCATCGAACCTCTGCTCCTCCCATAATGGATCTCTACAGGATACACGACCCATAAATTGACGAACAGCATGTCCTTCTGTGCCGATCCGATCACTTCTTACATCGAAACACCAACTCAGCCAATTCATCGCTGTCCAAAAACCAACACAGCTTCCCGACCTGACCCCCCCCGCCCATCAACATAAACCTCATCATTCATCTTACCAACATACCCCTCCAACTCACTAGCCTCAAGTTTCTCCCTCGGAATAATCTCACTAAACCCCACCTCAAACCTCCCATCCCCCCTCGCAATCGGACACTCCACCCGAATCCTCCCCATCCTCCCCACCATCCCCCCACCACCACCACCAACACCACCCCTCCGCTCCAAAACCAAAACATCAACCCCCACCCGCCTAACCAATCCAGCATAACCCCCCAACCCCTTTAACCAAGCCCCAACACACCGATTCCTAACCATCACCGCATCAAACCCAAACTCATTCTCCGCGCAATAAATCGGCATCAATTCCTCCCTAACCTTCTTACACGTCGACGCCATACCCGGCGCCGCCACGGAAGCTTTGCTATGAACGCAAGCGCCTAGACCGCAGATGAGGTCTGAGCCGGTGATTTGGACGGGTTGGTGGGAGGGTGGCGGGACGAAGGCGAGGCGGTAGATGGTATTCCTTAATTCACCCGGGAGGAGTGCGAAGAGGCCCATCATTGTTGACAAGGAGAGGAGGGTGGTGCTTTGGCTTTTGGTGGAACTGAGGTGGCGGAGTTGGTGGGTTTGGTAGCGGTTATGCTTGAGCTTACTCGGTCGGCGGGCAATCTCAGGCTCCAGGTCTTGCATTCCGTAGGTGGTGCTGGCTGCCTGCTTAATGGAAGGGAAAATCTGCATCATCTGCTCGTGCGTCGGTCCTGCACTGCGTGGTGTCGCTGGATCATCATCTCCGCCAGGCCCGGCGACATCACTCTCATTATCATCATCATCATCATCATCATCATTGCCATCCTCTGCTTCTTCGCTTGATTCGATCGCCCGCTGATCGACGTTCCGCCGCCATGCACGCATCTTCGTCCCGGAATCTGTGCGAGTTCCTGCGTCGAGAAGGTCTTCGACCTCACTGTCCAGGTCCATTTCGGCTTCGCGCTGGAGCGCTGACAAAGGCGAGTCGTGCTCTAGAGTGGATGCTGGAGGCATTGCTGCGACTTCTACTGGAGTGGCTTTCGGAACTGATGTGAAGGGATGAAGATGCTGGGTTCGTTTGCGTAAGTTCTTTCCTTCGTTTCTCCTGAGGGCGATCGCGCTTCGCCGGTCTATTGCGCTGGCCAGGTCCAGGTTGGATATCATGAGCTTTCGTTTACCCCGTGATATTGGTATTCCTGGTTACAAAAGTGTCCAAGTTAAGTAATCTTCCCCTTTACCTTCTTGTTTCCTCCTACCTACATCGTCACCGCGGATCAAGTTTATATCACACGACTCTGTACATACGAATGTGTCTACAAGAAGCCGCAAAGTAGATTTCCTAGTGTTTCACATTTAGCAGGCGCGACTTGGAAGAACGTGCAGCAGGCGGCAGCTGCGGAAGTGCTCGCTGGAGTGTGAGGTGCGTGACGCTAGCTTTTTCCGGAAAGGGTCACGTTATTGTGGGGTCCTTCCATTCACTTCACTTGGTCGTGGACTGGTCATAGTCGGCGACAAGATCGTTGAACACGACTTTTGAGTTACATAGCTCAGCCGGAGACCTCGGGCTGCGCGACGTGAAGCGCAGATGGCCGATTGACCACCCAGAACAATGTGGGATGCAACATGCTTTTGGATTGAGAACTTCGTCACTTATCGCAGGCTCTGACTTCACTCCGATTACTTCACCGCTGATCAGTGCACATACTAATTCATGGCTTCACACACTGCCGAGCCCTTCCAAGACCCAATCCACGACTTCATTAACCTTCTGCAACAACACCACGCCACAATCGAACACCAAGCACCCATCGTCTTCACCACCATCCAGCACTAGTCAACATGGCAGTCGATCTCCTTGCCATCTGGGAGTCCACCAAGACAAGACTGGACCGCTACGGAGGACAGATCAAGCAGCTGATGAAGGACGAAGCTTGTGCTGAAGGCGAGCTCGAAGCCGTCGCTGAGCGTCGTAAGACCATAGCTACGGATCTTGCGGTACTCAAGCAGAAACGGGCAGATCTTGAGGTGGCGATGCAGGTCTGTGGTCATATACCTCTTCCAGGTGATTGAGTTGTGTCTAACTTGTGGCAGGGCGAAGCTTTGCGCATCTGTGACAGCTTCATCAAAACAGCTGCCTGAGATGAAACGAGAAAATGGTGACTTAGTTTCAGGCGCGGACAAATCCGGTGTTCGTGTGCCAGAAGTGGCCACTGTTCAAGCTGCAGGGGCTCAAAGCAGTGACGAGCATCAAGAGACTTTTCCGGTTGGTGTCGTGCCTGCGAAGGATGCGACCAACACTCCTCAGCATACAATCAGCGTTCGTCAGCAAGGAAGCATTGCCCCTCAGCATGATGATAAAGCTCCTCAGCATGGTGACCAAGCTCCCCAGCGTGGAAGCAGCGGGCCTCAACGTACCGGTGGCACACTTCGACATGATCCTACCTCCCCGCCAGAAGACGATGGTGATGCGGACTTCGCGGCCATGGACAAGCGCACAGCTACGAAGCCACAATCATCAAAGCGCGGGCGCTCTGAGTCGCCAGACCCTAAAGACACAATCACGGCGAAGCCAAGAAACTTGCAAATCACGGGAAAGGATAGACAGCCCGGTTCAAGCAACACAAAGCATTTCGAAGGCATCGTTCCAGACTTCCCGACCATTGTTCGAAATAGAAACGGCCGATGGGTGGAGCTTCGCTGTCATGTCTGTGGCGAAAACCTTGTTTAAGGGCGCGCTGGGTATGATGCACCATTACAGGCATAGCCATGATGATCGACTCGGTGAAGGAGAGCGGTATCGTACGGTAGACATCATCGAGATGGCTTCGCACCATGTGTTGTCGGACCAAGAAGTCGAGAGCATCAGGGTAGGTGATGTGGATGGGTATAAAGTACCTTCTCCTGGCACCGAGCTCGAGGTTGCACGTAGCAAACGAAGCCATTGGGACAACGTTTGATGAAGTGCTACAGCGTGGAGAGACTTGATATGTTTAGGTCCTCGAAGCATGCCCAATAATCGCCCATCTAGCATGTGCAAGTGGGTCTGCAATCTCAATAGCTTTGGCGCCAAAGTTGTAACATCATGAGCTAGCTACATCAGCAGATTGACGACCTTCACGATCTTTGGCCTAACATCACGCTCCACAGTAGCGTTGAACACTTCCCTCAAGGCTCCGTCAAGATGGAGAGCATCACGAGAGAGGACTTCGACACGCACAAGGCGATCATGGGAGGTTATAGAGCGAAGGTACGCGATGTGAGGCGTCAAAAAAATGCGAAGCAGCAAAAGTACATCGCAGAGGTGACTTTGCTGGATGCCGATGAAAAGCACGTCGAGCAACTGAGTCAGGTCACTACATCCGCATCAGTCCGTCACCCGGACGTTATACTGACGACCTTGAACACAGAAAGAGGAAGCCGCGTTCAAGCTGAGGCTCGAGGGCAGTCGTACGGCGAGCAAGGCCGCCACGATCGTGCACAAAGTCGACATTGATCTCACTCGACGATGAACCAGCTGCACGTCTCTCGAAGCGCGAAGCAGAAGGCGATGGCACAGCGCACGACGCACTCGCCTTCGCAGCAGTTCCACACCGCGCTCCTGGATCGGGTTTGGCGCAGGATCCTCTTCGCCCGAAGCGCGAGAAGAAGCGCAAACCCAATCTCCGCCTGCCAGTCGAGGAACTAAGCCAGCATATGGCTGAATTCCTCGCAGCCAACTCTACCATCATCCGCGATCCAAACGGCAACAGCTTTGTCGAGCTACGCTGCTATCACTGCGGTGGAAACTCGTCTGCCAGCAACCGGGGCTTTTGGCTCGGTGAAGATGGCTTCTTCGCCCAAATTACTCACTGCCACCGCAGCAAGCTGGGCACAAATGAGTGGTACGACAAGGGAACGACCATCGCAGCATGTGTGCGCCGACATATCACCGAGGAGGAACTTACAGCCATAAGCAATGGAGAGCCCGGCGCCTACATTGTCGAGAGGATCACAGGTGCGGGTCAGGAGTCTCACCCGCGTGTGGGTGATCATGGGAAGGGTGGCGTACCATTCGTATTCGACGGTACTATTGGCGAAAAGACTTTCGGGGCATCTGCCAGACTGTCCTTCAACGGTCTTCCTACTCCGCAACATAGATTTCCAAATGCTGAAGGTGCGATGATCGATCCGACGCTGGGGCTCACGGCCGAAGACGCGGGTCACCTCCAGGGTGCACGCAGCTTACAGACCAGGAGTGCGTCGAGCTTTTCTCGCTGAGTACTTGCGCACCCTTTTTGGCGCAGCCGTGTGGTAAGAAACGATGTGTGGCTTGTGGGTGACTGGGTACGGTCTTCATGTGTTGTCCTTGGGTGCGATCTCGAATGGGGGGCGGACTACTTGTGCCGCTTAGCGGCACTACAGGAAGACTGATCTATACGCATCGGTACGGTGCCGCTAAACGGATAGCTCTAGCATATCCTTGACACCGAAAGTCCGCGCTGTGATAATCCTAGCAAGACACGTGCTCCCTTGCCCTACTTGCCACCAAGACACGTTTCCCACAGCAACGGAACAAGGTTTGCGTGCTTTCCCGATCTGAGCAGACCAATCAGCCTGTGTGTGTGACCGGAGATCATTTTTTCCACCGGTCGTAGTTCCAGCTCCTTCTCTGTTCGGCGTCATATATAAAGGACTGCTCTTATCACTCTTCTGCCAAATTAAGCGACCACGCTACGCACGGGTCCGCGGATCCCGCGAACACAAATATGGCCGACGACACTGACCGCGTTGAGATAAGCCTTACGGAGGTTAGACAAGTTTGCGACCCATGACTACTACTCCTCAATCAAGGCGAGAGGGCTCGTCTTGCCACGAGGCTTATTGCCTACTCCACGTCCTTGATGCCCCAAAGACGAATCGTTCGGTACCAAACAACTCGGTAAGAGAACCGGAAGGAAGATCCTATGTTGTGTCAAGCTGACTAGTCGTAACAGGCGCCGGCATCTACGTCTTCACCCAGCGCCAATGTCAGCGTCACAGCACAGCCTGGATCAGCAGCGAGGGACAAGACCACGGAGCGCCTGATGTGGCTCTCATAGAATGCCCTCACGATTTCTGTGATGCTCGTCATCATGAGCACTACACTGAGCTACGCTAAGGCATCTGCAAGGCCGACACAGGAGAGGATGGCAAAACTCTCCTCAGAGGTAATTTTGGTTAATGCTTCACCTTGCGTGTGCACATAACGACTCCAATCACGTTTGTCGCTTTTGGGATTACGGATATGTGTTTAAGAAGTGCTGGTACAAGGATTGCAAATCTCAGCAGATCGATGGTATGGTTGCAGGTAGACCAGGTACTTACGAGGTGGTGGCTCGAGGTCCAGACGCTACGAATAGATGAACGGGCGCTAGGGAGAGTCTTCCGATGTTGACCGACAGGTACAGCTAATGTGTGACCAGCGATGTGGATATGGAGATTCTCGCTGGGAGACTGACAAGCAGATTGGGGGGCGTCGGGGGGGGCGTCGGGGGGCGTTGGGCAGAGTCAACACAGAGTCGCCAGTGCCTCTTTACTGAACTGCTCGCAGGGTGATGTTGGCACATGTATGCCCTTGCAAAGCTGTGATGACTATCAACACTCTTGTCTGCAGTCGTTCCTGATTGCCATGGCTGCGATAATGGACTGTTATCCTCCGTAGAGCCGCCAGAAGTGCTCCGCATTCCCTGACGGCCAGTCTGTGTTGCTCCGTGACTTGCAGGGTTCAAGACTTTCCCCATGGCAGATAGTCGATCTATCACATCATAGTACGGCCGGAGGCTAGATCGACATCGTCAGACGCAATGATCGCCAGATGGAATGAGGGTTCATCAGCACCACCATGAGCATCTGGCGGGCCTCAAGGCAAGGCAAGACTGCTAGGTCTGTAGCTGCAGACCTTCCGTAGTGGCAGAGACGCTTGACTGAGTCTGCTGCAATTTTGTCATTTGACCGTGTGTCGAAGGAGCTCGACCAGAGTTTGGGAAGAAGCAGTGGTTCCATGACCGTCCCAGAGCTATGCCACATGAGTGCCACTCACTTTCAAGAAGAAGTGACCTCGAGGACCGCAGCGCACTTGCTGTCAGACGAACCATCAGCAGACGCGTTAGCGACCACCTCACGCATCTCCTTCGGGTCTCAGGCCTTCATCTCCTGGATAACCTTCCCCAAGTTCCCAACATCATGCGCAAACCGTCCCAAAAAGCACCCATCAACCCCGTCCTTCAGCTTCCCGAACGTACCCGGACCCGCACTCCCACCATACAATATCCTCGTCCTCCCCGTCCTCCCTGTTCCCTTAATCAAAGCCCTCAATTGCTGCGTAACAGCCACCACATGATCCGCACCCGCCGGTTCACTGGCACCAATAGCCCACACAGGCTCGTACGCCAAGATAACTTCCGCCTCGCTTGGAAGTTGAGATAGTGCAGCAGTAATCTGGGTGGTACATTCGCTGACGGCTTGTCCTACGGCTGCTGAGGCGATGCCGGAGCCTTTACTTTTCTCCCCTATGCAGATCAAAGGCACCATCCCGTTCCTCACTATCGCAGCGGCTTTCTTAGCAACATCCTGATCCGTCTCCCCAAACAGCCGTCTCCGCTCTGCATGCCCGATCTCTACAATCTTCACACCGGCCTGCTTCAAGACGACAGGACTCACTTCGCCCGTGAAAGCACCTCTGTCTTCATACCAGCAATCCTGAGCTCCCAGCTGTACAGAAGTGTTCTTCAGCTTTTCCGCAGCAGGAAGAAGAGTGACGAAGTCCGGGATCACGAAGAGGTCGACGTTGGCTTCTTCTGCCGCAGATGAGAGTTGGGCGACGGCATCGATGTAGTTGAGTGTACTCGGTAGGTCGAAGTAGAGTTTCAGGGAGGTGCCCACTATCCTCTTTTCTCGCTGGGGTGGGATCGGGGGCATGTTTGCAGCAGGAAATGAAATATACTGCTATATGTATTCTACTTTTGTGCTCTGAACTTCACCAAACGTGTCGTCTGGACTCTGCCCCACCATACTTCCCCATCCAGCAATCACGTGCGCCCGGAGACATCTGCGAGATCGGCGTCTGAGTAGTGTGGGGTACGTCTTCAACCCAAGAAAATCGTTGCTCATCGAGTCCAGCTTTGACAGCATATCAACGACTTCTTCACCTTGAAGAACCAATAATCCAAATTATGTCTTGCTGATATCTGTCTGCACCTGAACGAGATGACATTGTACGGCGGCAAGGAATTGAGTGATTACAAGAGTTCTTCGGCCATCTGAGCGGGACGACGATCATTTGATATTGTTCAACGGGACGGTGCACTGCATTGCATAACGACTCCTTCAAGGCATTCACGCTCACTCTGGGTGGCCTTGGTCCTCGTAGGATCGATCAGACTGTCCTTTAGGTAAGCATAGGGCTGGATGGAGATGTTACAAAATGTCCCGCAAAGTGCCTCATAGTGTTGTTTGCTAAAGTTTGCAAGCTGCAGAATATCTTCCCGAAACACCACACCATTCGCCCTCACTTCCTTCTTTACACTGAAGTCTCCCAACAACCTAGTGATCATCCCAGCCACCCACCATGCACATAACCAAAAAGCTGGCGGCGGCCCACGCCGAAAACCGCCCAACCTACTCTTTCGAATACTTCCCTCCCAAGACCGCTCAAGGCGTTCAGAATCTCTATGATCGAATGGACCGTATGCATGGCTTCGGTCCTGCTTTCATCGACATAACATGGGGAGCTGGTGGACGCATGTCCAACCTGACGTGCGAGATGGTGAAGGTGGCACAATCTGCATATGGTCTGGAGACATGCATGCACCTGACTTGCACGGATATGGCTGTGTCAAAGATCGACGAGGCGTTGGAGGAGGCATACAAAGCTGGGTGTACGAACATCCTTGCTCTACGGGGAGATCCTCCTCGAGAGAAGGAGAAGTGGGAGCAAGGTGATGGCGTGGCGTTCAGATATGCTAGGGATCTGATCAAGTATATCAAGAAGAAGTACGGCGACCACTTCGACATTGGCATTGCCGGATACCCCGAAGGCTGTGACGAGGAGACGGATGCAGATGCACATATCCCTTATTTGAAGGAAAAAGTGGATGCAGGAGGGACATTCATTGTGACGCAGATGTGCTACGATGCTGATATTTTCATTGCATGGGTGAAGCAGTGCAGGGAGGCTGGGATCCCGGAAAGTGTGCCGATCATTCCAGGAATCATGCCCATCCAGACGTACGACAGCTTTCTGCGGCGAGCGAACTGGACGCAATGTAAGATTCCTTCAGACTGGCTGGAGAAGCTGGAACCTGTCAGAAACGACGATGCACGAGTACGAGACGTAGGCAAAGATCTGATTGCGGACTTCGGTCGGAAACTTTTGGATAGTGGGACGACAATGCATCTGCATTTCTATACCATGAACCTTGCCGCCTCAACGCAGATGGTACTGGAGGAGCTAGAGATGACACCAGCCACGGACTCGCATAACCCAGATCTCAAGCCTCTACCATGGCGACAATCCCTGGGCTTGAACAGGCGAGACGAGAACGTCCGACCAATCTTCTGGCGAAACAGAAACAGAAGCTACGTAGCCCGAACACAAGACTGGGACGAATTTCCTAACGGTAGATGGGGAGACTCGCGCTCCCCTGCTTTCGGTAGCCTGGACGCTTACGGCATCGGATTGAAAGGTACAAACGAAGCCAACCGCAAGCTCTGGGGTAGTCCTCACAACGTGCAAGAAATCGCCAATCTCTTCGTAGGCTACATGAAAGGCCAAGTGCAGACACTACCGTGGTCCGAGAGTCCTATCAGCGGCGAAGCGGACGTCCTGCGGAAGGACTTGATTGATCTCAATAGCCGGGGTCTTCTGACTATCAACTCTCAGCCCGCAGTTGATGGCGTGAAATCGACCCATTCGACTTACGGCTGGGGTCCAAATAACGGCTACGTCTACCAGAAAGCCTATCTTGAGGTCCTTGTCCACCCCTCTCTCCTATCTACACTCCTGGAACGCATGAACGCAAAGCCGGAGATAACATACTACGCCGTGTCCTGCACTGGAAAACTTCAGACAAACGTTCCTGGTGGCGATGGCAGTGGACCCAACGCCGTGACCTGGGGTGTCTTTCCTGGTAAGGAGATCGTGCAGCCTACTATCGTGGAAACGGTGTCCTTCCTGGCATGGCGAGATGAGTTCTACTACCTTGGTTCAGAGTGGAGTAAATGCTATGATGAGGATTCTGATTCGCGGAGGGTAATCAGGGAGATCACGGAGACCTGGTCGCTGGTCAACATCGTGGATAATGACTTCAGGAGCCAGCGAGGCATCTTCCCGCTCTTTGAGGGGTTGAAGGTCGATGGTGTGGTTGGTGGTGAGATGATCAAGACGAATGGACATGTGAATGGTCATACGAACGGTGAGGCAGATTTGAAGACAGAGGATAAAGCGCTTCCGGACAGGAGTGTGAATGGTCATGCTAAGGGTCCCGCGCCAGAGACAGACGGAGTGCCGGATGGGAATAATGTCGTCAACGGCGCCGATGTGAAGGCGAACGGACACGGCAACGGCGAGCTCAAGAACTGAGCACTCTTCTACTCCAACCGTGGAAGAAAGACGGGTTAGGTTTTAGCGAAGGCGTTCTATGTTTCAACCACGGAAAAGCACAAGGGTGTGTGCGGGCAGAGACAGGACCACGGCCACATTTCTGCTTTTCAACAGGCAGGCGGCTTTCAACATTCGTGGTTCGGCGCTTGTCGACCAAGATCGGGACATGGAAAAGAAAAGTGCTGTCGAAATAGCAAGAAATCAAGGCGTTTATGGTTCGAAGTTGCGGGGGCTGGAAGGTGGGAGTGCGTGATTTGAGATACCCCCATTCAACCGGGAGAGTTGATGTTTGCTTTTTGCTCTTTTCGCGATGGAGGTGAGACCGGCACACGAACGAGCTAGACCGCTCTGTACGTAGGCAAGTGGAGCAGATGGCCTTACTAGAGTGTGTTGTGCACGCATCATTGCACTGCTGCTGTACTGCGAAATCTGGTACAAGCGGTAGGTATTCCTGTGGCCATGGTATGGTGAGCCCAGCCACATCGTCTTCAGTTTCGCATCGGGCCGTAGTATTTGTGCCTAATCGCAGCATCGAGCAAGATCTGTCACTGGAGATAGACACCATTGTGAGCCTAAAGTCTGTTCAGTATGGCGAAGAGGTTCAATCTTCACCATCACTAAGCATTAGGTCCGTGTCTTTCTGTCACTCGCTCACGATGCTCATTCTCAGCACAAGAGGATCGTCAAGATTTCTTTGTCGAAGCGATAAACGTAAGGTCGAGCCAAGAGAATCCTGCAAGTCGAGGTTTTCCAACGAACCGGCCCCGTGGAGTCTTATCGTGTGTATGGCATCCGACCACATTTGCATGCTTGCCCGATCATGATTAAGAGGCCGCAGACTATCGACAGACCGAAGATCAGCGATGAAGGAGAGACTCGGTACCCACGCACTAGCAAATAGGCAAGAATCATAGGCTATCACGACCTCAACAACGCTATCGCTGTTCGTGATACCGAAGCGGATGCGCACCACATGAGGGCGGTCTTATCCGTTGGGGGTTGTATACCTGAGCATAATTGTCGTAATCCATAGCAGGTTCTAGATCTAAAATATAAAATGGCCCAGGCCGGAGTAAGTCAAGCCGGATTTGCGGCCGCCAGAGATCACTAGTCTTCGGTCCCGAATAGGGCCGTTCACATCTAGGAATTTCCAGTGTCCGATCTGGGAGTAGCTCGCTGAAGGTTAGGCGTACCTGCACCAGTCGTTCTTCTTCCATGACATAATACCCACTGTCCGATCTCAAGCAGAGTACTAACATCGAACTTATGTCATGTTTGTGACGGCATCCCAAAAAGATCTGCAGAAGTGAACCATCAGGTTGTCGAATTTCTGGTAGGCACACTTATAGAGCTGTATTTGTCAAATTGCATGTACGCCTATCATCAAGGCGGGGATCGAGTATAATGTCACCCATGTTCTGGAAGAATAACGGTGATGGTGCGAAAAGATCGTCCGGCCCCCTGGCGACGACGCCAGTGAGTTTTCCCTCGACTCTGGCGAGCATGGTAGAATTATGGGCGATGATACTGCGAGCCAGATCCGGCTTGTACTTGGTTGCTCCATGGACCGCTCCAGGCCAGGCCAGAATCGACAGGTCCGCTGACAACCTCAGAATCTCTTCTTGTAGACGCAGAAATGCTTTTGTCCCTTCTCCGTACAGTAGTGGCATTTTGATAGAGAAGAGCCCCAACAGACCATATGCCTGATCTTCTTCCCGAGTGGTGCATCGGTGAGCTGCCCAAGACATGCGAGCCGCGACGGTGTAGGCCGACAGCGGTTTCTTGTGGTCCAGTAATTCATGATCTGCCATCGTGGCTTTGATCGCGTTGTCTAGGAGCTCATCCAGTCTGCCGATATGCTGCCATCTAGCGTTAAAAAACGACAGCTTCTTGGCGAAGCTGCAAAGCTGCCCAGCTCCAGCCGTATCGTGCCAGCCATACAAATGGAGTGCTTGTCAGACTCCAATATATGCGTCCAGGCATCCAGGCGGACTGCACAATGTTCTGGTCCATGAGTGACCATGATCGATGATCGATGATCGAACATGTAGGTAGAGAGGGCAAGATCAACAAGACGGGAGCAGAAAGTCGTGGCGAAAGCGGTCCAAGCAAACCTGACCACGCGCGGATCTACGCCTCTCGCATTCTTCAGATTATACAGCCACGAAGAGAAAGCTAGGCCATGCGAAGTCAGGCGTTCGAGGAGCACGCAGAAGCATAGATATCAAGTGAAGGCCAGTAAACTAAACGAAAGAAACGGCACGTGATTGCAGCCATTTGTTAAGGAACTATGTAATAATAAACATACCGTAGCATAATCCGTGCTATACATATCGCTTGAACTCCGAACCGCCCATCTACGCCTGTGAGATGCAAAGGCATATCACGAGATGCACGGGATAAGTTCAGTCCTTCCACCTGTTCAAGAATTTGGCCATATCGCCCGTGGGATTCGACTGAGCCGCAGCCTAGCACAAACAACGTCAGTAACAGCCGACTCACGTTCCCTAGTCGAAGAGGAACTCACCGTATTCTCCATGCTGCTCACACTAAACGTCTGACTAGCCGTCAAAGTCGTCGCAATACTCGGCTTCGGCATCCAAGTCGTCGCAATTGTATACGCACTGGTAGGGTGCAGCGGCGTAAAGTTATTGGCCGTGATCTTCGTGCCTGGGACAGGCTGCATAGGCGCATATTTCGTCAGGCCCGTCTGTAGCTGATAGGGGACCGTGAAATCTGCTCCTCCTGCTGCTGCGCCCGCTCCACCAGCTGCGTTGCCGTTGTTGACACTGTTCACTGTCGGGGGACCCGCATTGCTGCCTCCTAGAGCCTGGACGGCCGTGAGTGCCGCAGCGGGCGTGGTGCCGGTCATGCCTGTCATGGTGAAGCGCGAGGAGTAATTTATCACTGTGCCTCCCTCGCTAGCCACACTTGTAAACTTCAAGAAGTACCCATTCGTCGTACTGCCAGCCACACCAGCAGGTACCGTCCCTGTGACTGAACTTCCGGCTGAGAAGGAGGCGGCATTCGCTAGCGTGATCAAGGGTGTTTGTGTGCTGTCATCATTGCCTCCTATGACTAGTTGGATCGTGTAACTCGTGAGGGCTGACAATGCGGGTGCGACGCCAGAGTCGGTCCATGTTACTGTTATTGAGCCGGCTGGTACTGAGGCGCCGGCTGCTGGGACTGTGACTTTGACGTCGGCGAGGACGAGTTGGGAAAGGGCGGCGAGGATGGCGATGGGGGAGAGCCGCATGGCGCACTAGTGGTGGAGCGCGGTGTCGCGCTCAATATCGTGGAACTCTTGGTACTCTGATGGTGGTCTGAGAGAGTTGTCCAGAGGTGAGGGAGGAGGAAATCGGCAGCAATGTCAAGTGTGCATGTGGATGTTTGCCAACTCGCTGAGATCAGATGCATTGCGTGGAGGTGGCTTGGCCGGAGCATCGGCAGCGGATAGAGCCGATCCTCAGCCTTACGGTGGCGTTCCTGCAGCAGCAGTCTCAAAAAGTGAGGACAAAAACTCCAGACAACTAACGGATGCTTTTATTTAGAGAGCGTAGCGTTGCAAGAAACACTTTCCGTGTCGTGCATACTTGACTATAATTCTAGGCAAGGAGTTTTATGCCGCTCGTCACCACTCACTCACACCTCGCTCTCGGATCCTCCAACAACCTATATGTTTTCACTCCCATCCGGCTTACCGATATGTCCAGCAGGTATGCTTGCCGGACCATGGCAGATTGAGATGTGATAACGCTCATCCGCGTCTGCCCAGCGGCGAATGTCACCCACGAGCTCAGATCGCGGGATTTCGTTCAATGATTCATGTCCACCTGGAATGAACCCACCAACTCAAGTTGTCTCCTTCGTGCAGCCATCACACCACACCTACTGCAGATTCAGTGGCTTCATCAATATTTCTTTCAACTCCTCAAGGACATTCCTGACAAGCTGATCTTCCATGGAAAAAGCCTACATCCCGAAATTGACCGGATCATCCAATTGTAGATGACGTTCTTGAGTTGCAATCAGCAGGAGTCGCCATTTGCCATCCTTGTACGCGTTCAGGTAGTCGACGCCATCGGAGTCGGTCTTGGATGGAACACACTGCGTCAAGAAGTACGGTAATGGGAACAAGGCGAGTTCACATTTTTAGCGGGCAGTCAAGCCTGAACGGTGCGCGAGGGTTGCAAGGATCGAAACAGACGAGAAGATAGTCTCTAGTACCTTCTGCTTTTCCACGAACCTGAGCGGGGTATTCTGACCAACAAGGCACTTTCATCAGCCCGACCGCGATGAACGATAGATTGTAAAGGGGCACATCTCGATTTGCACAAGAATCACGGTTTTGTGCAACCTATGCCACAAAAATTCGATGAGAGCACTTATGAGACGCCTCACAAGACAGCAGATGACGAGATATGAACCATGCTTTTATACTTGTCTAGCTACACAATCGGGTCGACCTGCACCATAGTGGTCAAAACACATTACTCGACAATATCATCTGATTCATTGGCATCGTTTCTTAGCCCACAATGTTGTCGACGCTGGCAATATCAGGCGGCGATGTGCTTGTGGAAGAAGTCGACATAATCGAAAATGCTCCTCTTGAAGCTCCTCGTGAATTGGCCATTCGTGCGATTGACATGTTGCACGCCTGGAAAAAGGGGAGTCAGCGTCGCAGCCACTGGAGATATAAGGTCAGTGGATGGTAACTTACCATATTGTTGCTCGTAAGATGTAAATTCTGGAAGAAGGTTAGCGGTCAGTTTCTGTATACACCTCCAACTCCTATAGGTCATGTTCGACTCACCATCGTTGTCGCTGCGCAGAAGTATTTGTCAGCTCGCATTCGAAGGCCACAAAAATGATGGTAAGCAAACCACTTACAGCACACTCCAGGCCAACGCTCCAATAACGTTAACTCCATCCTCATAGACACTCTTCAGCGTCTCGCTCAGGAATTCCTGGTAGTACAGAGTCCTTTCCAGGTCATACAGCTGATAGACCACAGGCTTGGTATATTCCTGCCAAGGATTGAATCCGAACTCTGCAATCAAGATCCCGGAGGGCTTGAAAGTATTCCATACGTATCCCAGTTGCTGGCGTACGTATTGAGGAGCGAGATAAGCGTATGCATAAGAAGCCTGGCCCATAAGCCAGCCGTCTTGCTGGACATTCGTGTTGATCACGCAGACGGGATAGTTGGGATCTTGAGGGTTGGCAGCACAGGCATCGATGCCGTTGGGTGGTGACGTGGCGTACTGCGCGGTATATGGGTCGAAGGACCAGAAGTCCGCGGTGCCGTTGATATAGCTCAACTGCTCAGCAGTCAGAGCTGTGAGGTTGAAGTTAGTGGTATTGAGCATTTCCGCTGGATAATTCTGGCCGAGGAAGATTGAGTTTCCTAGAAAACCGAGGATGAAGTCTTGATACCGTTGCGCGGCGCGGACGTCTGACGGGTTGGTAGAGTCAAGTGGAAGGGCGAGATTGTTGGCGAATTTGATTGTGATCTGACCTGTGCCCTTGAGGACTTCTTTGTACCAGTGGTAGACCTTCGCGTTCGCCAGGAGGACGTTGGCAGCCTTGGAGTAAGGTGGGTTGCCATAGCTGCCGCCGAACCCGATATTGGGTTCATTGATAGTGACCCAATACTTTACACGGTCTCCGTAGTGGGTCATGACTTGCTTGGCGTAATTGAGGAATGCATCTGGGAAGGCATCGTCGTTGTATGTCATGTTCAGCGGTGTGTCCACGTGAAGGAGCGTTACGACTGGAGTAACGCCGTATTGAATGCAAGTATTGATCACATCGTCGTAGTGCTGAAGGCCTGGGAGGTTGACAGGGGTCGACACGTTACCAAATGGCAAGATGCGGGTCCAGGAGATCGAGAAGCTGTAATATGGAACGCCAATGGCTGCCAATCGAGCGATGTCCTGTTTGTAGAGGAAATAGTTCATGTCTGATACCTCTGCGTTCGCAGTACCGGCTGTGTTGGGCAATGAGCCAATGGTGTCCAGAGCTCCCGGGCCACGCCCGCCGTATGTTAGACCGCCTTCGATCTGAAACGCTGAGCCTGCTACACCCCAGATGAAGTCCGTTGGCAGCTTATAACAAGTCAAGCAGTCCTCCGCGGAAGAAGGGCAAGGCGTGTAAAGTGCCGGGGGATATACCAGCTCGCTAGACGCAACTGGTGTCGGGGACATAGTCGTCGTGAAGGGAATGCTCGTGTTGTAGCTAATGTTCTCCCAGAGACGAGCATACGCGCCTTGACCGTAGGCACCGTCTTGGGCAGACGTGGAAGCACGGTTCAGTGAGTAGGATGTTATCGTCACATTCGCTGGAAGGAGACTGGAAGCGGTGGCATAAGCAGGAGCGTAGGTCGTCGTCAGCTTCAACGGGGAGTCTAGCGAGGTTGCATAGCGGGTAGTGGTGGCCGCAGTCCAGTTGAAGGTACTGTACGAGTTTGTGGTGAGAGTAACGGAGCATGTCGCAGGCGACTGAAACTGTCAGTCCTTTGGTTTAGCGATTGGACGATCAATTGTCGAGCTCACCGTCGCGGTAGGTGCAGCAGTGGTGGACGGAGCACAGTAGTACCCTGACCACTCACCACTGCCCCAGAAACCGCCTCTGGGGCTTCCACCATGATTTTGCCATTGGGGACTAGCAAGAACCGCAGGTAGGACAAAAGTTAGTATAGCAGTAGCTGACGGCATTCTTGCGACTCTAGAATAATTGGAGCGGGGCACCAGACAGGCCTGCCAAGTTGGACCGCAATGGCGACTTTATACAACGCTCTCGGCCTGCTCTCCACGTCCATCCGCATGACGATGGTCTGGGCGGGGTTTGGTCGAAGCTACTGCAAGGTACCATGGCACTGCCATGGACGCTCGAGTCAGGTCTCGCGTGGTCGATACTAGGCGGCGAGCCAGATAGACTCTGCACTCCACAGAGCCTTTTCGACGACGAATAGCAATCCAGTAAGCAGGCCGGCAGCTCGTACGCCGCCCTTCTGTGTCATCGCCGACAACATGAGGGGTGAGGCTTGAGGCGAAGGCTTCTTTTGCGTTTACGCTTAGGTGAGGAGATGCGCTTGGCGATACAATTAAACACATAATAGTTGTCGCATGCCGAGACGTGGGGAACACACATAAATGGTCTCTCGACGAGCGACACTAAAAGAACCCTTTCGAAAATAGCTTAGAAATAGCGTTATAACGTATATAGAACGTAGTAATACCTTTCTCTTAAGTGTTACTATAGTCCTTCCCTAATCTAAGGTATTATTAAGGCGACAAGCGGATGTTATAATAGTAGGCGCTCGTCGAGATACCATTTATATGTGTTCCCTACGTCTCGGCATGCGACAACTATTATGTGTTTAATTGTCTCGGCATGCGACAACTATTATGTGTTTAATTGTATTCGGTTCGCTTTCGGTTCGGAGCAGGTGGATCAGATCAGACCCCGACGGAACAGATTTCCATAAAATGGAACGTTTTGCGATGGCTGGGCAGTCCTGAACTATCAACGCGCCATCCTTGAATGGTCTGTACATACTCGCAGATCATCCAAGGCATTGCTCGACGACGGCTGATTTATGGTGTACTGAGGGTGCCGTGGAGGACCAGGCAGCAGCGACTCTAGTAGTCAAAGTAGCATGATGCTAGATACTTTACGTGCCACTGTTCCATGATTAACATTGAGTTGTCTGGACAGGCATCTTTTTGCAAAGCAAAGATGAGCAAGGTAAGACCATCACCGTTCTATGGCGAATGGGCTGGCCATCCCATGCCAGACCTCGAAACAGTCCACAGACACATCAGGATCAAGCGACCGGACAAGCCCATTATCTGGCTCGCAGGTGACTCTTCACTAGACAACAAGGCTTGGGTCCCATCAGCAGGACCTGGCGGTGAGCCTCTGCCTGTAGATGTGCCCGCTATCTACAACGCCTACCTCAACCCAGCTGTGCCAAAACCCGATGTAGCGTTCTGGCTCAATCACCATCTTGCGGACTCAGCGACGGCGCTGAATACCGCAGTCGAAGCGAGTCTGTTACGAAGCAGAGATGAGGACCTCTTGGCCCACGACAAGTTCATCCGAGACAACATCTACAAGGACGACATCCTGATTGTTTCCGTCGGTGCCAACGACATCGCCCTATCTCCGAGTGCAAGCACAATGCGGCACATGGCTCAACTCGCATGGCTGACACCCCGGAGTTCTATCGACAATGGAACAGCGTGGTCATTGCCACACTTCAAGCACATGTTCAAGGACCATACCGAAGCGTATGTATCTCGGATAATCGAGAAGCAGAAACCCCGAGCTGTAATCGTATGCATGATATACTTCCCACTACAAGCCGATACTGGCGCACAACCCGGCTGGGCAGAGAGCCAGCTCAAGTTACTTGGCTACAATCATGATCCAGGCCAGCTACAGGCGGCGATCAAGAAGATTTACGAGCAGGCGACTGCGAATGTTGAGCTTACCGGGACCACGGTGATACCTTGTGCGCTGTTCGAGGTTATGAACGGACAGACGAAAGACGATTATACGGCTCGAGTTGAGCCAAGTGTTGAAGGTGGGAAGAAGATGGCTAGCCTCCTTCACGACAAGATATGTACGATATTGAGTTAATCGTCGACTACTTCGTATGTTCTTGACATTCTCGCTCCCGCCATAGTAGGTGTATATGTGTGTGCATGTGGTTACCGTACAATACATTCCTACCGTCAAATTGTGCTTACACATATGTATAGTAATGCTCGCACTGTGAGTGGTTGTGTACAATCTAAAGTTTGCTGTTTAGCATATTTTGAAGACAAGACACCATATCTACAATCACTGCTGGTATACTATCAGCCTAGTCCTGATCTGCAGCGTGGTGAGAATTAGCAGTCGTGTGAATCCCGCGAGTCGCACTGTGTACATTGGCATCATGGCGAATGCCAACATTGTGGTAACACAGTTTGTATTCGAAAGTCTGCTCGAGGGCTTCATATATCTTATGAGGGTGGGAAGAAACATTTCGGGTTCTACCGGACTGCCTGTAGGTCATCTTAACGGTAAGCTGTATCAGATCGCCAAGCTGTGGTGGTCATGCAATGCGACAGCACCTAATGTGGTATGGTAGCAAGATGTTGTCCTCGTGGAGGTCCTGTACTAGGTTATCGTCTCGAGGTTTTCGCATCACCATGAGTACAAATGTGATGGCTCCGTCTTCTACCCCGACCTGTATTCTTACCAAAAAGTTGAACTCGTCCTTAGGCATAGACAAGCAGCAAATCGCATGGATATTTTAGTACTCAAGTAAGTCCTGTGTACAAGCACCAGTGCCTCAGCTTATCCACCTAACCTCGTTTCCAGCAACACAAGGAGACAATGTCCCATGTGGCAAAAGACGGCGATGACTTCCTCCCGTGCCGCCGAGCGCCATCCCACAATCACGAAGTCGACGCTAGACCCATGAGTCTCAAATGGCAACTCCCAGGTCAAACCCTCGTCATCCCAGCCACGATCATATCGCTACCGCCGCTACACCTGGACAACCCGACGTCTGACCACTCGTCCCGCCGTACCATCTACAAGCCCGACACCCATCGCCAATGTCTTCATGAAGGGCCAGAGACCACTAAAGACAGATTACTGGTGTCTGAGTCTGCCGACCATCGACGAGGATCAAACGGATGCGGCATCGATAGTGTTGAAGACGTACAAGAGACACAGAGTCCAAGAGTGGATAGCGTCTTTGACGTGGACAACACCAAGTCCAGCGAAGCCGAGAAAGTAACTGGTGAGCTCGTCGTCTGCTCGGGTGCGCTACCCATGGAGCCGGTCAACGCGCGCATGCAGCAACGAACGATCAAAGACTTCACTCTGTCACTCCAGCACGTCGACACCATCGACCTGCAGTCCGTCCGTTGTCCACGACGCCGGTGGCACGAAAATACGCCGGTGAAGTTCGTTCAGAATATGTTCGCAACGAGACGAGAACTGTCTAGACCTCACGACCCCACAGCTCAAGCCATCGTTCAAGATCACAGCCCTGCTCAACCAGATGTCTTGAGGCATCATCTGAATGATAACCAGCGCGAAGCAGATGACCTACGTCGATGGCTGCGTATGTATGGTAACGACAGCCAGTGGGGCACCATTCCTTTCGGATGATGGCATCCTATGTGACTGGAAAGCGTGGCGCGATTTTGTAGGGTTGAGAGCGAAGATGATAGCTTGCAAGTGTGTCGTGTTCGGCATGCTGCTATGCCTCGAATGATGTCTTGCACCATAGATGTACATCGTGTAACCGAATACAATTGCTTATATCTCATTGACGACTTTTCTGTCGTCTTTGCTGTGCGTCTTCGCATCGGGATGAAACTTGACAGCCTTCACATCCGGCCAAAATTCCTTTTCGACTTTCAACACTTGTCGAAACGCATGCTCGCACTCCTGCCATTCCCAACTATCCTCTTCGGCTCTTTCGCTGCCGAATTTGTTCAATAAGCCACCGATCCTCCTGACCAATGCCTGGAACTCTGGGCTGCTCCAATTGGGCACGAATGTTCGTTGCATCACGTCCTTCTCTTTACTAGACAGGCTCAAATCGATCTTTGACTTGGCATATGACCAGGCACGTAGATAGCATTCCTCTGTAGCCCACAGTACGGCTAGGCCGACGATCAGCGGTTTCTGGGGCGCAGCTGCGCCTGCGAATAGGTCCTGGTATGCTCTTGTGTGAACATTGGGATGGACGTCCGAGATCTCCTCGAGCCAGCCTTCGCTTGAAGCGGTCTCCTCGAAAAGCTTAATCTCGGTCCTGATATTGTTCAGACAGTCGATCAGCAAGTCCGCCGCTCGCCATTCAAGCGTCGTTTCGCGATCGGAAGTGGTCGGGATGGGAGTTTTTGCGATCAGACTACCGATGAAATTGGTGTACGATAGTGCATAAAGGCGATCTTGCGCGAGCCATGCTTTGAGCTGATCCACAGGTAGTGACTTCGTGGCAGCAGCTTCGAGGAAAGGATGTTGAGTTGCCAGCTTCAGTGCCAAAGGATCGAGATGGATGAGATGCGAAGTCAGTGATGGTGGCATGGTGAGCTTACTAGACCGACAGATTTCTATCGTGCGGGTTGATGTGTGCTTTACTGTCGTGCTCAAAGTCGTGTTGGCCTGCCGTCCAAATCGACATGCGGTCTCAATACAAATGCACGATGACGATCTGCTGGTGGCTGGAAACAAGGTTAGCCACAAAGTTCTGGGATGGCGCTTTGGCAGTTTTCAGCGGTGACTTCATCCATTCATCGACAAGCTGTAGACGATGGACGTAGCAGACACTGCATGTCCACATTCTGACAGAAGTTGTCTCCCAGCACCTTCGTCTGATGCTCTTTCGGCCTCTTCAGATCGTCAGGCACAGGGCAGGATCAGAGTACCATCCAACCATGTGTAGTCGACTTTTTCATCCACTTTAGCCGGTCACCCCGCAGCTCACCACTCCACTCTCCATGCTGTCCCCATGCATTTCTCTACCAGGATGTACAGTATACCCAAGGGAAGCGATCAATCATGTCAGCGAGCACCAACAAACAACTCGCGGGCTGATGTGCCCGTCATCGCCAAATGCTCACAAGATTGTGAAGCTCCACAGTGTGACAAGCTGCTGATAAAATCGTCAAAGCCAAACGATTGCTGTGAGCGCTGCTGCAGTGTCGTGAAAATAATGAAATCAGGTACGGATGCTAATTTGGCTTGACATTGCCGACGACTTAGATACAACCGTCCGGCTAACACCCTTGAGTCCCACATATTCGGGAGCTGACTTTGCCTGCTGTGGCAGGTTGCCTAGCGACGCAGTGCAAATCGATCTGCAAAGCGCTTCTGTCTTTGCGGCTAAAGACTTGATCACCGAATGTAGTCTTTCCAAACCATCGCTGACGGCAGGAACGGCACCAGGTATTCAAAGTATATCAAGGACTACCTTGCCCAAAATCTCTTTGCTCTACATTCAGTCTTCCCCTCGCCACAACACACCAAGATGAAGTACTCGACGATCTTGGCCGGCACGCCCACTGCAGTGACTGCCCAAGGCAGCTACCCAGTACCGACCAACAACCTTACCTTCGATGCCACCATCAACATCGATGTGGCGTACAAGTATCAAACCATGATTGGTGGTGGATGCTCTGGAGCCTTTGGCGCCGCCTGCACCACCAACACCCTCTCAGCTGCGGATCAACAGACTGTGGTCAAGACGCTATTCAATGAGAATTATGGTGGGCTTTCCGTCCTCCGCAACATCATCGGATCGTCCACAGGCTCGACCATCCTGCCCAAAGTCCCTGCTACTCCAGCTGGACCCTTCAACTACAGCTCTCTCCAGAGTATCAATAACGATGGCTGTCAGTTGACTCTTGCTCAGAGGGCCCGCAGCTACAATCCGGATCTGTACATCTATGCCGATGCCTGGTCTGCCCCCGGCGGCTTCAAGACTACCGGTCGTGAAGCCGGTGGCGGAATCATCTGTGGCGTTCGCGGCAGCAATTGCACCTACGACTGGCGGGAGGCCTATGCGAACTATCTTGTGCAGTATGTCAAGCTGTACCAGCAGCAGAACCTCAGCGTGTCTCTGCTTGGCGCGTTCAACGAGTAGGTTGTCACTTCTCTTGGTGACGATGAGACACGAAGTTGACAAGTCGTTAGGCCTGACTTCAACCCCTTCACCTACTCGGCTATGTTGTCAGATGGCTACCAGGCCTATGACTTCCTCTCTGTCCTCTACCCCATTGCCAAGAAGGCATTCCCTGAGCTCAACGTGTCCTGCTGCGACTCGACTGGCGCTCGCCAACAGCGTGATCTTCTCTACGAGCTCAACCGTCTTGGCGGTGGCAAGTTCTGTACGTCTGCCATGGATACTCCCTACTTATTGTTATCGGTACTAACACAAGACAGTCGATGTGAACACCTATCATAACTACCAATCCGACATCAAGCGTCCTTTCAGCGACCTGTTGCCCTACGGTCAGCCCACTTTGGAGACCGAGTGGAGTGACGGTGGCTCGACATGGACTGCAACCTGGGACGCCTCCGGCAACAACTTCGAGGGCTTCCAGTGGGCCATCTACCTACACAATGCTTTCCGCAACAACGTCTCGGGATGGCTACACTGGTGGTGCAGCTGGAGCAGCCCTGATGCCGGCCTCGTCCTCGTCAACGGCACCGACTACTTCGTCGCGTCTCGTCTGTGGGCTATGTCTGGTTACTTCCGCTTCGCCCGCCCCGGCGCTGTTCGCATCGAGGCGGATTCGGATGTTGAGGAGATCTACGTCACCGCATGGCAGAACACCAATGGCACGATTGCTATCCCTGTCGTCAATGCTGCTCACTACACTTACACTTTGAGCATGAACTTGGCTGGATCGGGCGTCAACCACGCTGTCGCTTATCTTACGGACAACACCCACAATCAGACTGTTGATGGAGACTTCACCTTTAGTAACGGCCAGTTCACCACGACTGTTGAGCCGCGTAGCATGAAGACCTTCTTCCTTGATAATTGTGCTTGAGTCTGGAGGATGAGTGGGCAGTGATGACGTCTATACGACGAGATGCGATGACTCATCAACTTGTACATATGTAGCATGCAAATGTGACTGTCTTACAAGCACATAACGCGAGCTTTGATGTCGTTACGAGAGGGTATGTGTGCCACTAAAGCATACTATAAAACTCATCCTGGGCTTTCAACACCTCTACAAGTTTCTGACCAAACTCTTTGGGATGGCTCCTATGCCCGACATGCTCACCAGGAACATGAATGACCTCCACTCCAATCTGCTTGCCCAGTGCCACATTGCCGCGATACTGGTACGCTTCACGATTCGACAGCTCTCCATTGAACAAAATGAGCTTCTCCTTCACCGAACCAATCTTCCCTTGCACATCATGTTCGACCGCCGGATATGTCATGAATTCTCGTTCGAACCAGTACATCATGTTGGAGAACACATAAGGGCCCATCGCACCACTCATCATGGTGACTACGGCTTGAGGCGGCATATTGACCTTGACGAGTTTGCCGAATTTCTCGTACGCTGGGAAGACTCCAGCTGCTCGGTAGGTGGCGTAGATGTCCTCATGCGTGGCCCAGATCTCGTCGAAGTCGGGTAGTAGTTTGGCGAGAGGTGGTTCATAGCTTATCAGTTGGCGGATCAATTCGGGATTGCGGCTCAGCAGCGTCAAAGATACGATCGCGCCGGAAGAGTTCCCAATGACCGTCGCAGGCTCGTTTGGTGACAGATGTCGTATTAGCCGGGCTGCGTCGTCAGAGTCTGTCTCGAGACGCTGTGAGTAGTCTTGTGCACCCGTCAGATAACTCTTCCCAAAACCTCGACCTGCTCTCCCCGTCAGTCCGCAACCCCAAACATCAACGATGACGCGGAGGCTTACGATTCCATGATACGACGGTAAAACGGTCCTTCAGCTCTTCTGCAAAGCCTTGCCAGATCTCTGTTGTACCATCGCCACCCGAGATGCACAACAGCAATGGGCCTTTGCCAACGGACTCATAGTAGATCGATGCACCTGGAACAACCAGAGTCGACATCGTGGAAATGATATCGGCAGGGTTGGGTAGTGCTGTGATGTGTGGAAATCGAAAGGAAGACGCTGAATTGCAGCTACCTGTTCATATACCCTCTCCCCGCTGAAGCCTGCGAGCTACCACCATAGCTTGTCTTTGACCAGGTTTATCCTCCTTTGACACGCCATGTACGTTACCGGCCTAGTATCAAAAGGTGGGCACAATGTCGTGCCAGGCGGATGGAATAATGAAGGACGAAGGATCCAGCCCCATATTTGTAAGAGCGGACTTTCCAATGTCCGCGTCGGGCACCACGGATCGATCCCAAAGAAGCTACACGATCAATATGAACCATACAATTATTACTCTCTGGTTCATCTCTCCTATCGACCACGTCCCTGGCATCACAACATATCACTATGTGTCCAAAGTGACTGCTGAACGTCGACTTATATACCAATAGACGACAGGATGAGATCGAAGCGGCTGTTAGAAGCTGGAGAGCCGACTAGAATGAGCCAGCTCCACGACTTGGCGCATTCCCGCATGGCATCGAGCAGGTTCAATACCATCTCAGACAGTGGCCAATGATAGCAATAGAAAACAATACGGCATACGGAACAAATCGCTGACGCGACTCATGAAAATGCCGAGTGTGTCCAAGCCGGTCTGACGTACACTCGTGTTGACATGCGGGGCCTACCAGAAGTCCGCGGATCCTCTTCAAATGTACAAGACGATCTCTAGTCTTTCTGGTGTCCTGCATCAATACTCGTCGAAGTACGCGCACAGAAAACGCTATGGCTTCTCTACGGAACGCCGCCATTGCATTCATTGCTTCGCTCCCTTGTCGAGCCCTGGCTTCCAATATCATCGACAACAATGCTTCACCACCAAATTTATCGACGGTGTTCAATAACAGCATCTTCTACACATGGCGACCACGATCGCACGTACTACCACCTTCTGGCCAGATTGGCGACCCTTGCATGCATTACACAGACCCAACCACTGGTCTCTTCCATATCGGCTATCTACACAACGGCGCAGCAGGAGCAAAAACCAGTGACCTGATTACTTGGACCGATGTTGCTGAGGACCCAACGTTCATTCGAGCCGGTGGTATCAACGACCCAGTCGCTGTGTTTGACGGCTCTGTGATACCGTATGGCATCAATGGAACTCCTACTCTGCTTTACACCAGCGTTAGCTATCTGCCTATCCAATGGACGGTTCCATATACGAAAGGATCGGAGACGCAGAGTCTAGCTGTCACATATGACGGTGGAGCGAACTTCACAAAGCTGGAGGAAGGTCCCGTCATCCCTGTAAGTAGGAAGACATTTAAGTCTGAAGACAGAACTGATGTAGAGAACAGGGTCCTCCATTCCCGGTTACGAATGTGACTGGCTTCCGTGATCCATATGTTTTCCAGAGTCCTCAGCTAGACGCAGCAGCAATCAGCCCGGAAGGGACATGGTATTCCGTCATCAGTGGAGGTATCCACGGCCAAGGACCAAGCCAATTCCTGTTCCGCCAGTATGACGCCGATTTTCGTGATTGGGAGTACCTGGGCGAATGGTGGCGGGAGGAAGCAAATTCGTCATGGGGCGACGGGACGTGGGCTGGGCGCTGGGGCTTTAACTTCGAGGTCGGCAACGTCTTTGCCCTCGACACCGAAGGCTACAATGCAGAAGGCGAAGTGTTCACGACACTTGGTGCAGAGTGGTCCGAGGTACCGATTATTCCACAGGTATCGCAATTCCGCGAAATGCTCTGGGCCGCAGGAAACATCACTACATCTTCCAACGGTAGTGTACACTTCGACCCGACGATGGCTGGCAAGCTCGACTGGGGTCAGTGGGCATATGCGGCAGCTGGGAAGCTACTTCCAGCCAACTCATCAACTTCGACGTCCAGCGGTACTGCCAATGATCGTTTTATAAGCTACCTCTGGCTCACCAACAACAATTTCGGCACTAGTGCCTTTCCGACTATGCCTCAGGGTTGGAACTCTGTCTTGACCACAACCCGGGAGTTAGCGCAAGGGACGATCGGCAATGTTATCGACAACGAGCTGGTCAATGAGACGGCCTCGTGGCGTGTGGGCAGCCGAGACACTGCCACTCGAACAGTCGAGCTCATTACGCTCAGGCAGACCATTGCTAGGGAGATTCGGGCTGCTTTCGTGTCAAACGCTACCAGGACGTTCTCACAGTCTGGCCGTTCGGTTTCGAATTCCACCTCAAGCTATAGTAACAGCAATGCATCGAGTCTCGCCTTTCAACAGAGTCCGATCAGCAAATTTTTCATGATGACGGCTTCGATCGCCTTCAGCTCGTCTGCACGGGGTTCTGGTGATCTGAAAGCAGGTTTCAAGATCTTGGGCTCAGAGTATGAATCTACCGCAATCTACTACCAGTTCTCAAACGAATCTCTCATCGTGGACCGATCGAACTCCAGCGCCGCAGCACTCACCACTCCAGGACTTCTAGCGAACAACGAGGCAGGTCGTCTGAGGCTGTTCGACATTGCCAACGGAAGCAACTCTTCGTCGATCGAGACTCTGAATCTTACTATCGTCGTCGATAACAGCGTTGTGGAGATCTTCGCAAACGATCGATTCGTGCTGAGTACCTGGATCTGGTCATGGTATGATGAGAGCACACAGATCAGCTTTTATCACGAAGGATCCGGAGATGTTTCGTTTGGTAATGTTACGGTCTACGAAGGACTGGTGGACGCATGGCCTGAACGAGTATACTAGTATAATGTCAGATCAGCAAACGTGCTAGTGCACACATACTGTACTTCTCGCATGCGCTCTGCAGGTGATCACTGCCACGAAATTCTGCCAAAATCTCGACAATGCTTGCGACAACGCTAGATAAAATCCTTTGCACAGCTCTGAACAGTGTTGGATCTTCTTCCTGCTCTCCAAAGTTTGATGGTGATATCTAGCACAACTCCGCCGAAGGCATTAAATAGGTAAGCACGCTTGTATCGAGACTACAATACAAGATATGGCACAGATGTGTGGGTTGCGATGCGGATACTCCTACTGCTACGATGACTACCCGGCAACAGCTGTTTCTCCTGTCGACGCACCCGCTTTTGAAGGCTGTAACTCCTGACCGTTGTGTACTGCATTCTCTTCCTCCCAGAACTTCTGCACGGCCATACCTTTGCCGGACAGTATGCCGGTCAGATTGAAAGGGTCGAGGACAGTGGCCCAAATCGGGCGCTTGTCAGCTTTGCTGAAGCCGGGCCCCAATCGATCAGTCTCGTTGTTCACGGGATCGAGATAGATTTTGTCAGTTCTGTTGCTTATTAGCATTGTCGACAAAGCCAAGGACAGATAAGAGGGCGGCTTACTGAGGTAGAAATCTGCCTGGGTGGAACACGGCCAGTACGATCACAAAGAGGGTAATGTTTGCAATCTCGAACACATACATGACCCATTCATGTAAGGTAATGTAGCCACAAAGCGGATCCTCGGGATCGCACTTGGAGTCTTCAAACCCGCCGATAGTGCGCACGATGCATCGCACCAGCATCATAAAACTCGTCAAGTAAAGGACATAGCAGATCACCCGGACTTTGCGAGGGAATGCCTTGGCTCTACGACAGCGGCGCTCCATGGTGACGACAAGCGAGAAGAACAAGGCTTCGATAAAGCACTGCACTATCAGCGCCGCCTTGAGCAAAGCGAGACCGACCTGTCGTTGGCTGATCGTACGATTCTTGCCAGCAGATCGTGATGCTCCGTTGGCCGTCAGAACTTCGACGACTGTACTCAGCAAGAAGAAAGTGCTGAGGACACGCCCTGGATGCATCGGTGCGTGGTAGGGGAGGTATGCCATAAGCCGTCCGAGAATGAAGTACTCGGAAGCGGCATAGAGCGGCGGACCCATGAGGATGAGCACATAGCCTGCGATGTATAGTCCAATATCTTGATCATGGTAGATCGAGATGATGCGGCAGATGAACCCGGATATCCAGACCTGTGTCGCCGATCAGCAAGTCTCTCGACATCGGAAAATTATGTTCAGCCCACGGTCGTGGCCCACGTTATCGTGCCCCCAAAGTATCTCCATTTGTACCGGAAGAAAGACTGGTAGATCTGATAGGACCCAAGCGCAGTCAGGAGTATGGCAAAGAAGATTGGTGCGCCTTTGCTGGCACCGTCGGGATACAAGGACCAGTCATTGTCCGACATTTCGACGGCGCTGGAGAAAAAGCAGAATCACTGTAGAACAGATAAGGCTGAAAGTGCAATGAGATAGACGATGTTGCAAGTCAGAAACGTCGTCTGTGAGACATCACCGCTTGATATACAGATACAGCGCTGACAGGTGCTGTACTGTGCGCCGAAAAGACCTCATGGCAGTGCTCTTGGCTCCATGTTTGTTTCTCTGTTCCCCGTCTCGCTTCGCACGCTCTGAGTTCTTTCGACTATCATGTGTGCAAGCATGATGCGTGGCGTGACACTCTCGGCGCTCGCTTGTATATTGTACTGGCTGACAAGTGGGCGGTCCAAAGTCATGAGGAGGTCCAAGCCTCGAAGGATTTACGCCCCACTATGTACCACAGGACGCATTCCCGCGGCCTCTGAAGTCACTACTACTGCGATGGTGCATAATCTCGAGGTATGTAGCACGCTCACACCATCAGATACTGTCAGAGAAGTCTCGCAGCCAAAACATAAGTCAAACGACCGGTCGATTGTGAAATCTGCACAAGTGACGCTAAGGTTGCCGTATAAGGCAAGCACAGCGCGCGTGCCAAGCCGACGCTGAGTAACATGGCAGGGGGTTAGCAGTGTATGCGATCCAATGCTTTCGTACAGCCGCGTCTGGTGAACCTGCACTGACGGAGACACTTTCCGACATGCTAGCTGAAAAGTTGTAAAGTGACCGGGAAGGTTCTCGACAAAAATGCTGCTGCCTGTTGAGCGAATACACCACGCTGTTCTCGATGGAACATCTGCACTGGAAGCTACAAGGCCCTCGACTGGTCAAGGCTAAGTATCACTGCCGAGAAGCCTTTGACCAGCTGCTGCGGAGCCCGAAGAAAAGGTAAGAACCCGTAGAGCAACATCGCATTCAGAAAATGTTGTTGAACAGACTCTGCGATAAGTGTTAGTGAGAGCCCATCAATATTCACACGTCTTGGTTTCGATTCATCGCACTTACAGCACCAGCTGTTGCACCGAAGCCGAAGATAGCGGCATTACCCATCTTGTTCGCAACACCACCCATGGCCTGCTTGAATTTGCCGTGCTGTCCAAGCCCCGTCAGCAGTGTACTTGTTAATTTCCAGAATTACACTTACATCCTTGTGTTCAGGGTTGGCTGGGTGGTCAGGATTGTCTGTCCGAGAGTCAACACGTTCCCTTCATCGATAACAGAAGATTGTGTCGCAAATGGAAGCCAGCACGACTTGCAAAAGGAGATACAGGGGTGGTGCCTCGGATCATCCGAGCTTGTCTTTGCTTGAATGCGGCTTGCTTCTAGCTACGACTTCGCCCATGCACGTACTCTTCTCATTGTAGGAGTCCTTCACCACCTGCTTGTCCTGCTCATTGAGGTTGCCATGCGCGTGCTCCAGGGTTTTACGATCCTCCTCCGAGAGGCCCTAACGGGAGTTAGTGCCAAAATCTATGGATGTATGACTCGCTGAGGTTCTAGCATACGGCATATTTCTCGTCCTTGTGGTTGAAAAGGCCCATTGTGATCTTGTGATGGTTCTGGCTCAGGGTGTTGATGTATGCAATGATTGCAAGTTATATTTCGCAGAACTGTCACAACACAACCTTGAAATGTGTTGAACACAGAGCTATGACGAAATTGCGGGAGGTGGCGCGTCATTTGCACGTGAGAGGGCACACGAGTGAAACTCTACTGGCGAAGACTGGTGAGGCTTCGGGTAGTCTGGCATGTCCTCATGAGCATTCACCCTTTGATAGATTCATGTTCGACAGTGCGAGTGTTTACAGGACAACCCAAGGCTAGTAGCTGAGGGAATCTGGGTATTGTGGGTCTTCCAGGTGGGGTCGATGGAGATAACGGTGACAACAGTCATGCTAGACCTGCCCAAGGAACAAAGATACAAAACACAAAAACACAAAACAAACAACAGCAGGCAAGGTCATCCACCGTACTACTACTCTGCCGGTTCCTTTTGGCTTGCCAACCTCCGCAATGCTATTCGAAGAAACGCCCAATGAGATATGGAGGATCCGCTCTGCGGAGGATACCTACGGCAATATCGCCTGCGACAGTACAACTTCTGCAGAAGCGTGCTACGATAATTGTGAATGCACTTGGCCCGAGACTGCTGAAGGTTTCAGCTGCGTTGGCGGTGCCAATTGCCCCGGTTTCATGCAATGCTACAACCATCGCGATTGCTGAGCAGAACGCTAAGTACGTATAGCAGGAATGTCAGCATCTGCTGGGCTCGGTGTCTGTACTAGAATGATGGGCAAACCCTTACCATTAACTGAGGTATGGCAGGAGGAGATCTAGAAGATTCGAGATCGACACGGTTGTAGACAGACTGTAATTGGTCATGTTCGGTTTCTAGAAAATTTGCTCAGCGAAGCGTCGAGAGATGTCGCACAGGGGAAGACAACATGGCTAAGGAGGCGCTTCTCAAGGTTGGCTAGCGGTGATAGTGAGTAAGTAGTAAACGGCTGTAGAGCTCGTCATACTCATGCGGCGGTTGAGTCTTACCACTCTGTACTTTGATGAGGCTTTGTTAGCACAGAAATTGAAGAGTATTCGAGGACGTCGCACAAAACGACGGCGCTAGTCGATTTGATATACCAAGTCCAGAAGTTGCTGACGTCGTCAACACGATCGGCTTCCACGCTAGCGCACCACTCCCGCTCAGAAGTATATGAATGACAGCTCGGTGGTTATCTGGCGGCTTTCCATCGATCGAGTGAGACGCAAGAGCGTGAGAAATGGAGAATAGAGGTCTGCCGAGAATGCAGCCTGAGACGTTTAATCTTTCAGAGAATGTGACAGTCTACGGAATGACCAGCTTGTTCGGAGGCAACTATCGCGTACATAGCAAATACTTAAGGTTTGGTACGGATCCCGCAGCCTGCTGGCCCTGTCGCTGTAGGCATACTGCCCAGATGATCACGCGCCTCGTAGTAAGCTTTGTTGAGGTCCTCCTCGGTAGGTTGATTAACAGGCTTCGTGGTCTGCGCAAATGCCATGCTAACGAGCGGATCGGCGCTGCTGGCGTCTGCATACCATTAGTACATACGCACTTAGGAGCGGATTCAGGATCCGCGGACCGTCTACTTGTGATGCATTTATGTTTTGAACAATGCCATCTTTGGCGGCATTCGTTGTTGTTGACCCGTTACTGGAAAGTGATTAGCTTCGCAATTGTGCGTCATGGTTGGTGCGTCTGGGCAAATCATACGAAGACATGATCTCCGATTGCTGTTCAATGCGTTGACGCTGCTGGATAACAAACGTGGTCAGAACGGTGAGGGAAATTGACGGCAAATCGTCGGCTTTCCGCTGAGTAAGGAAAGAGTCTCACCAGACATACCCTCGGTACAGTGAGCTACAATTGGGATGTTGTGGCAAGCTTAGCCTGCAAGAGATCTGTTCCGAGGAAGGATCTGATCATCACTTTCGTACCGTAGATTACACGCATCGAACGATGAAGCTACTCCAATGGCGATCTTGTGCAGCCGCGACAAGGCTGCCGCAAGGCTTTCCTTTGCACGGAACAGCCTCACCAGCATGTCTTTGTTATGGCAGAACACAAGCTTATCGGATCTTTAATGCGTAATGGCTCCTAGTATACTCGGTGAGGACCTCTACACGCCCCTCAAGGATCTGGAGATCCGGGTCCTGGACCTTCTTCCTGGAAAGCTGAATGCAGTACTTCAAGCAAGTCTGCGCATCGTTCGCCTAGGGGCAGAAGACTCGCATTATGAAGCCCTCTCCTACACGTGGGGCTCGCAAGCTGATAGTCGCATCATTTACATGAATGGTTGCGATCAGTCAACGAGCATTACGAAGCATCTTTTCCAGGCACTGCATAGGTTGAGACGCCGCCAAGCCACACGGACGCTGTGGGTCGACGCCCTGTGCATCAATCAGAACGACATCTCGGAGCGATCGACACAAGTGGCCTTCATGAGCGAGATCTACCGTGCTGCTACCTGCGTAAACGTCTGGCTGGGCGAGCCTGACCGCTCGTGGTACATCAATGTCAGGCATCTTGGCAAAGTCATGGTCTGGAGGCCAATACCGTCCGGCGAAGAACCTTCCGACCTGAGAAGGTTTCGCAGATGGGCTATGTGGAAGACTCTTTGTGGCTACCTAGACGCCATGGAGTCCGCACTGCGTAATAATGCTCCATATTGGTACAATAGAGCATGGGTATTGCAGGAATTTATCCTGTCGCGCAGAGCATATCTTTGCTTTGGCTCCCGGAGCTTGCTATGGCGCTATCACTATATCTTCGATCTTCAGGCTGTCATTCGGCATGGAGGCCTTGGGATGGGACATTCCGATCGCTTGATCGAGAAGCTCAACAATTGTCGACTTGCCAAAGAAGCAAGCAAACGCCCAGGACTCGTTTCAGCGATGTATTACTATGCCCGTAACACTTCGGCAACTGATCCTCGCGACAAGATCTACAGCTTGCTTGGTTTAGTGAATGAAGACGAAGCCAAGCTTATCGGGGTTGACTACTCGATAGAGCCTCACCAATTATTCGCGAAGACGACTTTCATCTGCTTGCAACTCGAGAACGACTGGACCATCTTGGCAGCCCTAACGCTAAAGGGCGAGTTAAGGCATGGTCTTCCCTCCTGGGTTATCGATTTCACAGATATTCAGTCTGTGAATTCTTCGATCAACGCCGGCACACTGATATCCCCTGATTTAGGCCAGCCGAAACCACGCTCGGGCTGCTTCGTGGCTGTCGATCCGTCATTCTCGTTCTTGACACTAGAGTGAGTAGAGTGTGACGTGGTAGTAAAAGTCCTACCAATGGAAGGGGCCACTACTACATGCGCATTCAGCTTTGCCGAAGTCATGTATGACTTCATGTATCAAGTGTTGTGCAACATCACCGCAATGGAACATTCCGAAACTAGCAGGGGTTATGCGACTTGCACTGCCCAGCGTTCGAGGGACATTTTGAACACGATTACTTCAGCCCAACTGTATCATTCCTACTTCTGGAAGACCAGGACGCCATTAGTGCAAGAAGTGATAAGAAAGGCATGTAAAACATGGCAGACGATAGGGGCTTGCTGCGAAGCCGGAAGTCCCCCCGCTAGCCACGTCAGCGATCTGTCCAACGATGACTTCGTAAGTGGCGATCTTACCATGCTCAATATATCGTGGGACCTCACCAAAGTGGCGGCCGGTGGCACCTCACTGATTGCAACATCCCTCGGCTACATTGGGCTAGCCCCTTCTACCGTCACACGTGGCGATCGATTGGCAGTTGGCCCGGGCGGTCAGCATCCATTACTTCTCCGAGCTGTCACAGACCACTACGTATTCCAAGGCATTGCCTCTATCTGGGGTGTGTCCACTTGGGCACCTGGACGAGATGAGCCTGATTGTCGGAAACAGTGGAGACAAAGGTTCCTTCAGGGTGAGGATGGCGGACGCTCGCGCTTGTACGTCGTTCATTAGGGGAGCTATAGCTGCTTTGGTCCGTTATCTGCGGACTCTTGTCGTATGTGATGGGACAGGTGCCAACAATTACGTATGGAGCTTTGATCTTTTCTTCAGCTGCCCGAACGGGTGGCCGAAAAGCCTGGAGAAGGTCACGGATGCTGGGTTTAGCAGGGCTAGAGACCACGTGCGTTCTATCGGTTCAAAATGGTCAGAAGTCTTGAATCCTGCTTATGGATCTGTGTCTGATTAAGACAAAGCCTAATAACTTCTCATGACAGGCGGCACGGCCTTGCACTCATTCTCATCCAGCGTCGTCCCAGTTACCTTCCGATACCCTACTCTCACCTCATCACCCTCTCGCCTCTGCCACGTCAGACTATGCTTCATCCACTCCCCATCGTTCCGATCTGGGAAGTCTTCTCGCGCATGACTCCCTCTGCTCTCTAACCTCGCCTCGGCGCTCTTCGCCGTCTGTGCAGCGCACGTCAGGAGATTCCTCAGCTCAAGTGTTTCCACCAAATCACTGTTCCATATCATGCTTCTGTCCTTGACCGATAGCCTCGTCTTGAAATCGTTCTGTATCTGCTGCAATTTTTCGTTACCAGCAGTCAAGCTGTCTTTGGTGCGGAACACAGCAATATCAGCTTGCATCACCTTCTGCATATCCGTCCGCGATTGAGCAGCAAGCATATCTCCGTCAGCATTCCTAATGCCATCCATCTCCTTCAGACTCTCGAACCCGACATCCTCCGGCACAGTCTTATGATCCATCCCTTTCTCATTGTTCGCCGCAATGTCCAGCGCACAAGCTCGACCAAAAACGACAATATCCAGTAAGCTATTCGCCCCTAGTCGATTCGCTCCATGCACACTCACACTCGCCACCTCACCCGCCGCATACAGCCCCTCCACAGTCTTCTCCTCTCCAGTGATCGGGTCAACACTCAGTACCTGACCCTTGAAATTGGTCGGCGCCCCACCCATACAATAGTGCACCGTCGGCAGCACCGGAATCGGTTCCTTCGTAATGTCGATTCCCGCAAAAATCGACGCCGTCTCAGCAATTCCAGGTAATCGATCATAAATCAGATCCTTCGGTAGATGACTCAATTGCAACCGAATATGATCCTTTCCCGGTCCACAACCCCTCCCTTCCCGGATCTCGATGTTCATGCTTCGTGCTACTACATCTCGAGATGCGAGATCCTTGGCGGTGGGTGCATATCGCTCCATAAACCGCTCGCCTTCGGAGTTGAGCAGATATCCACCTTCGCCGCGAGCACCTTCTGTGATCAGAACGCCGGCGCCGTAGATGCCAGAGGGATGAAATTGAACAAATTCGAAGTCCTGGTTTGGAAGGCCGGCACGGGCTACCATTGCCTATGAACTCGTCAGCAGTGAAACACTCGGCAGAAATGATCTCTCGGTATCCAATGCTTACATTACCGTCTCCCGTCGAGGTATGTGCAGAAGTACACGAAAAGTAAGCTCGCCCGTACCCACCGGTGGCAAGAACAGTATTCTTCGCAAACACTCGATGTAATGTGCCATCCTCCATAGACATACACAGCACACCCACACAAGCACCATCGACCATCAACAAATCAATGCAAAAGTACTCAATGAAGAAATTCGTATCATGCTACCCAGCATTAGCAACAACCCAGACGACCTCTCGAGACACATATCTGCTGATATCCCTACCTTTAAACTCTGCCCATACAAAGTATGCAACATAGCATGCCCCGTCCGGTCAGCCGCCGCACAACACCTATAAGCCTGCCCGCCCTTCCCAAACTCCAAACTCTGTCCCCCCAAAGCCCTCTGATAAATCCTCCCATCCTCTGTCCGCGAAAACGGCATCCCGTAATTCTCCAACTCGTACACCGTCTTGGGGGCTTCCCGGCACATATAATGTATCGCGTCTTGATCCCCGAGCCAGTCGCTGCCTTTTACTGTGTCGTACATGTGCCAGCGCCAGTCGTCTTTAGTCATGTTGGCTAGGGCGGCGTTGATGCCGCCTTGGGCTGCGACGGTGTGGGAGCGGGTAGGGAAGAGTTTGGTGATGCAGGCTGTGTTTAGTCCGGACTCGGCGAGGCCTGTAGCTGCACGGAGGCCGGCACCGCCTGCGCCGATGACAATGGCGTCGTAGTGGTGGTCTATGAGGGGACAGTTGAGAGGGGAGGACGCGGAGGTGGTGGCTCGGCGGCGTTGGGTTTGGGAGAGGATGCCTCGGCGTTGAGGGGACGGTGTGAAGGCATGTCTTCGTCTTCGTAGCGCTTGGGCGGGTTTCTGGAAGGTGGACTGGAACGACGGACGTGATATGGAGGCGAGATCACACCAGGCGTGACTCAATGCCTTCGCCATGGCTGCCGTAGTGTTAGAATGTCTATGACGCTACTGGATTCGATGTCATTGTAGAGTAGATTGCCTAGCTAGCATGGCGTTGACAAGATCTCAAGCGGGTCCACGACTCAGTGGCCAGCATGATCGATCTCCACCGCGATGTAACGTGCCGAGGGCAGCAAGATGATTGCTGGGCTTTATGCCGATGATTTGGAGACGCATTATTCCCACGTTCTTCCCCACACTTTTGCGATCGGATCCACATCGGCGGCCGGCAATGATCGGCAATAACCTTTGCCTAAGCGCTTAAGCATAACCGCGGAGAGCTTGGCTTGTAATCGCGATGTACGTCGTTCGTGGGGGACAGATAGACAGAAATGCGCGTATTTCCGCTTGCGTTGGGAGTTCCTCAGTTATCTTTGCCATTCTTCCCAGCGTTCGATCTTTCCCGAGGCATAGCACCGTGCAAGTACGACGTAGCAGTACTCTGCTGTCCCAGATAGACCGCTGAGCCCTGTCGGCCTCGCCCTCCTTCTTCGTCTTCATCAGCACCAATCTCAAATTCATCAGTCATTTCGATCAGATCGCCAATCCCACCCGCACCTCGCCCTGGCGCACCAACAGAAGCACGAGCAGCCTTTTGTCGTTCGGGCTGGTGCATAGCACTCTGTACCTGCGAAGCTGTCTTGCGCATCCATGATTCTATAGCTCCACCAACGTTCTCCAGATTGAGATTCTTGCTCGGATTTGGTGTTGTGGCGCCTGAGGCCAGTGGCGTTACTTCGTCAGTGTATAGTGGGAACTCGGGAGTCAAAAGTGACTGCTGTAAGCGCGGAGGTGCAACATCCGGTAAGTGTTTCGCAAACATCTTGTTGAGACCATCTTGTGCTGGACCGGGAAAGCAAACATTCCTGTTCATGGTGCCAACGCCGCCAGGTCCGGAAAGGTAAGATGGGAAGTAGCCATTGGTTGCGCTGCTCGATCTCCTTGGCCGCACTGGTCGCTGTGCAGCATTCTGGGGAAGGGGAGATGCCGGCACCAAATCGTTCGTTGCGGGTCGTGTCAAATCCAATGATGTAGATGGCGTGTCGAACTCCGAGAAGCAGTTACTTTTCCGGCGTGCCGGTGGAAAGTAGCCTAGTGCTCTGCGTGACAAGCGAGCAATCTCTGTTGGCTTGGTGGCGCCCGGTAGTAAGACCCAAGAATCGTGCTGCCAGGCTGGGTCGTCTCCGACACTAGACCTTGCTGCTGACGAGGATGCACGCCGGCTTGCACTCGTTGACTCGGAATTCGTTCGGTTGCGGCTGGGAATGTTGCCGTTGGTGGCCTTCGTGTCTGGCGGATTGACTTCTTCTGCCTGACCAGCTGATAGAGCATCTGCATCTGAGCTCAACAGATCCAGCGCCTCGGGTCCAGGCATGACCCTCCCCTTCGCACCACATGCATCCACGGGTAGTATGAGCGTCTCGCGGCTGTGTATTGTATCATTTGGCCACATGCGATTCGCCTTCCGCAACACATTTGCTGAACAGTTGTACTTGATCGTGATCCCAGCCAGCGTATCGTCTTTCTTCACCTGATGCACGTAAACCAGCGCATCTCGATCTTCGTTCTCGCCTGGTGGAGCAGACATGGAAGCCCTATCGTCTGACATCCGCCGCTTGAACTTGCCGAGAGTGTCCGCATAGCTAGTCTCCTGCCTCGTGAGCATGTCCTTTCGCTTCTGCGCCCTCATTGCAGCCAACTGCTCGTCCTTGGTGCCTCCTCCGATGTCCCTCATTGTTGGACGTGAAGTCGGCGCATCTGGACCCCATTGACCCGGGGGTGCGCTAGTTGACGAGCGAGAACTGCCATAGTTAAGGACGCCTTTCGTGCGTCTGGGCTTCCGCTTTGCATCCACAATTGGATCCCCGCTGAGCAGATCGGTTGCGATGCCTTGCAGTGTTGTCCATGAGTTACCCCACAGGTCGGACAGCGTGGGCGAGTCTGCACCAGTCTTCCTCTGCCTGCTCAACGAGGACTTGCCAACAGATCCAAATCTGCTGTTGCTCGGCGGATCATGACTGGAGCTTGGTCGCGACAGTCGTGTTGCCGGTATGGGCGAGGCTGACCTGCTAACAAAGGGCGAAGGTAATGGTGAAGCAACCCGGCGGAGAGGGGCAGCGGCGGGGTCGAAGGTGGTCTCATCGCCTTCGTCCAGTCCCGAAATCAAACGACGAGTCCGAGGTCGCAAGGACGAGGCGGTCGCCGGCGTCGAGCTCGTGCGGACATTGCTGGCATGCATGCCGGTTAGATGGGATCGACGGCATATGTGAAGCTTTGGCCCAAGGGAGGTTCAGCGGAACGCCCTCATGGCAGCTGTATAGTAAGCAAGGCAAGCGCCGGTCGAGAACGTGACATACGTTGCCAATCTACTGTAGTTCACTGTTGCATTCGAGGCACGTGAAGGCACAATGTATGGCGCGTCGTCATTGCCCGCCAAGCCACGTCTCGCCAGCGGTCGCGTGAAACCGTAGCGGCTAATTCGGCTGTTTCGGCTAGCGGGAGGCACCCGCTCGAGACTTTCCTCCACACCTCTCTCTCTCCCACCTTCCTCGCCACGACTTGCACGTCAAAGAAACTCTTTCCCACACGAAGATCATTACCAAAACTCTCGTAAGCCCATCCAATGAAGCAGTACACGATTTCCTACGTGTATGAGCGAGAAACGCGGACGCTACTGGACACTACTGCCGCCTGCGACGATCTGAACCCGCCTGCTTACCACTTGAGGAAGCGCCTTCGGGCGAGAGCGATCGCCTAGACGGCCACCCCGAACCACCATGCAGCCTGAGGATCGATCATAACCTCATCCCGGACAGGGTCTCCACCATCTTGGACATGGCCGACACGGCAATGGCGACCGGTCCTGTTGGATGACTGACCAGCCTGGCAAATCTAAGCAAAATCCCGGAGGCCCAGTGATCGTCGAATTGTTCGCGAATGCTGTGGCGACGGCGATATATACTGTTTAGCTGTATCGCCATGGAGCTATACGCGTAGTAAGACAAGCTTTTCACGAAACTCTGGGAGGTCCGTACTGTACGGAGATGACGAAAGGCGAGCCAAGAAAACAACACCTCCCGAATGTGTTGCTCGAGGGCCTGATCCTTTCCACGTAGCCACCGCATCCTCGGCCCCAGCGAATGCGAGATCCTCTTTAAAATCCTCATCGTCCTCCTGAGACCAGGCGATCTTCCATGATCCGCAGCATTGTCAGCACTGCCCGCCACTCAAGCGTCTTTCGAGAAGCTTGAGCTCGACACGACGGACCGAATCACAACTCCAACGTCAAGACCGCCACCATGAACTCCCCAGACTACGACCACGTCGCATTCCAAGACCTCAAATCGCAGGTTGAGAACAGTGAAGCGTTCAAGCAACTCTACGCAGACTACCTAAAGGTGAGCAGCGAGATATGCACATCAAACTCCCGCTCGAAATGTGCCCATTCAGCTAACCATCCTGTCCCACCCACAGAAAGCAAAGCTATTCGAGGAGAACCCTCCACCCCAACCCAGGCCACGACCGCAACCACACAGGCAGGCGGCACTACTACGGGACACACGGTGAAGTCCGTGGGATACATGGCGTTCCTCCTCGACGATGATCTGGCCCGGCATGGTCAGAGGTATTGGCGACGGCGTCCTGTATTATTATCAAGGAATCGATAGCCGCGGAAATGGCATCGATGCGAGACCTGCTTGGATGGGCAGCTATAGACTACTAGATGTAATGAATGATCATCAATCTTGTCCGATTTACATCACATCGCCATGCCGAGCCGATGTGACATGGGTGTATATGGGTCGAGTAGCTCGATTCGGTCCTCTTTTCTGATTTACTACTGTGCCTCGATTATGCTTGTCACAGGGTTCGCTGATAAGTAAGAATGTTTGTACGAGAAGCGGCTGCTCCATTGCAAGTCATTTGAGATCTGCTGTGTCTCCGAGCATCCACGTCTTGCTTCTAGGGAAGGACTCAGCGCTGCTCATGAACCCGAGGTCTTCTCCTTCCTTTCTACTTTGTCTTTCCTCCTCCGATTATCGCACCCCAGCTGTATACTCAAGTAGCATTCAATTGCTTGAGCAAGACCTCCGCAGTAGTGAAGAAAAGTATCAGCGCCTCGCCTCTCAGCCCAAGCCACCCTGCCTTCTTCTCGACAATCGCCAAATTTTGTTCCCATGCCGCCTCTTCTGGAGCTGTAAAGTCCTCACAACAAATGGAAAGCTCAGAGTCCCCTATCCTTTGGACATTCAGACACTTGACGATCGCTGAAGCACACCTCCAGATCAGCGTGATGCTCCTGAGGTGCTGCAAGTGCCCCTTCGACATCGCTACGCCCCATTCAAGAAGCCTCTTGGTCGCTTGCTCCACAGGCGTGTGACTCGGATCCTCGTCTGTCCAACGGTTGTCGAACGTGATGGTGGCTTGACGCCAGAAGATCGGCACGAACTCCGCGCGCACGATGTGGCATGCTTGCAATACTGGTGGGAGGCTGTATGTAGGACGGCTGTTGAGGTTGCGATGTTTCAATAGGGGGCGGTAGTGAATATCGTACACGCGTACGCGTAACTCGGCCGGGAGGTCCATAAAGCGGAATGGCGCTGCGATTTTCTCAAATAGGTTGAGGAGGGAGGCCGCATCACCATAAGCTACTGATGATATGCGAGCGCGCAGAGTAGGTGAGACGTGTGCCAGGATGATCTGAGAAGCTGGAAGGCAATCGTCCGCCCCAAAGATGTAAGCAGGGTTCCCTTGACGGTTGCTTAGTACGAAACAGCCGCGTGCTCTCAGCACAGTCTCAATATGCGGCCGCCATTCTGCGTGGTTCCCTTCGTAAAGCAAGCTGAGGGCGGTGAGACGGCCTGCTTGCACTGCCATGGTTGAATGTGAGTATCGTAAGTTCGAGGGCCAGCCAAAACACCAGTGCGTCCTTATATACCTGCCTGTTGGCGCTAGAAGTGAGTGCGTGAGTGAGTGAGTGAGTGAGTGAGCGCAAGAGTGGTAGCGAGGTAAGGAACCGCATGAGCCATGACATGCTTGAGACCTGTAGATGGTAGAAGTGAGTGCGTGAGCGAGTAAGCGCAAGAGTGATCGTGAGACAGGAGATCGACTCGGCTATGACATGAGTCAAAAGTGAATTCATCAGCTATGCTACAGTATTGGACATATGCTTGATACCCGAAAGCCGAACCAGAAAAGGGTATCTCAAAGACAGATCGCTTACAGTTCAGATTCCCAAACCGCCAGTGCGCCATTATTGGTCATAGATCAACCATTGATTCACATCCCACCCGTAACCGCGTCCCAACTACCACTCCTCATCAACAAATCCCTCATCAGTCTGCTCCCCCTCCACATCCCCCTCCACACTAATCTTCGTCCCCAGCGCCTCCTGACCCGCACGAATCAAATCAGCTAGCTTCCGACTCATGTCCGTCATAGCAGCGTCGGCCTTCCGATCATGCTTCTCGCGCCGCTTGAGATACTTCTCTGTTTCGGGGGAGATGTATGCTGTGTTGACGCCTGTGATACCGGCACCTGAGCTGCTTGGACGTGAATTGGGTCGAGAGTTCGAGCGGATAGGTGCGAAGGATGCGCGGCGGTGGTCGATGGGTAGTGGTGGCGGCGCGAGAGGACTTCCTGTTGAGAAGGTGGATTGAGAGGATGATTGTCGCCGCGGTAGTGGAGCGAGACTCCGTCGACTAGAAGCTCGTGACGCCGTCGGTCGAGCAAGAGGTTCTCCCCTCTTCGGACTGGTCTCCAGATCCGGCGTGCCGACCATAACCCAGCTATCCTTATCCGTCTGTCGTCGCTTATTCGGTGGTCGAGTAGCACTACTCGGGTTATCCTGCTCGAAGTCGCCCAGGAACTCGTCCTCGCGCCATGAGCCTGGAAGTGGTGTAGAGCAAGGCTCGGGTGGTGAGGCGAGGTTGCGGAAGTTCATGTGGAGCGGACTACGCTTCAGATCGTATCCACGACCACCGCCTGCGTAGAAGCCTTTGACTACGTTTGTGCCGAAGGAGAAGATGCTGCCAACTAGGTTGAATGCCAGGCCGGTCCACGAGCCTCCTACTTGGCCGTTCGGCGAAGAAGGCATCCGTGCCGCACCATTTCTTTCCCTTGCTAGTGGCCCTCTGAGCTCTGCTCTCGCACTATAGCCTGACACCGATCTTGTCACCTGACCTCTCCTCCTCAGTACATCTCCATCAGCTCTCCAGTCCGTCCCCATCATCTCTGCCTGCAGTCCTGGGGTATCGAGTCCTCCAGCCAAAGTGTACCGCTCGTTCACAAGCCGGTCATTTCGCTCATACGTACCTGCTGTTGCGCTACTATAGCTCGCATCGCCCGACGTCGGACACTGTACCCAGCTAGGTGTTTGATTCCAGCTGGGTCTGCTGTCATGTGATGAGTCGGGTCGTGCACGCTTTCGCGAACTCGTGGTGGAGGAGAAGTAGTCGGGTGCTGATGTTAATGCTGGAGTATGTGTTCTCGGTGCGGGCGATCGTGGTGGTTGGAAGAGATGCGCGTGCCGGCCTGGTTGCGATGCGCCTTCAAAGTAATCCATGTTTGCTTTGTCTCATGCGCACGTGGTCGCGGTAACTGGACTGACCAGGTCAAGAAGGCACGACTTAGTCTGTGAACCAAGATCACGTGTGCGACGTAGCTTGCGAGCGGTGAATGCTCCTGTCTGTGCCCAAGGATCCTCCTTCAATCTTTCGACGCAGCAGCAGCAACAAAGAGTAACTCGTACAAGCCTCGGTCGAGCTTCAGCACAGACCTCTTTGGTTTGTTTATGATGACGCCGATCTTTGTCGCGGAATCCCGAACCCCGCCGCTCGACAACGACAAGCAAACTCTACTCTGCTACGCACATCTTTCCTGGTGTTAGACACGATCACTGTCTCAGACCAGGCGGCCCCAGTACTCTGGTGGACCGCCAGCGATGGCAAGACTATGGCCAGGCGATGCGAGGGTGATCTTGAAGCGGACGAAGTCGGGACGCCGAAGCACTCGCGGCATGCTGGACATCCGTCACCGACTTCAGCCGCAGCAAAGGTGCAATGGCTACCTACATACCCGACCAAAATAGGCCAATGCTATGGAACTGTATTTGTCAGGCCAATGCTATGGAACTGTATTTATCAGGCACTCTGCCGCATAGGAACTCGAGACCTACAAAAGAAAAGCTGTCTCTTGGTCCGATAATCGAGCAGCCATGGCCTACCCATCCCTAACCAAGACTTTCCACAAAGCCGCCTACCCAGCCATCAGTCCTGCCCGGCCAGAACTCTCTCTCAAAGGCAAGACCGTTGTCATATCCGGCGGAGGCACAGGCATCGGGTCAGCTATCACACAAGCCTTCGCCGATGCTGGAGCAGCCCGGATAGCGATTCTAGGCCGCCGACCCAATGTCCTAGAGGAGATGAAGCAGCAAGTTGAGAACTCGACTGACGGCAAGGTTACTGTGAGCACTCACGCTACGGATGTCTCCGATCTGGCGAGCGTCCAGAAGGCTGCGAGGGAAATTGGGAAGTGGGATGTTCTGATCTCCAATGCTGGGTATTTGCCCGACATCAAACATCTTGTTGACTCTGACCCTACGGATTGGTGGAAGGCCTTCGAGGTATGATGTGATTGTTCTGGTCTGCAGATTCACCATGCTTACGGCTATGCTCAACTAGATCAACGTCCGTGGCCCATTCAACCTCGCCCATGCCTTCTTGCCTCTTCGCAATGCAGACGCCACCTTGATCGGTGTCAGCGCCGGCTCGATCCAGGTTCCATTCTTGGCCGAGAATTGGACAGCTTACAATTCAAGCAAGTTTGCGGCAGTAAAGATGCTCCAGGATCTTGCCTCTGAAGTGCAAGATCTGCATGTTGTGAGCATGCATCCAGGTGTCGGTGGGTCTTACCATCCATACTTCTAGCCTAGGGTGTCCGACAACATACTGATGCCAAGCGTCACAGTCGAGTCAGCAATGTCCGAGAAGTCATTCGCAGGCAAAGCACAAGCACCACAATACGATACTGTCGAGCTGCCTGCCCACTTCGCCGTATGGTTATGCAGCCAAGAGGCCGGATTCCTGCGCGGCAAGTTTGCTTGGTGCAATTGGGACGTCGAAGAATTGATTGCGAAAAAGGACGAGCTGCAGGGCAGTCTGGTGGCAACGGCAAACTGCATCGGGTGGCCTTATGCTCCATGAAAGCGTCATCAACGAGTCGGGGTTGTCATAAAGACTTATCTTCCCACACTGGAGAACGGGAACGCTGCAAGGTATGTCTGACCACCTTTCTCTCATTCTCCTCCCTGCTTGCTACCTGATGACCACAAAACACGTTGTTAAAATCCTACACCTCCAATGAAGGAACTACAAAATTTGACGATTCTGATCCTTCCGCCTACTTCTTCTACCCCTAGCTCTCCAACACGAAACGACAAGATGTGAATACTGTTGCTGACGATATTCACCATATAGCTGGAGCTTCGCGATGTTGGTCGGCGTACCCACTTATATGTAAGTGAATGCGAGATGTGTGACGGGAGAACAAAAACAAGAGTATTAGCTAATCCGACGCGTCGATTTTCTATAGACACATGATCACTTCTTGATATATAAAGCTTTTGGGGTTGCTTCTTCGAACGACAACCTGTTACTTCCGAACCCACATCTTTCCTCTTGTTAAGACTCCCGTCGCAAGCACTTTCGACTCAGCTTCCAGCGAGACACATATCTATCACTTCAGCATATCGCCTATCAGTAACAGTACTATAGCACACAAGATCAAGACCGCACAGAATCCTCGAAATAGCGACAGCGTCGTGCCTCGTACAACCAAGAAACGGCATATTACGTCCATATAGCACCTCATCTTTGAGACAGGACATACGTTCGAAGAACTCTCGCCTAACATGGATCAACTCAGTCTGGTCGACACGCATCGCCGTTACAAGGCTGGCACAGCCAAGATTGTCACCTGGCTTGTTTCTAACGCACAGCGCCTTCGCAAGAGCGGCAAGAACAAAACCAGCAAAAATACCACCAGCAACAAGGTTATTGTCAGCGACCTCTTGACTTACGCCGAGAGGATCGTTCGGTCCATCAACCCACGGATTTCCATCCACGACGATATCCTGAACGTCCTCTACGACGTCATATCTGGTCGATCCGCAGCTCACGACTTCTATTATGCCCTAAACACCAAGCAGCCAAACGAGTCAGTCAATTCGTCCACCCAATCGCATCTCCACTTCATCGAGGTGCTGAAAGATATCCAGCAAGTCTCAAGGACGACATACAAGGCAAGACTTCCAGCAAAGGCAAGGAGTGACTCTGCGGTCGACGCTCCAGAGCAGGTTCAAGACATCAGTAATGTGTTTGCCGCCCTGGAAATCCAGGACAACAAGGCTGCGGAAGAGGAGGAGGCTGTTGATGCACGCAGAGACGAGCTACTAGCGAGCATCAATCTGAAGCAGAAGAAGAGCAAGAAGCCTAAGGCTCCGGCGAAGCCTGAAGAGCAAGAGTATGAGCTCGAGGGCATTGAGGAGATAGACGAGCCCCCTGCTATCTGGTATCTTCTGAAGGACCTCCAAGACATCCGAGTGCATGTCCGCAGCCTGTGGCAGCGGTTCAAGGGTGGTGGACTCAGCTTCCTCACTATCTCGCGGCTCACGGAGAACGCTACAGACCTCACGATTCAGCGCTGCCGTGAGGTGACAACATTAATGCCGAAGTTGCAGCTTTAGGACGGCTTAGTCAATACTATAGGGGTTGATAATTTCTGTGCAGCCTTCATCGAGGCTTGCGGCTCTACGACACCACCACCAGAGAATGGCAAAGGCGAAGTCTTGAGTATCCAGCAAGGTGGCAACGCAGGCTTGTTCTGCTTGGACGGGTGGGCGATGATGGCCCACTTCTGCAACGAGCTTCGCAACGCTCCGGACAACCAGAACATGCTGCCAGGCAACGTGAAGCTAGCTAAGACGGTGGGCTTGATCCAGGTGCTGGACAAGGCGATGCCTTTCCTGCGTCAGCTGGTCGAGAATGGCGATGACAAGGATGCGGTGAAATCGATCATGGGTCTTGACAACTTCACGTTAAAGCTGCTTGGTGTTGCGAACAATGGTCGGGTTTTACTGGATGTTGTGGCATGTGTGGAGATTTACATTGAGATCTACGATGTACTTGACTCAAAGCCTGAGGTCGGGTACAAAGACAGTCTGGTCCTGCTAGAAGCCTTGCAGGCACAGCTTACTAGCTTTCAACAGGCGCTGAGTCGTGGCTCACAGACACTAAGACAGTATTTGCCGGACTATCTTGCCAGAATGGCGGCTGATAGACAGGACTCGCTTGTACAGGTGCCCTGGCTGGATCACAGTCTTGCTTGGTGTTCACGCTCCTCCAAGATGGAGGGCGGCAATACGCTAATGGTCCCTCTCGGCATCCTGCAAGGCTTGCCCATGGCTCCAAGTGCTCTCTTACGCAGAGTCTTGATCTCTAAGGCAACCTTGGATACTAGGGACTGTTCCCACAGTCACATCATCCTCGCAACAGCCTATCTCTACCGCGCAGCACAGGCTAGTGGTATACTCATGTCATCATGGCCAGACATGCAGCTCGTCGTTGAGCGCCAGAACAGCAAGCTCAGGTTCTGTCGTCCCGCCGTGACTAGCGTGAGATCCGTATGGAAAGCATACAAAATTGCTCAAGGCGTCAAGGCATCCGACCTGTCGAACAATAGCCGAGCAGTGCAGAAGGGTGGACGATTCCATGCGTCCAACGGCGTCGTCGAAGTACAGCCGATCTCAGCGTACCTGGCCTTGCTGCTGGAGAACGGCAAGGTGTATCACACTGTGAGCAAGAAAGCTACTAGCAGTATCCGTGTTCTCTACGGCATCGTCAAGGTACACTCAGAGACTGGGCAAGGCATTCGGGACCCAGTAATGGCGGCGCAATACAAAGAAACACGCGGTCTGACACCTGTTCAGCTCCTGAGTGTACTTCAGGAGGTCGCTGTGGACGACGAGATCCAGTTCGTGTTCGACCACCTCGGCTTCGTCGTGCACTGTACACGCATTCTTGAGGCCGTGACGGAGGTTTGTGCGAGTGATCTGTCTTCCGTGCCTGGCATCTTGGGCAATGACATTCATAGCCTTGTGCAGGTGGTTAACGACATTCTCTTCCAGGCTGTGAGTGCAGAGGATGAAGGCATGTCTCTAAAGCAGAGTATGCTTGAAGCAGCTTCTGAGGTTCTGGACAAGAATGTCGGCGGTACTGGCAGCCAGTTTGTCGACCAGGCGAAGGAATTGTGTGGTGGACGGAGCGAGGCACTGCAGCAGGAGGGCTAGAGGCGTGATAGAAGCGCCATTCTTTGTCCCAGATGGGTAATGATATACCGTGGGTTGGCATGAGTGCAGAGGTCAACGGTGTGCCGGTGGCGCATAGTATCTTGAGTGCGGCAAGTGAGGTATCAAGAGAGCATATCGAGGCTGTGGGAAGCGAATATATGGACAAGGCGAAGGACCTATGTAGCAATGGTTGAGAGGAATGGGAAAAAGTTATTTACTGCTATGGATGCAGTCATTGGTAGCCAGGGGGCTCTAATGCTCTTGCTGTCGGCAAATGCAGACCAGTACATTGTTCACTTCGTCTATATCGTCCTCAATACATTCTACAATCCTCGGCTCGTCTCTCACGCCGTACCACGTGATGTCATACGTCATCAATGTGAGTGATGGTGAGACCTCCATCAGCTTGGTGAACTCACCCAACTTCGTATCTTGGGCTAAATCTTTTCCCCCGGCAAGCCAATCTCATGCTTTGATAAGCCCAATATTGATATGTTTCTGGTTGGGCTCGTCGTTTGCGCTCATTTTACTCAAGGCCGTATCCCTGCTATTGGGCAGCGACGAGGAGCCGGTGACGCACCGAATGCAGCTTGCTAGCCACACACGCCCACTTGACACTTCCAGGCCTGCTTTTGGCTAGGCGCAGCCTTAAGTCGCACATTGTCTTGCCTGGGCGTGGAGCACATATCCCGGCGTCCTCGTAACTGTTCGTCTGCCCTTCAGTCCATCTCCACGACATCTTACAGCACCTGCTGTGACTTGAAAGAAATCAGGCTGTCTGTCCTCGTCTCACCACTACACGGACACAATGTCACGGTTCGGCGGCCCACGGTCCTCTGTCGACGACATAGGCCGCGATATACCTCAGCGATGGGATCGTGACCGCTTCGACAGGTTCGGCAACCGTGGACCACCGCCTCGACAGTATGAGGAAGACTATCACTTTGAGGAGCGAGATCGGCCAGGCCGACGAGACGTCCAAGTCATTGACCGTATAGACGAGCGAGGCCCGCGCGGCAGCTTCCACGAACGTGATCGCTACGTTGAAGAAGACCGCTTTGCTGCTCCAGGACGGCCAAGGCGAAGAACAGATCGTGAGCTCTTTGGTGACGTAGATCCACGCGAGCTTGCCGAGATGGCTCTCACGCCATATCGCCGTAAGAGCATCAGCCGCGAGGAGGATACGTATGAGCGTAGAGCACCTGCTCCGCCTAGACCTGGCTTGCTTCGCAGGCAGAGCAGTTTGGACACTTTCGACCGCCGAGCACCTGCACGATATGAGCGCGAGGACTACAGAATGCCGGCATACACACCGGTACCACTACCGATCAGGCGAAGGGACGATATGTACGAGGAGCGAGACAGGTACAGAGCGCCAGAGGATTACCGCGAAGTAGAGATTACGCGCGAGCGCTCGGTGCATCGTCGCCGAGGAGAAGATGACGCCAGAAGTGAGGCACAAAGTGAAGCCAGAAGCGAAGCGAAGAGCAGGAAGAGTCGTGCGAAGACCGCCACCGCCAAGTCTGTCACTACAAGGCGAACATCGCCGAGCTCCGCGAGTAGCGAGAGCTTCGAGGAGATCGAGAAGGCCGAGTCGATACGTGAGAGTATTGCGGAGACTGCACGCAAGGCCAAGAAGGGCAAGACTCGCATGCCGAAACGACTTGTGCGTAGCGAGGCAATCCAAGATCTGGGCTATCCTTACGATGAGGAGGACGATTTTTATGTGCTGCGTATCGCTTTGGAAAAAGAGCAGATTGACGAAGTCATAAAGATCAGTGAGCAATACAAAGAGAATGGTATGACATGTGCCCCAGAATCACCTTGACATATACTGATGCTATGTAGGCACGAAACGAGTCTACCGCTTCGAAGAGAAGATCGAGGAGTCAGGGCCGCCAGCTCTGCCACGACCACCGATTGGCGAGCATGAAGAAGTGATCCGCACCGAGTGGGTCAACCCACCGAGCGTGATCATGGGTGGTGCACGATCAGAACGTGCCAAATCTGTTCGGGCATCCTCACCTAGCAGCCGGAGCACGACTACACGCCGTACGTCTCCAGCTCGTACTCACCGCACCCGCGCCTCACGCTCTCGCGCTCCAAGCTCTCCTGGCACCATGTACGAAGAACGCCGCACGGTGATTGAAGAAGAGCGCATGCCGCCGCCACCGAACTACCCAGCACCACCCGGCGCCTTCCCAGCTCGATCGCACTATGGAGGCGAAGAATTCTTCGAAGAGCGCAAGACTGTTATCGAAGAACGTGGCGGCCCTCCACCTCCTCCTCCAGGTGCACCCACTTTGCCCAGTGGTGCTCTCGTGATCCGCGAACGTGAGTACCGCAACGACCGGGACATTCAATCCGAGATCAGACAACTAGAAGCTGAGCGTCGAGCCCTCCGACTCGAGCGCGAGGCCGAAGAGAAGCGCGACATGGCTCTCCGGCTCCGCGAACATCCAACCGACGAGTTCCAGCTCGTTGAGTACAGAGAACGTAGGCCTGGACGAGAGGAATTGGAGATTGTGGAGAGGGAGAAGAGTCCATCCCGAAACGTGTTGAGGGTTGAGAAGGATCGGAAAGGTAGGATGGCTTTGGTTCGGTCTACGCATTGATTTCCTTCTTTCGTCTATATGGTGGGTTCACAGCACGACCTCCCTTGCATCATTCCTTGGTTTCCATGTCTGCTGTACTCTGAATATATGCTAATTGAGTCTTTTCCTATACAGTGCGTAAGGGTCCCAATCCGAAGCTTGTGGCTGCTGCATTTGCTACACTCTCCTAGTGTTTGGGCGGTACTACGGGATCGCAAGAGATCACTTGCAGATGATAAACCCCCATGATCCCTCGAGGTGCTTCGTCAAGCATTCATTTCTAGGGGTGGACTGCGTTCTGGATAGAAGGATCGATGTAACGTCGTAACGAAGGGATGGAATCCGAGCATAATTACAGGCAATGTTACATATCTCATACAGGTATCTACAGATGTTTTCTCGATTCACAAGTCAGTCACTCTCGCTGCTTGCTTTGATCTGCCGGGAAGTTGGTTCCAGCACGTTCACTTACAAAGCCAGCGGCGAAACTGGCCGCCACGACCAAACCCGCCGCTGCACATACCAGGGCGGCCAAATTGGCCATCACGACGATGTCAATTTTTCTGACCGCCTGCTAGGCGCAGATCGATGTTGGGTATATATGCTCGTAGAGTTCCCAGCAAATGGGAGGATATCCCAACCATCACCGAACAGCTATCACACTTTTCCAGAAGCCATCACCCACGGAACGGGCAACCTCGTCAGTCATGTCGACCATTACGCTCGTCACAGGTGCAAACCAAGGCATTGGTCTTGCCGTCGCTACAACTCTTGCTAAAGGACACGGTCACCACGTTCTCGTTGGATCACGCAATAAAGCTGCGGGAAAGGACATCGCTGCATCTCTGCGTGACGCAGGCCACGCAGCTACTGGGATTCAACTTGATCTCAACGATGACAAGTCCATCGCAGCAGCTGTAGAAACAATCCGCCAGGACTTCGGCCATCTAGATGTGCTTGTCAACAACGCTGGTATCCTCATCGACGGCAAGATCAAGGAACAGAGCGCTCGCGACCTCTTCACGCAAACCATGAGCACGAATGTCGTCGGAACTGCGTGTTTGACCGAAGCACTTCTGCCTCTACTCAGGACTTCGGAGAAGCCACGCGTGGTGTTCGTCTCCTCCCGTATGGGCTCCTTGCACCAAGCGACTGTAAAGAACACCATGTTCTACGCTACCGACTACAAGGCCTACGATGCGAGCAAAGCAGCCGTGAATATGCTGGCATTGAACTATGCTAGGATCTTGGAGGATGTAGGTGGGAAGAGCAACGCTGTTTGTCCTGGTTTGGTGAGCATGGCTATTATTCCGACACACGTCGTTCTCGTAGTTCTAACACTTCACTCCAACAGATCTCCACAAACCTGAACGGGTACACACCCTATGGTGGTACTGTAGAGGAGGGCGCCAGGAGGATTGTTGAGCTGGCCGCCGGTACGAAAGATGGCGATGTGACGAGGACTTTTTCAGATCGGGACGGCTCAATCGCGTGGTAGACGAGGTGGCTTCGGTCAATAGGATAGTATTTGATTGCACAGTATGGCAGTGGTTCGATAAGTGGACGATCACATCGTTCCAGCCGCAAGGTTGAGAAGAAGACCCAATCCATCAGCACTCGCATTCCAACTGTTCAAGGCCCGAGCATTCTGCTTGTGGCCGGTCTGAGTCTTGGCTACTACCAGCCCGCCAAAGGTCGACAGCTGATCGGGCTGCGCAGCTCCCATCTCCTCGCTCCAGGCCTCACATGTTCTTGCTTCCCATTGCTGTCTAGGACAGGGTAAAGGCAGCGTCCACGGTGCCTCAGTGGCGTCGCATCCGGCTCTAGTCTTGACGAAAACGCTCTTTGCCAGCAGAAACCAGACCGCGGATGTTCTACGCCTTGATTCGGCGAAGATCCAGTCTGTCCAAGTTTGGCTGGGGTGTATCTTTTCTGCTTGACAGAAGCTGCCGTCGAGAGAATCTACGAACCGGTTGCAGATAGTCTATGGATAATCATATTAACTTGATGACATCTATGATCCTCCCTCGTCAGGCATTGGCTTACACTGACTGCCGATGTCATCTCTCGATTCCATTCAACATCTTCCACAGGGTCTTCGATCTTTCGCATGATCATGTACACCATGCCCGCCTGCTGCGTAGCAAGAAGATCAAGCAGCGACATCTCGTGAACCTGGAGTATGGATCTATATTAGTAGAGCATTACAATAACGGCAATGGACGATACTCCCCGGCAAAACTAACCATCGCCACAGCACGTCTAGTCTCTGCCAAGATCGTGCGCCAGATGAACGGGATAATTTCCGGAGTCCTGGAGGCGAACATCTTCGCAATCCGCACGCAGACGGCCAACGGCTCTGGTAAGGCTTTTCGGTCCCATTGAGGATGTATGAAGCATGGGAATGTTTCCCGTCGAAGCATCTGGTCAGGCATTGCGCAGAGCGTCCGGACAATGCAGTCGGCATTGTGGTTGGCTATCGAATCGAAAGAGATGCGCTCCGTGAGGTATGTCGTTTTCTCGATAGCCGAGGAGTATGTGTCTTTGTCCAGGGCGCTTCTCGGCGCAGAAAAGAATGGGTAAGGTTGCTGATCGAGCTGCTCCCATGCATGTGGGCTAGCTACGGTATCTGGTAACAATGTCTTTGTGCTGATGTTATTCGACAATGGTTGATCATGCTCAAAGATGGTGTTCGTGGCGTCGCATGCACGATCTGGTACCGATGAATGGAAAGAAAGATCGATCATGATGCTGTCCGCAGAGGACCTGCTGGGCGAAGCCGTCTCCATAGTGGTACCCGACCCGCAAGCCATGGCTGCAGAAGCAACATGATCGTATGTGCAGTCTATACCTTTGCTGGCGCATCGAGAACACCTTGAGCTGAAAGAGCACTTCGCCTTAGCAGCGTTGCAGGATCTGCAGGATCTCGGACGGCGGTTTGGCCTACTCTGAGCTCGACGACAGTACGTGACATGTCGCTTGTAAGCAATGTCTGGCGGAGTCGTCAGGCAAAGAGGACTGATTTGATTCGAGATGTAATATACATACCGTTGTTGTAGGATCGATCGCATAGCGAGCACGTCTCGACCATTATGCGTAGTATTTGCAAACTTTTTGAAGACGGCGAGTTAGTATAGTTTCTTCGTCGTATCAATGTCCGGACCCGATGTGGGCCGTGAAGGTACAGGTCATGTCAACTTGGAGGAGCACGATTTGTAAGCTATCTGGGCGCTACCGTCAGTATTGACACCCACCTATACACGTGCAATGACTGTCTGAGTTCAGACTGCTCGTGTTCAATGCGATCAGCGAAGCGCTCTGAGATCCACTTGCTATGCTCAGGATGGACTTCACATTCTGACTAACATATCTTAGTTCAGCTCAATCACCACCTTCTTCGCACTGACACCCTTCTTATTGGCATCAAACCCAGCCTGCACACTCCCGAGGCCCTTGCCAACGATCATCGGCTCTGGCAAGCACTGCAGCTTTCCAGCTTCGAGCGCTGATGTCACATAGTTCTCCCAGATACTGTGGGTCAGCTCATTGATGCCAAAGACCTGTGCAGTCTTCACGTTCGCCGGCTTCTTCTCTGGTCCACCAAGTACGACAGGCACGACCCCTCCTCCGAGCTTCTCACAGATTGGCAGGACTTTATCGTATGATTGGTCTTGGAGCGAGATAGCATCATAAACGCCGACAAAGTCGCCACCTACTGATTTGACGCCGTTGACAACATCGTCTACGATGGAATCCTTCTTGTAGTCGTAGACCTCGCTAGCACCACATTTCTTGCAGAAGTCAAAGTTTTGGCTGCTGGCGACTGCAACAACCTTGACTCCAGAAGCCACAGCGAGCTGTATGACGAGAGCGCCGACTGAAGAGCTGCCACCCCAGACCACAATGGTTTTGCCACTCGGCTTAGGACTCAGTGATGGCATTGGCAGGCCCATGCCCTTGTCGCCCTCGAGCGGCGAGTACAGTCCGACTGCGGCTGTATCGAGGGCCAATGGGAGTACAGAGCCAGAGGCATAGCTGACGTTGCTTGGTAAGTGAGCTGCTTTGGCTGCCTTGATGCGAGAATATAGCTGGAAAGCTCCGTCTGCAGCCTGACCACTGGCAAGGCTGATATTGTGCCTGGCTGGTATTAGTGCAGCAGTAGAGCTTGGATCACGGTGCTTTACCCAGTGACACGATCGCCCTTCTTGAACCGTTGCACACTACTGCCAACCTCGACCACTTCTCCAGCAGCATCTTCTCCAATGATCATGGGCCATGTCTGAACGAAATAGCCTGAGTCTTGAATCTTCCCTAAAATGTCGCATCAGTCGACCTGCCTTCGGAAAGTGCAAACCCTGTCACGTACAATCAACAGGATTTATGGCTGTGGCGAAGACCTTGATGACGATGTCGTCAGCTTCGGCCTTGGGCATATCTGCGGAAGCCACCCTGAGCTTCTGCTCTTTGCCATCGAGCCATGCTGCTTGGTTGCTCGTCATGTCGGTGAGTGTGTGAAGTGATTTGGACCAGAATTCAGCACTGTAGTCGTCTTACATATATTCTGGCATAGATCGGCGATATTTTGATATGTCAGCGTCTTAGCGATCGTGCTGACGAATCACAATCGGCGGCCGTGGGCTGAGGCGGTTCCGATGCCTTCGTGGAGTTTGTTTTCTACAAGCGATTTGATATACACACCTGCTGTCGTGTACCGTGAGATAGTGGACGATTGATAGCAGATGTCTGGACTGGAAGATGTCATGATCCATCTCCGTAGCTACGTCAAGTTCGTCAATCAAGATCTAATGCTACAAATTTTCCATGCGATGGGCGTCGCGGAGACGAGAGGGCTCCCAGGACACTCGAGTCACTTCGAGAGCGCACGCGACCACGTTATGCCATGTCGCCGAGACAGGTGACATTTTCCGCCAGTCCGCGCCACTGGCAGGTAATCCACTAGGTTCCCATTCATCATTCGCCACATGTCTCTCAGATCTGGCCTCGAAGGGTGGCTGGAGCCAACGAGAAGCAACGACTCGACTCGCAGGGCCTCGTCGCCAATATCATTAATGACAATGAAGTCGAAAATACAACACTTCTGCAATGGTACAAGACATGGGTCGTACTGTGGCGTATGTTGGACATAAACGCGGGCGACACTTCGATCACCATATTGCCCACGCCTCGCATGTAGATTCCGTCAATGCTATGAGCTTCATGGGCAAACATAAGCAGGCTCCATATGGTTAGCAAATCGTCGTAGCTAACGACGGACGCTTCGGTCTCTGACCATATCTAAGACGTCGGCGCGATCGTGTAGTCGTACTAGCTGGTGGTCTGGCGCCATGCTTACTTCGCAAGCAAGCCAGACATCAAGGCCGACGGACATGGAACGTGTCGGGTGAATGCCAGTTTAAGGGTCTCTGTCTGGAGATCCTAACCGTGAGCACCCGTCGTCTCAATCCCTTCGTACTGGCCTGAATTGCACGAGTAAGACTTTATCCCGAAGCTGCAGGATCTCGAGGCGTCGATGGCATTAAACGACCACTTCACGCAGCGATGTATCGTGGTAGCAGAGCGCTTCTCATGGTCTCCCGTCAATCTGGCTATCTCGACTGCCGGAACAGGTCCTTTAGGTCATCCTAGCTGTAAAGGCGACATGAGTCCACCGCATAAGAGATCAATTTGCAGGTTCAGTGACTCTTCTCAAAGCGAGCCTCTCTGATCAAAGTCCGTGATGAGACTTGCAATGTCTGCAGATTTCGGGTCTATGATAGCTTGAGCCAGATCGATCTTCAACCTCGAACTTTGTTCTTCGTTAGTCCACGACCAATGCCTGTCGTTATGACTGGCCCTCAACAAGATCTGTCTTGCCTCTGGTGTCGTTACGATCTTCGCGCCTATTGCCACCTCCAATAGTGCTTTCAAGATGACAACAACAAACTTATAAGCGCCGGCTATAGTCTGATATCCATGGACGCACAGTAAGAACAACCTTCTATGTGCTCGATTGCGGTCTCGGGAGAGACCTTGTGCTTCGGTTGGTGACACGTTTAGAACCGCATTAGCAACGTAGAGGCAGACTGGATGCCAGAGTATTGAGTAGGCGGCGGCTGGGTAGCGCAGCGGGAAAGCGAGCACGAGATGCTTCAACTGGCATAGTAATGCCTCAACCACCGCCTGAGGAGTACTTTCGGAGTACGCGCAAGACTGCAATATCAGATCCTGATTGCCTTGAAAGGGACGGAAGATGTCGATGACCGTTGTGTGGTAGAAGATGCTGCAAAAAAATTTGAGTACAAATCCTCGGGCAGGCAAAGAAAAGCCGTGATGCTTACAGGAATATTTCCACTCTTTTATGCTTAAAGCTGAATAGTATTTTGGTCCCCATTTGAATGAACCCCAGAAGCATGAGGCTGCGGACCCAAACCTCGACAAGGCGCCCGAGGCTCTCATACACACGTCCCGTTTACGTGAACATTGACCTGATGGGTCCAGGGATTGAGTCGATATATCCTCGTCTGCAAGGACTTGAAGCAGCACCACTGGATCGGGCGTGGTGGCAGCTCGCCAGGTGAGCGAATATATGCCCTTCCTCTGTCGCTGTAATGCTGGGCTCAACCGTTCGATCTATCGCCACTAAAAATCTGGCTTGAGTCGGAGGTCACATATGATTTCTCCGATAGTGTTGCATGACTGGCCTAGGATGTTTCCAGCGCCATACACGCTCACGCTGCGGTAACTTTCGAGTCGCGAGCAGTTTGGTCGAGTCTGGCGACATTTCTGCGACGATAGTGATCGGCACATTGCCATGTGAAGCCGCCACACAATGATAGTAGCCTGCAATCAAGTCGAGGCATGAGCGCCCAGAGCTGTGTTCCAGTCTTCAAACTGCGCGGCCGTGATCCCATACTGGTCTGCAATCGCTATACAAGTGTCGCCGCTCATATCTCTGTAGAAGTGCTGACAACGAGCATTGACTCCAGTCTGTACTAGGGAAGGTGTCGTAGCGGTCGTAATGGTCGCTGTCGGAGAGATACCATCCGAGGTGCTCGTGGCTGTCGATCCCTGCGAGGTCATACTTGATGCTGCAGCCGCTGATCGTTTCTGGTGCTGTCGTTCAGAGAGTAGGATTCCAGCCGCAATGCCACCACCGATCATCAACGCAACGATCACTGCAACCCAGGACCAGATACAGCACCATTTCCGCCCGCTGCCAGATCTCTTGGCCCCTTCGTCTCCGCCTTCACCAGCAGCGATTCTGCGAGCGGCCGGGCTCGACTGCCATTTGGTGCTCTGCGCGCGTGCTTGTCCATCCTGCACGAAGACGGTATGGTACTCGTTCTCGTCCCAAATCGCAGCAGTAGCGCTGCCACCATTGCTGGTGGCATCGAGGATGCCATTCTCGAAGGAGACTTCAGCGTTACCCGAAGTTCGTTGTAAACACGACCGCGACGAGGGATGCCCAACCCAAAGTTGAAGTCTGACGGAACTCAGCAAGTATATGATTAATATCGAGTTTGGGCTTCATATCATTAGTGTACTTTCCTCTGAGGGCAATGCTGCCCATATGATGCTTTTTAAGTTGCTTACAGCAACTGTAGAATCGATGCCAACCTAGCTGGAGTCACCAGGTCTATAAGTCCGTGAGAACATGAAAAGTGGTCGTCATTGCAGAGGAGGGAGCTCGGTGAACTGGAAACCGCCTTATCACAGCAGGCATCGGATTGGGGCTGTGTTTCGCTCTGCACGGCGGATATGCTAGGCATATCATACAGTCTGAGAGGCCGCCCGCACGTTCGCAGAACTAGTCTTGGACTTAGCCACGCTATCTGACCGGTGAGCGTTAGGATAGCTGGAGTCCTGGGCAAGACTAGCAATAGTCATGAGCCACATGAGGCAGCTAATGTGTTGAGAGGTGTGCTGCGAGCAACCGCCTGCATATACACACGCCCAAAGCTGTCCGCATTTGGAGTCGCCTAAACTTCAATCAGCCACAAGGCAATCACGCCTCGATCAGGTTGGAGATTGAACTGCCTTTGCCTTGGCAATCCTTGGCTCAGCCTTCCCAAAATATTCGCCTTTTCCTACTCACAACTATGGCTGCTCTCATGCTGCCCGAGGGCTTCATCTTTCGACGCCATCCAGTAAGCAAGAAACATCGTCTCAAGCCGATCACCCACTTGAAGACAGCGCCGATTCGCCATCATATCCGGCCTTGAGCCAATCGCACTGGTCCTTGCTGCCGTCAGCGCCAGTGCGGGAATCGTCAGCGCAACGAACAGCATAAAGAACAGCCTCGATAGCAAGGGACCGAGTTATCATGCCACAAAGGTGATATTGGGCCCAGCGAAAAGTGACCTGACGCACGCTAACGATCCCTCCAGACGGTCACGTCTAAGAAGCAGTCATTCTTCAGCTACACTGAAGTGAATGGGAATGCACGGGTAACCTCATCGCAAGACAGCGGGTATGCTGGTTCGGGTCCCAGCGGCTCGTCATGTTCTGCGTGGTTCGATAAGTAGAGCATGAACTGTCATGACTGCATCTAAGAGAACAGTGAAGAGTATGCTGTCATTTGCTGCCATGCACAACTCCCTGCACAGCGATGGAGTGTTTTTACCGAGAATCTGGAAATGCGTTGCACTTCAATGTGTCGCCCAGTCGACCTCGTTGCTCTGCTGTCATGCTGATTGACTGGGCAAGTATGGCGATAGCGATGACTATTAATTGCTTGGGACACCTGTTGCAGCTGTATCTAACGTATGCTGTCAAGTGAACCATCTTAGATGGTCTTGGTGAAGCTACACGTTCACTTGTAGCTGTCGTCCGGGCTCATTGAAATCGATGTTGCTAGACCCAAGGATTTGACTCCCACCACGACCAGGTCAACATTTGGAAAGGGGATACGCGTTGTGATGGAAGCACTTTTGTGCCTCATTACTGGAGGCCTTGCAGCGTGTCGCATCCACTTGCGATGCACAAGTTCTTTGATTGCGTTCCGTTATTGTCAAACTCGCATGCGCGTTGTGTAAAATTGTCTGTTGGCCTCGTAAGGTTTGCTTAGGACTGGCTCTTGCACAGGGCTGTGAGTACTGATTTCCACTGTCCGGTAGTGCTGTGAAACTATCACGCCGGCGACCCGCTGACAGTATATACCTGACCTGGCACAAGATTTGAAGCACGAAGATATGTCGGATGTACTCGTTAACAGAATGGAAGTGGCACTTTATGACGAAACTTGTTATCGGTCAGTAATGGTGTGCAGGTTCGGGACGATGGCATGAAGCCCATTGGTTGTCCGGTCAAGCTCAAGCTCCTGCACAGCCATCAGCCATTGGTTCGTGCTCAGATCCGAAAGTCCTTCACCCAATTCTGCTGCCAAACCATTCCTTGACGACTGTTTGTCTGGGGATTCATCGACTTGCCGTTCACAACTTCACCAACATCGAGGACTTGGATGCAATTGCTTCGTGAAACCACTCCTCCGTCGTCCACATTGACCGTGTCGTGGCAGGCTCACGGTTTGCAATGCAAAGCAGACATGGGGCCACAAAGATCTGCTGCGCCTCCCACACAAAAGCCCATCCGTCATGAACTGTACTGCACACTTTGGGTGCGGCCCCAAACATCACCAACAATAGGTACATAAAGCGAGGTAGGCCCGCAACGATGTCAGAGCATCCCGTCGCATTTCCTATCATCCTGTACAACAGCTTCATTATATTAAACAATTCTGGTTGCGACGCTCGTTGACGGTAAATCGACAAGTTCACTTCACCGGTCGAAGAGGGGTACGATACACAAAGCCTCGCGCCATCTCGACTGCCAACAACCGCACACCATCCTCCTCCTCGCATCCACGATCAAGATGGATTTTCGCCGCGACGACGAGATCTCGAGCGAGATAGGAAGCATGTTCCTCGAACCGAACATGCTCGACCCGACTCTCATGGTCAATGGAGAATGGGACGAAGGATTCGGCCAAGCTGGCGCATGGTCGAACACTCAATACGCAACCTACCCTCCACCAAGCAATCCACAAGGAGACATGGCCATGTCAGCTGGCGGCCTGCTAGACACGACGTACATGTGGACCGCTGGACACCTAGAACAATTTCAACCTGGCCTGCAATCTTCCCAGAGCTTCGGCATGCCTTCAGGTGCTGCACCTCCAATGCCATACAACAACTCATACGCCCTCGCACAATCGACGACTCAGCCGGGATCGGGGTTGAACCACTTCAGTCCACAGCATCAGCCAACACAACCACGACCTCAGCTGCAAGTGGCTACCTCGTCGGCCGCTCTTCGTCCGCAGAACCAAGTATATCCTCACCAGCTGCCACGTTCGGCCCCTCCAAGAGCAGCACCGCATATTTTCATCCAGAGAGTCGACTCGATTCCGCGAGAGATGCCTGCGCCTACGACGTACAGCGATCGCAGGCCTCGGGCTCACAGCGATGCAACTATGCCGCTACTTACACACGCACAAACAGAACCCGACCTCCCCAGAGCCAACAATCTTTTAAGTCCCTCGAGCCCTTACACTCCAGTTATGGATCGTTTCCTCCAAGAAGAGCACGCTGTACCCCAAGGCCACATTGCACAAGCTTCCATCGAATCTCCTCGCAGTCGTTCTGCCTCCAGGTCCAGCCGTGGCCGCCACAAGTCGGTTTCACGCAGCCCTACACATTCGAGGGAAAGCTCTGTCGTCAGCTCAAGGAGTTCCATGTCCGGCGAATTCCAATGCCAGGAATGCAACAAGCGGTATGCCACAAACTCCAAGCTGAAGCACCATAAGCGGTATCATACTCCATATGAAGAGCGCAAAAACGTTTGCGAAGAATGCGGACTTCGATTCCTGTTTAAGCGCGAGCTCGTTCGACATATGCAGACCATAACTCACGGTGGCCGCCCTTTCGTCTGCTCAAACTGCACTAGTGCGTTTCCCCGACAGGATCATCTTGACAGGCATATAGTCAACAAGTCATGCAACGATCGAGCCGTGACGCCGACGCCTTCAGATAACCCATCGAACCCGCCTTCGACAGGCTCGTCCGTTGGTCTTCAGTCCCGGGCTCGGGCCAAATCTACGGGCGACCTTCGTCAAGACACCCCATGCTCGGACTTTGGTCTCATTCCTCAATTGCAAGTGTTCGAGTTGCCAAACCACATGCAGGATAACCTCGATTTCGACCCAAGCGTAGATCCGAGCTTGTACGACCCATCCTTGTGCATGGACACCTCAATCGATTGGCAACAGGACCCTTCTTACGACGATCCTTTTGTTTACCAGCAGTAAGAATAAATTGATTATTATCTACCTTCGGCAGTCATGGACCATATACGGACGATACAGCGCACGCGAGAATGATATTTCGGCGCAAGATAGATGGTCTTTGCAGTTGATTTCACATAGGTTGGAGTCTTTCTCTACTTGCTTGTCGCACGATACCCACGAACGACTCTGTCTAGAGGTCAGCGTTGCTAAGGAATATAGGATAACAGCAAACACATACAGGGACGGTCATTTTGGCGTCAGTGAAAGGTCGCTTGTCACCATGACCTTGTATAGTCTTTCGTAGGTGTGTGAAATAAGAATAGATCAACATGCAGTAATGCTGCATCACACATCTCTGTACTTCACATTCAACACTCTACAGACATAAAAGCCATGGTTTCCACTATTTCAACGATGAAATGACTGACAGCTGCCACGATCGTCAGCCCATCTGTCGTCTCTGCTCAGAGCTCTCCTGTCGGCGACGACACCACGCAAGTCGGTCCGCGTGCACAGCTTTGCACTGCAATTGCCAATGATGCTACTCGTCTGGATGCTGCCGTGGCTTTGACTTGCCTTCAACCAATTCCGGTCGGAATAAAAGGTAACATTGCGGAAACTGAGAGACGGACCCTCTTGGTCATGTTCTAGTCCGGTTTCGCATACCTCAAGAATTTCCCCCCAGACTGGCTATATCCAGGTGAAGACGTGCTCGAGAGTCCGGACCAAATCTAAGAGGGTGTCTGGCGTGGCTACTACACGGACTCTTGATGGTACGTTCAATGCTGCCACTCCTCAATAGCAAGCTCTATCTGTATCATGACTCGATATCCAGCCTAACGTTCAACAGGCAGTCGCACGTCTTGCTGGATCTGGCACAGTGAATTCCAGGAAACAATATCCGGAACGGAGATGATGCGGCCACACCATCACAGTTCGTCTACGAGACTGCGGATTGTCACTTCTTCTACACAGCACCTGTGTTTGCTGGACAGTCGTTGGTGTGGAAACGTGCGTACTCCCTTGCATGGGGCGCCAGTGCTCGTGTTGCGGGTTGGACTGGCCAGCCATCGTGTACCAGGATTATCCCAACAGGATACGTGCAGGCTTATCCACCAGCAGGTTCAGACAGCACGCTTAGAAAGAACGACACGTTATCATTCCTGGGCGCGTACAATCCATCCAGCCCAAAGCCGTCCATCTCAGCTACAAAATCGATCTCGGTAGGGACAATGTCGGTAGGAAAACCATCGACTTCTTCGGCAAAGGCGACCACATCATTCACAGGATCTGCTTCAAGCTCTCGTGCGTCCGCGACTGCCACAGAGAGTGTTCAGCCATACACGAGCAGCGCGACATCGTCGACATCGGCCGATGCGTTGACCCTCTTGCTCGCTGTCCTCACTGGTGTGTTCTTCTGGTAGCGAAACGCAACGACGGCGGGTATGATGGCAGATGCACATTCGAGCGAGTAATTGAACTGCTTGAGTGGATGTGGAGTAGAATATACATTCTTGACTCGTCACGTCTGTCAGCCAACCATCAGTAGTAGTGGTTGGAGAAGAAGGTGAGTACTCACTAGAGTGTATCCAGCAGCGGCACCACCTAAAGCTTGACCACAAGAAAGTTCATGTGATCCCAGTCTGTCATGAGTGATCAGTAGCTCGGTTTGTCAACCACATCGAACTTCGGTTGACCCACGTTCGCGTCTCTACCAAAAACTGCATGATTGGTTGGTATCCCGGAGTAAATCATGTAGCGTCGGGGGAATTCCCCTCGTATGATCGTCATCTAGCATTGCTGGCGGGACTGCAGATCTTGGTGGTGTTAGCTATAGAAATCATTGTCCCCCGCCCTGGCCATCATCTCCTTTCTCGATGCTGCTCTACCTCAATGCTCAAAGCTTCATTTGGTGGTGCGGACGCCATCGGAACACCACCAGCATCAACATTTCGAGGCTCATCACTAGCACGTGAAGATGCCACACCGGCCTGGCGGTTCCCGCATCGCCCGTCATGTCATGGTTGGTGAGGTGCATTCGGACCAGGCACGGAACGAATGAGACGCTGGCGCACTGTGAGATGCACCGCCACGACAATGTCAGGCAGCCAAGCTGTGCCGTTGTATTCCGTCACCTAAACGTGAGACGGTAAGAAAGATTTTTCACTGCACCACCTCGATCGTGGTCAAGCAGCACCACCAGGTCGATGTGCTGTCTCGGCCGTGAACTACATACATCATCTTGTTTGTGCACAGCATCTTTACTGCTTCCGAACAATCATTATTACACATTATTCACTACCCTAGACACCCATTCTACATTCGCTCCAAGCCTGCGCAGTTGGTGTTCGCTACAGTCCTCGCCCTCGGTCGACCCCAAACATCACCAAACCTCACCATAGATATGGATGGTGTTGGTATGAGCATGGAGTCCGAGAGCCAGGACAACGTCGGCGAGAACGGGGACTGGTCGTGGTCGATCGGTTTTAATGATCACTCGGACTCGGAATGTGGTGTTGCAGTAAGTCTCCGTCTGGTCTCGGGTATAGCAGGCGGTGTCTGACGCCGGGTAGTTGCAGCTCAATCTTCCAGTAGACGACATGATCGGCGAGCTTGACGTCTCTACTCCCGTATCGACATGCTTCAAACGCTTCATACACCCCGATCCTCCTGTCCTCGTAAACAGCACAACACTAGCAGCATCTGATCATGACCTGGTATCCACGGCGTACGCATACAACTATGCCGCCTGTCCAACACCACTCTTTAGATATGAGATCACGCAGCATGAAGCGGAGGCCATTGCCTGGCAGGACCATAGAGTAGGGAACCACAAGGACCAGACTGGGAGCATATACGTGCCACCTCGCAGCCATGAAGGGCAGCCTCGATACCATGATGCGTCATTCGTTGTTCCTGCGGGCAGGGTACAAGCGGCAGACCTGGCCAGCAACCGCGATACCCCAGGCTTCTGCGGACCCACGAGCGTGCCAGTATTTTCCGTTCGAGAGTGTAGAGACACTGCTGAACTTCATGCCGGGTATGAAGATCGAGAGCCCGAGCCCGTGTCTTTCGATGTCCTCGACAATGACATCCTTGACGCCAGTGCCGCTGCACCCGATTTCTCCACTATTATGGCTCATCACTCGTCCGACCTTGCTCCGAGCCTGGGACACAGCATTCTGTCTGCCACAGATCGATCCACCACAACCTCCAATGATGATGCTCTGCCCAAGGTTCATCATGAAGACGGCACATGGACCTGCGGTGTTTGGAACTGCACAACGTCTGGCAAAACATACACCAAGCGCTCGCAGCTCAAGAAGCATCAGCGTTGCCATGAGGACAAACCGTCCGCCTGTGAACGATGCGGCCGCCGCTTTCGCTGGAAAAGTCATCTGAGAGCTCATCAGCTGTCCGTCCATGACAAGAGCCATGTATACCGTTGTTCGTCTTGCACCAAGAACTACACAAGGAAAGACAACCTGGCTCGGCATATCAGGCTCAAGCACGCAGCTCTCGTGGGTGTCGTCCGCGGAACAGTCAGTGCTCAGACCATTTCGCCAGTGACTCCTCAGCCGGCGGCTGCTAGTCAGGGCTCACACGAAAATACCACTCCAGCTGGACACCAAGTTCGTCGTCAGCACGAATATGAGTCTCAGGACTGGATGGCCGATCCAATGTTCGAGGACTTGGGCTTTGTCGACGACGGTTGCATGCCAGCCCCGCTCCAGTATCAAGAGGGTCTCTTCACACCGCCCATGTCCCGAGATGCGTCATTCTCGCGGTCGCAGCTGCAGTCTTTCAGCACTGCAAGTTTCCCAGGAGGATTTCTTACTCCGCCAGACGTGATGTCGCCACCAACGACGCCGTATGGCAGTATGTGGCCAGGCATGCCGTCGAACAATCATCATTAGTGCCCACCTTCGACCCACTAGTATGGACACCCTCGTCAGCACTGCAGCTGGCTGCATTGCGTATATCACGACATGACAGGATATTGTAACCATCATCGTATCTCTGGCTGAGGTGCCATCGCCTCAGTTCATCCAGAAGACGATCACTTCCGGCTGCGGTATGGTCTTGCTCTTCACGTTGCCTCGAAAGGACTTCTTCGGGATTCGCGACCACGACGTGGTCATGTCATAGCGGATCGCGGGACCATTCTCCCAGCTGCGGCAGGCCGCACATACAACATCAACCTGGCTGGTCCAGGTCGACCACGATTACTCCACGATAATCCTGCATCGTCTTTTTTCATACCCTCGCATTCTTTGATACCCTGATAGCCCTCTCCGGTCTTCATGCTTTACTTACAACCCATCATCAACCCGCCAGGCGTTCTTCCTTCCAGTCATAGCAGCGTAGCGTATCTGCATAGCATCGCACGACCCCATCCCGGTGTCTTTGGTCCCGGCAACGGTCCCTTCTGGTCGCTTGTTCCTCTAACAAACCAATCGCTTTGAAAGCATATTTTGTTCGACCTTGTATGGTAATCTGTACAAGACTCAGGAGCCTAGTCGGCGTTACGGATGGGTGGTAATGATTGTGTCTAGAACGACAGACATACAGATACAGAACATCTTCTACAACGAAAGAACAAGACCATGATCCCTCTACCTAGCCTCGCGTGACGAAGCTGACTGTTGCCTCCTGTCACGCCTGCAGTCTAGGCATCTCCTAGCGTCGTTCTGCCAAACGTTTAGAAGTAATTACTGCCCTATGAACCGGGCAGCGTAGGATCATCTCGCAACGGGAGGAAGCGCCCGAATGCGATCATTACCAGGGCTATCGCTGTACAACTTGACCTGTGGCCGGGACAGCGTTGTCGTCGTTGAACGAGTACTGTAGCACAAACGGGCAACGACGAGATGCTGTTCTTCCACTGAGCATCCAAGGCTCTCTAGCGTCGTGAATCGTACCGTTGTGGAGCTGATCGCTGTCCTCTCGGCAGTTCCCATACCGATCGACTCGACGTCGAAGCTTTCACCCATAAACTTGCGTGGACGGCACGTAGGAGGCATAGGCTCATCTATTCGATGCACGGTATAATAACGGATGTGGCTGCACTTACAAGGCGCCTACCTGCTTCTATGGCGACCAGGTGGCGGATCAGGATTCGAGGCACAGAGCATCGAGTGCATAAAGCCTGCCGATGCCCCTCGGCCTCGTCTCGTTATGCTCGAGATCGCCTTACAAGCTCGCATTCTGTCTCAAGCTCACAGAGGCGTTGTCTACTACATCAATATTGCTGAAATGCACGCAATGGATTCAGACACCGCCTGGAAGACTATACTGTCGCGCGCAGCAGGCGGTCGTACGTCATCCTGCGAATGGTAGTTGCTTGGACAGTTGAGGCAGCACGCCGGTTGGAGCGGGATGGGCTGCTCAAACCACGACGCTTCTCTTGCAACGACACCTCAGTCCAACAACGTACGTCACGGGTCAAGTACACAATCCTTTTGTCAACATTACTCACAAGCAGCACATCCTCCAGCAGATTACCACCTTCAATCGCAATACTTTTGCATTTCGTACTCACATTCACCTCAAAGCAAGCTCGGCAGCCAGCAGCTCCACGCCGGCCTGCTCCGATAAACCGCTTTGTCCACCACGAGACGATGATCGCGTACAGCAAGCTCGCGGAGCTCGACGAGAACAAGAGAAAGCGCGATCCGGAATCGTCTGGCGACGAGCAGCATGCCAACAGACGCTTCAACCTAGACCCATTTCGAACCGACCCGAATGGGTTGAAACATGTGCACACCGGCACCCAGTTCCAAACCACCAGCGTCGATCCCACCGCCCAAGACCTCGACAATGGCGTCCGACGTCCCGACTACGAGAGGCAGTCGGCGTACTTCTTACCAAAGCGAACTGCCACCAACTCGAGCCTGACGTCTTCCGGACACGAAGCTGCTGCAAGATTCGAGCTGGCGGCCGATTGGTACATCTGCCTGCACAAAGATTGCGAATCCAAACCTGCATGGTTCGAGACTTTGCAAGCGTTCTAGTAAGTCTGATCGGTGTCATTAGAAGTAGCCATACCTTCCTGACATGCATCCAGTGACCACGATACACAGCGCCATGACCAACCGCGGAAAATCGTCAACCCTGTGACACCGCATCGCCATGAAACTGGTTGCGAGCACCCTCCCGAGCACTCCGAGACCGGCAATGGCCCAGACAACTGCGAAAGCCAAGCGCTGCTCGAAAGTACTGCCTCTCCGGCGGAGGATGCAAAGCTCATACATTTGACTCGGCGGCTCTTCAAGGTGGACTGGCAAGAGCTAGAAGTAGATGGGGAGACCGCCATAGTGTGGTGGTGCGCAGAAGATTGTCGTGGGTCCAAGAAAGGATATTTCGAAAGCGAGCCCGCCGCTCGGTGAGTCATGCCGCAGTATGCTAACGCTCATGGTGACACATCGCTAACCATACAATTTTGATCGTAGCAAACACCAGCGGTGCCACATCTCCGAGGATCTGCTTCCTCGCCGATGCGATCTGGTAATCGATGGCCAAGTCTGTGGCCGGCGCTTCCTATACAAGTCTGCGCTTGCAGAACACCAGAAGAGATGGCATCTAGGGATCCTGTACCACTGCCACCATTGCAAGAAGTATTCATCAAACAGGTTCGACAACCTGAGGAGGCATTATGGGTCTTGTACTCGGAGCAGGATCATACCAGATATAGAGGAGGCGCTGGTCGAGCCAGAGGGCTTTCAGGCGCCAGCGCCGAAAGCGAGACGCCAACGCCAACCAGGCACGTCGGCACGCACTCCGGCTAGGCACCGACCAGCGCAGGCACCACTGGCCACCTCCACCACACCTACGCCACAGCCGCAGATGCGAGAGCCTCCACTGCCGGCAGGACATCAGGCGATCAATATGCCGCCGGCACCTACCGCTGTGCCAGCCTGGAGGTCAAACAGATTCGACTCCATGTCGCCCGTATCGCGGCAGGCGCAACCAACAGACCTCGTCATCAATCCGGCATTGCTGCAGCCATCGGCCTTCCCTCCACCACCAGTTCCTGTTCCACGCTCGCCGCTTGCGCACACGCGATTGCCGGTCTACCACGACTCGGCGGAGGCATGGGCCGGATCATCTGCCAGCCATAACAACCACACGTACTCCTCGTCGTCGCAATCACGTGCACCAAGTGAAGGCTTTTCCAGCGCTCCTCGGTCCCGAAGGTCGACCAAAGCCACCTCCGTCTCGAGCTACAGGACTGCCGACCGCTCCTACAGCGACGCTGTCCAGAATCTCCCTTGGAAGCTCGCATTGCGGCCTAGACCAGTGGACCGCGAATTCAGTGGCTTCGGCAAGGCGGCTCCAGCGTGATGAGGATATATATGAGGTATATGCTCATCCAACTGTTCCAGTCCGATAACTTGCTGACGTTCCCTGTCTCAGATCCATAGTTTCGACAGCACGAAAGATCCAGGAAGACACGAACAGGATATGGCGAACAGGACAGGTGGCGTTGGTCATCAGGGAGGACAGGTTGATGAGTTTTGGTCGACCTTTCAGGAGTTCGACCTTGTTATGGATACCCGCGGAGTCATGTTAGGTTGCTTTATACGTCAGGCGCGCATGTAAGATCGCAGAGTTATTTCGATCCGCATCGTAAGCGGGCCACGTCGTCCCAGGGGCGCAGAAGAGAGCAAGATTCTCGTATTCGCTCCAAGCCTTGGCGCCAGTCGTTGGCGTCTTGGGTGCACCCTATCCATACTATACAGGGGATCTTAGCTGCTGCATATGACATGTATCATGAGATCAAATTCGTGTTGTTGACGTTTCAGTGCCAGGTAAACATCAGGTGACTCTTGGCAATTCATGTGACCATGACTTCATGGCTCAACCCCACCGTGCCTTCTAGCTCACGAGGCCAGAGTTTGGCCCCACTACTGTCAACAAGTTTGTAGTGAGCACAACCAGTGACCTGTACATACCACAACCATAAACCACCACACATATTCTTGATCCGACACACTGCAGTCAGCAAGATGCCAGCCACACAAACCCCCGACTTCAAGAAGGCGGTGATAGAGAGCAGGAAGCTGAAGGCCAAGCCGACTGACAATGAACTGCTCGAGGTACGGACAGAACCGCAGCATATATATATACCACCAGATCAACACTAACTGGCAGTAAAAATAGCTCTACGGACTGTTCAAACAAGGCTCCCAAGACCCACCCTTCGCCGACACCACGGCCCCCGGCATGTTCGAGCTAAAGGTAAGAATACTCACCCTTCCATCTCTCCATTCCAATCCTCTCGAGTATCACCAAAGCTGACCATATATTTTCGTACCCACACAGGAAAAAGCCAAGCGCAGCGCCTGGGAGAAACTAGTAAAAGAAGACGTCAAGCCCGCCGATGCGCAAAAACGCTATGTCAAGCTCGTGGGCGAGCTGAAGACGAAACATGGGTTTAGCGGTTAGGAGTCGCCGCCGAACACTACGTTCTCGCTCGACAGTGACGGGGACGATGACGATGACGATGACGATGACGAGCCACCGCTTTATTCTTCTCTTTACACTACGAACCATCACAATAACACCAACAACACCGATGACGAAGACGACGAGATCAGCGAGCAAGGCGAAGGTCTAGCATTAGAAGCCGATTCTATCCCTCCCACTGCACCACCACAATACACCCCCCACGCCTCCCCCGAACACGAATGTCCCATTGTTTGGTCCGGCCGAGCATTGGAGGGAATGGTACTCCAGTACGGTTCCGCGGACGAAGATTCAAACCTTCATCACGCCGTAACCATCTGGCTGCGATGTTCGTGCGGGCATGGATACAGCGTTGGCGATTGAGTCTCACGAACCTCGTCTTTGTACGAAAGAAATCACGGAAGTACTGCGTATAAGAAGACTCCCGTTCATAGTTTGCTGTATCTTTCGTTTCGTTCCATCTCACTTCATGTCAATCGCACATACCATCAAGCTACAGAGTCCCCCCGAGTTCAGATGACAAGGATCCATTCAAGCACGCCGCGTCGCAGCTGGAGCCGGGGCGCTCGCCGAAGCTGACCTACATACCACAAATGCACTGATCGCAGACTGGGGCACTGACAGCCCTATCGCGTCAATCAGCGGCGTGTGAACCATCAGCACGACACGGCATCAGTACAACATGACAAATTGAAGGAAGGGAAGAGAAGGGTATTGGCAATCAAGCCTCGCCATCAGCCATTAACGGCTTCAAGCTCAGCGACACCTTGCATGGGAAGAAGATCGTGGCATTTTCCTCAAAAGCTAGCTAGAGCGCCTGGACACCCGCTGCTGCAAGCCGTGAATGCATGGTGCGCTGGTCGTGAGACGGCATCATCCCAGATTGTCGAATTGGCTGTGGTAGAGCGAGAGCCCTTACTGACGAGGCGGCCTGTCGCCGAAACGACGAGGGCGCTCAGCAACCTGCTGCTGCTGGACGGCGACGACGTTGACGGGGATGCTGTCGAACTGTAGATCACATGACATATTAGCAACCGCATCTCACTCCACACTCATGCTCACGGTGGTGGACATGATGTTGTGACTTACGCCCATAGACTTCAGCAAGTCCTTGGTCTCCTGATCCACATCCAACATGCCACTCTCCGAGTTCTGTGTGAAGTCCAGCGCCGACACCTCAGGCACATACTGATCCTTCCTCTCACGCTCCTCCTCTTGCAGCTTGAAGGAGATGCCGCGGACGGGGCCACGTTGGATGCGCTTCATCAAGTGCGTGGTGTAGCCGGCGATCTAGCAATAAATCACGGTTAGTATACACAATCTCCCAGTATTGGTGCGTATCTGCTGGTGGTGGTGGTGATGATGATATTGCATACCTTATTCCTCAACCTCTTACTAGCAATCACGGCAATCTCATCGCAGATGCGCTTGTTGGTCTCGAAGTCGAGGGTGAGCTTGGGGTAGTAGCGCTCGATGATGACCTTGGCCGACTTCTTGACCGTCTTCGTCCTGACACGACCCATGATGGCGGTGGTTTGTCGGGATTGGAAAGAGTGAGTTGGTGGTGAGTGGACGAAAGCAGTATCTATCGTTAGGTTGAGTTTCGCGATATTGGGGATTCCCGCGCAACCTTTCGCCAAGACGCACCTGGGAATTTGGGGTGGAAGACGGGGATAAGTTGAGCCGGGCCCGCTGATCAACCTCAGGCACATCGATCAAGTATACAGCACTCTGCCACCATCGCCACCCGCTTGCCATGTGCGCTGTGCTAATGCGCACTTTACGGATCTCACACCGACAGAGACGAGCTCTTCATGGCATGCCAGTCAGACGATTGTAGAGTGAATTATACCCTCGGGTATCAACAGGGAAACGTCCATAATACGAAAAAGGCTCCGGGTCCAGCACGACGAGCATGACCCAACCTCCCAACCTCATCATGATCATCCCATAGCCCATACTCCATACTCAACTCCGTCCCATACACTAGAACAGCCAATAGCAACACCCTCATCATCTCAAGTCCGCCGCCCCAAGCACCTGCACCACACTCGTACCATCCATAAACCTCGTCCGAAAAATCCGATTCGCATTCCCAAACATCCCATCCTTCAAACTGACGACAATAAACTGACTCCCACGAAACCGCGTCCGGATCAACCGCCCAATATTCTGCGTATGCGACAGATCGAGCGCCGCGTCGACTTCATCCAGGATATACATCGGGGCGGGGGAATACTGGAGCAGGGAGAGGATGAGGGAGAGAGCGATGAGAGATCTAGTTTTCGCGGGGATGTCAGTACTGTCCGCGAAACCAGAAGCGTAGGGGGGGCGGTTGGGGTAGAAGTAGGGAGCAAGGGGGGACGATGTGGGTTTGGGAAAAGAAAAGAAAAAGAAAACGTACCGCTGCCCCCCACTCAGTTCAGTCAAACTCTCCTTCCACACCTTCCCCAAACAAACCCTCACCTCCAACCCCTCCGCCACGCTCTTCCCCTCGGCCGGGACCAACCTCGCCGTATTCCCCGGCAACAAATCATTAAAAATCGCCCCAAAATCCTCATCCACCTTCCTCCACGTCTTCTCCAACGCCACCGTCTTAAACTCATCCAACTGCCCAATCGTGTCCTCGATTTTCCGGCGATCCTTGATAATCGTCCGCATATTCAACTTCAGCGCCGCTTCTTTTTTTTCCACACTATCAATCGTAGCCATAACGGCCGGATTGATCTTCTTCTTCATACTCTGGAAGCGCTCCGTCACGAGCTTCAAATTGTTCTTACTCTCCCCCATATTCTGGCCGGAAAAGTCATACGGGGTCCCCTGCCTCCCGAACGAGGAGGCCGCCTCGTGGATCCAATCGTGTTCCTTCTCCAACACCGTCAACGCGGTCTGGGAAACCTGTTGCGCTTTGGCGAAGTTATCGATCAGATGGCCTAGTTTCTGCGCTTCCAACTTCTCGTCGGAAATTTGCTGGGTTTTCTCTTTGCTGGCGCGTGAGAGGTCGGCTATCTCCGCATCGAAACCCGAAAGCTTGGCTCTTTCGTCGTTGAGGTGGGCTTGCGCTTCGTCGTGGACGAGTTGGGCGGTGCTTTGTTCGCGCTCGTGCTCGGCCATCTCCTCGCTATGGCCCTCCAGTGTCGTCTCCGCGTCTGAGAGTTCTTCCTGCGCGGCGGCGAGGTCGGCACCAGTCTGTTCGGCTTCGATGGAAGCATCTCGCATTTCTTGCTGCAGAGGTTTGATGCTGGCTTGGGATTTCATCAGGGTCTTCTTCAGCTTCTCGACTTCCTTCTGCAATTGGTCCAGCTTGCCGGTTTTGTTGGCGGAGAAGTCCTTCATGTCCTTTTCTACTCGCTTGGCTTCCGCCTCAGCTTCTTTTCGTCGTTGCTCGGCGTTTTTGATCCTCTCCCGTAATGCAGTAATGGTCTCCTTCATCTCGGCCACGCTCGCAATAATACTCGAGGAGGAATTGGAAGCGATCTGCGACTCAGCAAGTTGGATCTCGTGACCCTTAAGATCCGACTCCTGCTTGATCTGCCGCGCCGACTTCATCTTCTGCGCATCCTTCGCCATCGCCCGCTCCAGCTTCTGCAGCTTCTCTTGCTCCTGCTCGAGTTCCGCCGTGATGGCATTGAGCTTCTGTAGCGTCAACAGCACGCCACTGCCCTGAGCCGCTGAACCACCAGATAGTGTACCAGAGGGATCATATACATCGCCTTCGACCGTCACACTCTTCAGCCGTACCGAAGGATCGAAAGTGACCTTCTTCGCCGTCGCAGCATCGGCGGTGATGAGCGTATTGCCAAAGACATACTCCATCGCCTTCTCGACCTCATGCTCGTAGCCGATCAATGTCAACGCCAGATGCACCTTCCCCGGCGCCAATCTCTGCGCAGCCGCCACCTTACCAGCCGGCGCTCTCGAAGCTGCAATCTTGTCCAAAGGCACGATGGTCACTCTTCGCCGAAGCTTGCCATTCTGCAGCAGCTGGGTACCAGTCTCAGCAGAGTCGACGACAACATTATACAATCTGCCTCCAGCACAGATCTCCAGCGCGGTACCTGCTTCTGTCTTATCCTCTGGCAAGTTGAAGAGTTGTGCGACCAGACCTTTGACTCGTCTCCGGTCGAAATTAGGCGCAGGATCGGAGTACGAGAAGTCGAGTCCAGCCACTTTCCGCTTTAGAGCTTCCGCCTCACTTTGCAACCCCCGTATACGCTTTTCCAAACGACCCTTCTCAGCCAGCTGCTCCTCCTCCCGCCCTGGCTCAAAGCCAAGCCTCTCCAACTCCTTCTCCAGCTTCCCGGCCTGCGAGCGCAGAAGCTGCAGATCACCCAGCAGACCCGCATTCTCCTTCTCAGCCTTCTTCGCCCGCGGCTCATCCTCCTTGATCCGGCCCTCGAGATGGTTAATCTTGATCTTCGCTTGTTCGATCTCGGTACCGGCTTTGCTGGAATTCTCCCGTGCAGCTGCTAATTGGCCAGCATAACCACCATCCGACCCGGCATTGGACGAGATACCTGTTTGTAATGTCTGGAGCAGCTCCTCCTTCTGCTCGACTTCAGCTTTCTGCTGCGTGACTTCTTGGTTGGACTGCTCGAAACGTTCTTGCAGCTGCTTGTGTGATTGCGATCTCTGCTTCAGCTGCTTCTCCAGGTCCTTCACGCTCGCCTGTGCTTTCTTCAGTCGATCCTGCTCCTCGCTCATGGCAGCTTTCTTGAGATCCAGGACAGTCGCTAGTCGTACCAGCTCATGCGAGTGCTCCTTCACAGCCTCTTCCAGCTTCGCAAATTTGCCACCCTTCCTAAGCTCCTTGTCACGTGCAGCCCTCACCTTCTCCATATCCTCTTCCAGCACCCCAATCTCGCGATCCAGCTTGTTTTTGCTCTCCTCAATACCCGTCTGTCTTTCCCGCTTGGCTGCCAAATCAGCCGCGCTCTGCTGCACCTTCTGCTTACTCTTGACATAATCATACGCCACCACCAGCCGCGTCAATCTCTCCAAATCACTTTGTGTGCTCTGAAACTCCAAGAACGCCCGCTTCTCATTCCGCAACTTATCCAGCTTCGGCTCAATCTCCTCCTTCAACAACCCCTCGATCTCCTCCACTTTCGCCTGCTTCTTCGCCATCGTCCGGAGCGCCTTCTCCCGCCGATCCTCAAACATACGCGTACCTGCCGCTTCCTCCACCATGCCGAGGATCTCGGTACTCTTCATATTCAACACTTTCGTAATCTTCCCTTGCATGATCAGGAAATTGGGATTGTTAATGTTCAGCTGCACGCTCTGGAACAGATTTTGCACCGTCTGTTGCTGGGCGCGGTGTCCGTTGATCAAGTACTTACTCGTGCCACCCAGCACAATCTGTCGCGTGACCGAGATACTAGCATAGTCCTCAAACCCGATCGGGGACTTGGGCTTGTCGCTGTTGTCGAAGACCAACGTGACCGAGGCTTTGGTGATACCCGCCTGGCCACGCTTGTAGATGAGGTCGCTGGCGCCGCCATTGGCGCGGAGGAGCTCGAAGCGGCCGATGCCAAGGCAGAAGCAGATGGCGTCGAGGATGTTGGATTTTCCTGAACCGTTCAGACCCGTAATGGCGTTGAAGGTGGCATCCCATTGTGAGATGACGGTGCGCACGGCGTACGACTTGAAGCCGTCGATGATGAGTTCCGTGATGCGCATGTTGGAGATGATGTGCTCGTATCTCAGTCGAGAACGAGAGGCTGCGCTCCTTGCGCTTCACTCTGCCTGCTTGCCGGTCGACTGAGTGCGTTTGCGACTATTCGGAATCTCGTGTTTTGCTTGTTGTTGCTGTTTATCCTGTTCCGGCTAGACCGATGACGGCCGGATCCGCCTTGAGCCCTTGACGCGGAACAAACAGACGCGCTTGGCAATGGCGACCGAGGGACGATGTCAGTTGGAGTACCTTGGCATTCTTATGGTTCGCCGTAGAGCTCTGGATCGCCTTCATTATTGTGTTTGCCCATCCAAGCCATCGACCAGCTCTCCCTGTTATACTGCAAATGTTGTGTGTCACGCAACATCACGTGCTCCTGTACTCGCCAACGCTTCGTCCGGTATGGTCCGATAAGCGATAAGCGATAAGCGATAAGCACTCGCGGCAGCAGCTGTCACTTTTGTGGAGAAGGTCGGTCAGAGTCAGAGGCATTGGGATATTTCATTAACATCGCCTTCAATGCTTCATACTTCTCTGCCACCTCACTCACTGCTTGATAAAGTTTGATCAAACACTCGTATTGGCCGGACCCACTTGACATCAGCGCCGCTTCTGTTTGCTCTTCTATCGACGACCATGCAATAATCTTCCCACCCTCGAGGACATCGTACTATGGAAAATGACTATCTCTACGTTGGCGTTTGGAAAGGCAAGCGCGTTCGGGAAAGCTGAGCCAAGTCTTGTACAGCAGATCAAATCATTGACGGCAACGCGACATCTCAGCAACGTCGTAAACGCGGGTCAAACCAATCATCATGTCGAGAATAATGGCAGACCTACCAAAGCCCTTGACGAGCAGCTGACCCAACGAGAACTCTTCATGGACGTGTTGAGTGCCAATGCTACCCGACGGGATGCAAAGCAGTATCTCGCTCGGTTCAAGCCGGCCAAATCAAAGTCACAAGTAGTATCCAAGGGCCTAGCTGACCGCAATGCTCGCCACCGCCAGGACCAAGAACGGCTGGACAGGCTTGGTGTGAATTTGGGTGGTCTCTATGCGCCATCGCGAGCTATAGCAGCGGCGGCACAATTCGTACGAGATGACCGAGCACAGCAGACCGAGGTTGCTATGCAGCAGTCAATCATGCATGTCGCACTGGTGTGTCTTCGTGCTCCTGAAGTGCTGGATGCTGCCACGCTGGACGGTCTAGCCACCACGCTGTCACAACTAGTCAAGCTAGACATGCGCATCGCCATCGTACTTGATATCGCCGGTACGAGTACGGAACTTAGTCTCCGAGAACAGCGATCTCAGTATGCTGTGCAAGCTGAGCGGTTGTTACAGGCTATCAGACATCACAGTCCCGAAGCCTCTCACTTCGTCACTGGAGCATTGACCGTATCTGATCATACAGACAGCAAGATCGAAGTTCTGGTGCCGGACTTGATAATGGAGCCACTCAAGCGCAGCACGATCCCGATCATCCCACCGCTGGCATACACAGCTACCGGCCAGCTCAAGAAAGTAGATGTTGGCAGCGTCATGGTAGCACTCACTCGCATGCTATCGATCAGTTCAAAAGATCAACAACCTAAATCGAGCAAGTCGACCACTCTTACAGAACTAGGCCGCATCATCGTCCTGGACCCAGCAGGCGGCGTACCGAGCAAAAGACGAAGTGACGACGCGCACGTCTTCATCAATCTCGAGCAAGAATACGAACCCATCCAGAAGGAGCTCTCCCTCTATGCATCATGGGACGACACTGTCAGCCGACCGAACATGTTTGATCAACACCAAGCGAACCTGCGGATGCTGAAAGACTGCTTGGCAATCCTACCCGCAGCCTCATCCGGTCTAGTCATCTCACCACAAGACGCAGCCTCGTCTTCGCAAACGACCCGAACACAAGCGACAACCATCGATACCGGCACGAGAAGGCAGAAGAACACCCTCATCCACAACCTCTTGACTAACAAACCCATGGTCTCTTCCTCCCTCCCCACAGCTCGTCTTTCAAGCGTGACGGACTCTAGTCAGACAATAGCAGCAGCGACAGCCACCCTAGTAAAACGCGGCATGCCCGTCACCATCATCCCGGCACCCCACCCCCAACACGGCTGGCAAGTCCCCCTAAACGGAACCACGGGCCTCGATCTCCAAAACGACCCTCGCATCAGTTTCCCGCGCCTTCTACATCTAATCGAAGACTCCTTCCGTCGCAAGCTGGATGTCGAACACTACATGTCTCGTATCCGTGACCGGACAGCCGGGATCATAATAGCAGGCGACTACGAAGGCGCTGCGATCCTGACGTGGGAGACGCCGCCACCAAACACATCGTCACAGCCCTCGCCTCCCGTCCCCTACCTCGACAAATTTGCCGTCCTCCAATCCTCCCAGGGCTCCTCGGGGGTAGCAGATATCTTATTCCAATCCATGGTGCGCTCGTGCTTTCCCCGGGGGGTATGTTGGCGCAGTCGTCAGGATAATCCGGTGAATAAGTGGTATTTTGAGCGGGCGGCGGGGAGTTGGAAGGTCCCGGGGTCTGGGTGGACGATGTTTTGGACGGGGGAGGGGGTTGTGGAGGATGAGGTGAAGTGGGCGGGGTATGAGGGGGTGTGTAGGGGCGTGGGACCTAGTTGGGCGGAGGGGGCCAGGTTGGATTAGGGTGTTCTTCTCTTCCTTTCCCTTCTTCCTCGTAACAGGAATATCGGGTTCCGAGAAGTCTGTCTACGGCAAAGCTTGCCGCTCTTGTATATATGATTGTTGTTTTGTGTTTTTTTTGAACCGCCGTCCATGATCGTTCCTGACGACGTTTAGTTGTGAGGTCTTATGTACGCACTCAGGACACGGGGAAGGAGCGTGGCGGTGTCACTTCTTCTTCCGACGTTGGCGGGTTGGTACACGAATCCCCTATCGGCTGACTAGGTATCAACAAAGTCACGCAGGCCCCTTTGCCATCGAGACCGAAGAGGAGGATGCGTCAAAGAGTCTCCAGTCATATTCCGCGACGGCATTACTGTTACAGCACACGCCTCAACTGGGCTGGCGCTCGGTGGAACTTGCCTTTTGTACCTTCGGTTTTTCGAGTTACAATAGACAGAAATACTTGGACTATTTCAGGAACAAGCAGGCGGAGACACACTGGACTTCTTCTCGAATGCCGATCCGTCTCTGTCGTCCTGACCAGCATGGTCGGAAAGGTGCAGTGGGTATGAGTGTTTCTGCGCGTACGTGGGCTGAGGGTTGTGAGACGGTGCGTGTACAGTATATAAAAATGCAAAACACGCAAGACGTGGGATCTTGTTTTCTATGGCTCGGTGGGGTTGGGAAAGCAGTCTCGCCGGGTCAGGGACGGCGCCGGTATCTCGTGGCTGATGTGTTTGAGCTTGGGAAAAGGGGGAAAGGTATGTCGTAGTGATGGAAAGGGCACTGCTGTAATGACTCCTCTTCTTACCCCTTCCATTGCTCCGAGGGCTCAATGTGCTTTTTATATGCTGCGGTGTGTCCATTAGCCGGTACGCATTGTAAGGACCAGAGGCATGGATCGAGGCTCAACTACGGTGGACCACGCGGAGAATACAAAGATACATTATACAGTGCTGTCGATCGTCTGTAGCCGTGCTGAGCAAGACCTTTACTCTGCTGGGTCCGGTGGATACGGTAGGCTTGAGCAACACACATACCTTTAGCTGTGCTGGCTGTTGTGGTTGCGATTAGTGACTACTGTAATCGTAGGTGCTGCTGTGCTCCGGACATGATATTCGGGGGAAACATGGATGGTCTAATGTCTATGGTGCTTAGCCATCATCATTAAGGGTTCCCATCGACCGAGAACATAGTAATGTACGGCGTGTGACCTGTCCTGGAGATCATATCATATTACGCCAAGTATGTACGTAGGGTACTCGCGGGTCCTGGGCCTTCATTTTTGCGCCACGCTGCAGTCGGCCTTCAGTCCGGGCAGCGGCATTTGCTGCCTTGTGTTCATCCGGACCACGTGTGTTAGACAGGGCAGCTCAGGCTGAAGGCCATGGTACTGGCCAGGTTCGCGACACGCAGGTGTCAAAGCTTAGCGAGTTGCAGTCCTGCGCATTCATCCTCCGGCATCGTTGTAGTGGTCCAGCGACGGAGGCGGCAGGCTCTCCCTTCGTGATATCAGCACTTCTCAGCGGTGCTTCTTGGGAATGACCTCTGCACGCATCTTTCGCGATGTCGACGATGATGGAGAAGCGATGAAGCTGTCAACCACACAATGATGTGCCCGACCATGGCGAAGATCCGCTGGGCCGCTCACGTTTTGCACTCTGCCTGAAACAGGGAGCAGCGCCACCACAATATCGAGCACCCGTACTTTTAGATGAGAAGGACACGCTCTGCCCTTGAACAACTCGAAGTACAGAGTATAGTTGTGCGACCATTCGTCAGGCCCGTTGCCGGACCATAGACTCGTGCTCCCGCCACCCGCAGGCTGATAATGGCTAAATGATCAACATGCAACGCAATATAAAAACGAGGATCATGTGGCTATTGCATGGAGAAGTGTTCAAGGCATGGATACACGCTTTGAAGTGATATACAAACGGCAGGTAAGGGCAGTCTTCCTTTTGAGGGCTTAGCAAGAAACCACTCACTCAACATCTGCCTTCATTGATATCGAGGAATCATCATGGTATCTTCGTTCCTCCTTGCTCTACCCGCCCTGGCGGCGGCAGCTGCTATCGAGCAGCGTGCTAGCGTGAGTAATGTTCACAACATCTAGACTGGTCGGACCTTGAGCTAATCCGAGTATTTGCCAGTGCCCGAATGTGCACATCTTCGGTGCTCGTGAGACTACCGCGCCCGCAGGCTACGGCTCCTCCAGCACAGTGGTGAACTACGTCCTGTAAGTGCAGTCATTGAAAGGTACATCAGAGATCGCGACGGGCGGGCCTGATACTGTCCTAGGCAAGCCTACCCTGGCTCTACGGCAGAAGCCATCAACTACCCAGCTTGCGGCGGTCAATCGTCCTGTGGTGGCGACAGCTACGCCCAGTCTGCCGCCCAGGGCACCAACACAGTCATCTCTGTGGTCAACGCCTATGTGGCCCAGTGCCCAAACACCCAGATCGTCCTGGTCGGATACTCGCAGGGTGGACAGATCTTCGACAATGCCTTCTGCGGTGGTGAGAGGACCCGAAAGTCTGGTTGTCGAACGCTACTGACAAACTTTCAGGAGGTGATCCAGCTGAGGGCGTCTCGAGCGGCACCCAGCTCAACGCCGCTTCATTGGCTGCGATCAAGGCCGTCATCCTGATGGGTGACCCTCGCTACGTTTATGGCCTGCCATACGAGGTCGGAACATGCAGGGCTGGTGGCGTGAGTGATCCTCGTCACAAGTGGAAACCAGGAAACTCACTGACTCCTTCTCAGTTTGATGCCCGCTCTTCGAGCTTCCAGTGTGCTGGTGGCAGCAAGATCCAGAGCTACTGTGATTCTGCTGACCCCTACTGTAAGTGCACTCACCGCAGCGAAAATCAAGCAATATGCTGACAGCACTGGAGGTTGCAACGGCAACGACGCCAATGTCCACCAGGGCTACGGTAGCGAGTACGGCCAGGCCGCTCTCACCTTCATCAAGGGCAAGCTCAGCTCCAGCGGCAGCACATCCCCAACGACTTCTGCCGGGTCTACCCCGAAGTCCACGACTACTGCGAAGAGCACGACTTCGAGTGCAGCTTCCAGCCCGACCAGTGGCTCGGGTTCTTGCTCTGCCCTTTATGGTCAATGTGGTGGCCAGGGATGGCAAGGCCCAACCTGCTGTTCATCGGGATCATGCAAGGCTTCCAACGCGTACTACTCGCAGTGCTTGTAGGTTAACATGGCGCTGTGAGGATGACTGTGGATATGGGGGTTGGCTTTAGTAAAGGGCAATGGGAGTGGTCAGTAAGCTCCTGCGGGCCAAGGCTGGTCGTTGTCAGCCACGCGAGCCTTTCTTCTTTGGCGACTCGAATCCGACGCCACAAGAAACGTAGCATGAAATATCATTGAACGTCCCGATAATATCCATTTTGTGGCCTGTCCAGTATCAACTGTGTCGATCAACACGGATGCCGATCACAAGGCGCAGCAGTGGTGCTGGTGATCGTGGAAAATTCCCTCATCAGGTGGTGGCCAGTGGTCCTTATAGAACGTGCTGTTGTAGTAACACCGGATTTGACTTCAATGAACGGGTCAACGAGATAATGCCCGAGAGCGATGATGGGTCAAGCCGGGGAGCTGTTGCGCTTCGATTGGCCATCGTAGGCGGGAGACAGCTCCATTTATGACGTAGTAGCAGAAAGACGAAAAAGAAGCCGGATGGGACTCTGGGGCTGTGCCATGCAGACACCCAGAGCTCCCGATAGTACCTGACGATGCGCAGCTGAAAAGCTTGGTGAGCTTATCCACACATCAAGCAACCACGTTGACGTCCAGTGAGTGCTGTTCGGCAGCTTCGGCATGCTGGGGCGCAAGGCTTGCATCAGATCATGGCTGTGGTCGGATGATCACCAGGTCGTGCCGGTATACCGACCACGAGGATTGACATATGTATAGCTAGTATTACATTCTAAAACCTCTCCCTTCCCACCATTCAAGCTTCCTTCTCGCTGTAGTCATCTACAAGACTTCCGGTAATCTTGACTATACCTTTCCATCTGCCGCAAACATGTTCGACCACAAGCACGAAGGCCAAGCTAGCAGCGATAAGAAGCTTGCAAAGCCTACAATTGAAGAACGCTCCATCGCACCTACAGAGACGGCTTCTATCGCACCAAGCGAATCCGCCTCCAATGCGCCTCTCGTTGACCACGCTGCCCATGGCGCTGAGGATGCCGCAGGATCGTCCGATGAGCATCCTCGTCGCAAATCCCTCTTCCAGCGCTTCAAGGACGAGCGCGCCGAACGCAAAGCCCAGCATCGCAACTACTACGACAACGGACCATACCAATTCGTCTTCGACCCGGTCCAGGGTAAAGAAGTGCTGATGAAGAACCCACACTGGCCGTACGAGGACAGTTATGAGCGCGAGAATGTCGGCTTGACGGTCAAGAAGGGTATGGAGGGTGCGCCGGACTTCGTCAAGCAACAGACGGGCAAATGGGGCCAGACGAGTGGTAAGCGTATCTTCCAATTGTTTTAAGTCAGAGTCGCTGACCATGTGGACCGCAGATTCGTCGGCGCAGGAATACTGGAATGGAACCACAGCTGGGATTCTGTGAGTGTAATTGTGCTGATCGACATGTCGAGATGACCGTAATGACTTTATGAGGATGAATGTGTGTGACAGGTCGGAGCTAGGCGCTATTTGTAGCGTCCCGGAGTGGCAGAACGGTATCAGAATGAATGAAGTGTCCTTCTTACTGGTGACCATTTCATCTCGGATCTCATGTTTCATACGCACAGTCGAGTCATATCGTTCGCCGGACGTTGTGACGTCGTCCTAAATCTTGTTACAACTCTCTTGTCGAGCATCTTACTCTGCATGGCTCATCGGCTACCATCTGCACTTTACCGAATGTTGACACTGTGACCATGTCCGCGAGTTCTCCAGCCCTGACTCCAAGGATGGTCTGCTTCCCAGCTTCGAGGTCCGTGAGCATTGGCTTGATGTGCCGCCGTATTATCCTCTACAGCAGTCTGTGACATTGGTCGAACCTCATACGAAGTATCAACTCGTACGCCAGCCCAGCCTTTCTCGACATCCTCAGCGGGCTCTCTCTGTGTAGTGTCCGAGGACAAAGGTCCCCCTGGCTTGTGGACGATAAAGTCCTGGCTGGACGCATCTTCGTTGCAGTCGCTATCGACGTCGACGTTGTTGTGCTTGTGAGACGACATTGTGACTGTGCTTGGGTCTTTGTCCGCAAGTCTTTGCTCCGGCGAATCGACCATTTCGAAGGCGGCGGTTTTACGAAAGGACAAGATCCCGCCTGAGCTGCCGGATTTGCCGCCGCTTGTCGAGACCCCTTTTCTTGTGGTGGGATGGGAGGGAGGATGGTTGCCCTTCCAGAAGGCCTTGGTGAACACTATCACCACATATTAGCGTTACGCTCTTTCATAGACCCACACAAAGACACCTACTAGGCCGAAGAATTGGCACATTGACAGCGATGATACCGGCTATGGTCTCTCGCACGCCCCAGCGGTTGATCGTCAAGGCAGACGGGTGTGCTTTTAGGGTCATAGTAATCCGCACAATGGCAGCAATGATGACGAACATTCCGGACGAAAACATTGCTGCAAGAGCCAGCTTTCTCTTCATCGGTACTTGGAGTTTCCTGAGCAAGTCTAAGCTGATGTCCTCTTTCTCAGTCACATACTAACTTACCACAAAAGCGGGACAGGTATGGCCAACATTGCAGCATCGGTCAGTACGTTCAGAATAGTCGAAACATACCTGCAATGACGGTAAGCATACTCGTAGGGCTCCCGAGCAAGTTTAAGCTTACATGTTTTGTGCCCGCAGTGTGCACTGAGGTGGTGGATATGGCAGAGTCTGCCAGTTGTGATGGAAAGGTCGACAACCAAGCGTGATAGTCAAAAATACAGCGGCATAAGTGATGCCGCACGCGATAGCCAGTCGTTTGACCCAGGTATGCGAGTCCAGACCGAGTGTTAGACGATTGAAGAAGAAAAGCATGCATGCCTTCAGTGCCCAAACCAACATTGTGTAGGTATACCAGGCGGCCAGCTGACAGCGCGAGCCAAAGATGATCTGATCGATCTGTTGCTGATTGAATCCGACCAGTTTAGCTGGACTGTAGTCCACATTGGAGCCATAGTGAAAGGTCAAGTCGACGGTGACGGCATCCGCGGTGTAGCATAGCAGGACCAGTATTGAGACGTAGTCATCGCCTTGGAAGCCTCGAAGGCCGACTGTCCGTACGCGAATAGCAGATCGTAGTAGCAGGACTGTCACGCCGACTGCATACAGTCCCCATACCTCCTTCAAGAATTCGGTGTCATGGTAAGCCTGGGTACTGGTCATCTTTGCTCGCCCCACCCACGATGTGGTGAGACAATATTTGTTCACAGAGAGGTAATGTAAGATAACGTGGACGGTGGGAGATGATGCAAGAAAAATAGAGATGTCTACCAGCCATGTCGAGGTACAAGCAGAAATACTTAGTTCGTATGCAGACAGATGAGCCACAAGGTGCCTAAGCTCTGTGACCTGAGCTAGACGGAGTAAATGCTTTTGACGCGACTCGTTCACGTATCATTTCGAGATTAGGTGGGTTTGTGTTCGTAAGGTTCAATCTCGTCCAACGAAACTTTCTTGACAGGAGTCATGATCAACCTCGCAACAGAAAGCCTAATTATGGGTGATTGGCCTCTGGTAGCCTTGCAATTTGTACCGCTCTTGGGTACATGATCAAGCACTTGCCGTAGACTATGGCGCCATGTTCGTAGAAGCGGACGTGACAGCTCCTTTGCAATCGTAGAGGATCATCAAGTCCCATACGGCAGATGTTCATTGTCGAGTCAGCGTGACCGTTCCTGGTTGGCGCAAGAACCGATGGAGAAACCAGGAACCTGGTCCAAGGCACAACTCCGGCCTTCAATGCTGACTCGGGGCAGATGAAGGAGTTGCTGCATTGCGGCCGAAGATCTGCCTTTCTCCAGTCGCTCTCAGCATCATGATCAGGTTGTCATGACGGGTCGGCATCTCTGTGTTAACTAGATCCTCACAAGGGAACTGATGGCAAGATGGCGTTGACTCAAGATCCTATAGATAGACAGAAATTCGCAATAAGAGTTCAGAAAGGGAGTTGGAAGTGAAACGCGTGAGGTGGAGTTCTTGTGGCGCTGCCATGCGAAACAACCCGACGTCCCGACGTTCTTCCAGCACGAGAATTGCACCGATCCACTCCACCCCCGACCACGCTACGGCGCGGCGGTACCCATACGTGCATGGCTAAGCATGCCGACCCGCTCAGCATAGACTTCTAGACCACGACACCGGGAGTTTGTGTAAGTTACGAACAATATGCCGTGGTTGTGTCTATCAAATTTCAAGATCGATGGGAGATGGCGGTGCAGTGAATGTACGCTTGGCATCTGCGGACTGCACTTCATCCACAGCAGGAGCAATGGCACGAGCCAGCTATGCAAGTAGGAAGATCCAAAAGTGCATCATATTACAATACACCACCAGCATGAACTACCGCTGTTGTCCATTTGCCAGCTCTCGAATCTTACTCATCGCGCTTTCGTCATCCAGTTCACCTTTACCTTCCATACCCAACTCCTCGTCGAACCCTTTGATGTCCGACCGCCTCGCGCCTAAGCCAGAACTCGCATAGTCCGGAGTCCTCCTCGCAGCCGGGCTACCTTGTCTCCACATAGCCGACTGTGGCGCTGCCCGAGGAGTTTGCCTATCAGGCAGACTGACACCATAATTCGCGTTATTCGCGGTACCTGGTGGGAATCTCGCTGCGGCGCTAGGCATTGAGCCACGGCCGAACGAGCCAGGACCACCGAAGTCTTGCTTGCGCTGTTCGTGGATGAACTCCACGTCGTTTTGTCTCACCGAGACTGCTTCGAGCGTACCGCGGCGGACTTCCAGCCTTATGCGGCCCTTCTCGTCGACGTATGCTGTGTCCGGGTGCACCCACATCTTGTTGCCTCCTTCTAGCTCGGTGTCCAGCTGGTTGGCCATGCGGTTTGGCTCACCAAGTCTTTCGTCTGACAAGGTGGTCGCAAGTTGCTTCTTATTAGGATTGAAGGTGCTTGAGACTGAGTCCACAGCGACTACACCAGCCACGCCGAGTTTGGCGTGTTGCTCGCTTCCTGTGGCACTGATGCGAGTCCGTAGGACGCGTGCGCGTACTGGTGCGCGATGTGATTGTGGGCCGTGAAGTGGATGATTGGACATTATGGCTGCCGTCCGCAGATAGGAGAGACCGGCACTTGGGTGGGTGGTAGGCGGCGAACTATCAATGAGGTCGTTCTCGCTGTTTAGGCCACCGACGAGTTTCTGCATCTTGGGTGTCATGCCGAATGCACCGGGTCCTGGAGACGCCTTACCAGACGTCACAGGTGGGAGGTCGAGGAAGTCAGTCAGATAAGAGGTCAGCTGAGAGGAGAGGCTGTCCTTGGCGTGGTCCGCTCGTAGCTGTAGGAGCGCTACTGAGAGCTGCTCGTCGTCTGGTCGTATCGAAGCTCGCAGCTCCGTGATGTGCTCTAGTGAGAAAGACTCGCCCTGATCCAGTGCCTTCCGTCTAGCCTGCGCCAGCTCCTGCTCAACTATCTGCTCTTTCACATACTCCTTGAAATCATGCACGCGACTCTTGCCCTTCGCATCCTTCTTCCCATCTACCCCTCGTCTCGTCCCTAGATTCTTGACGAACAGGTCGAACTCGCCCGCCTGCATACCCGCCAGCCAAGGTCCATTCCACTTCCATGTCCTTTTCGCCGCGCCATCAGTCCGGTCGAGATCCTCCTCGAACACACTAATCGGTATCCGTTCTCGTTCTCGATCACCTCGCCCTTGCCGTATCAAGATCGGCACGCCCAGTTCCTGCCATTTGGCGCTGGTCTGAGTATGATCTGCTGCACTGGTGAAATCGGTGATGTGCTCGGTGTTGTCCTGTGCCCGCACTCGAATATGTGGTGTGCTGCTGGCTGTCGCCTTCTTAGGCAATGCACGCTTTAGACCCCAGTCGCCTCGGAAGTGTGATGATGGCGGTGTGGCGATGGCTTGGTACGTTGGATATGGAGATGTCGCAGTGTCTGACGCACGGTACAGTCCGGTAGATGAGATGCTTTCCAATGCAGGTTGTGGTAAAGGTCGCGGAAGGGAGAAAAGTCGAGAATTCTGTAACAGTCGAGCGGTGGGCGAGGTGGCAGCCTTGGACATCGTTACCGTGCTCACAGTGTCGGCAGGAGAGAGGCAGGTCGAGTCAATGGCCTGGATGTATGGAGCATATGGTGAGCAGCCTTGTCCAATGCATACAGGCGACTTTCCCGCCAAGCCGGAGGTCCGCTGAAGCAGGACTCGGTTCGTGTTGCCATCCGACTCATCTTCACGGTCATCACCATCGTGATTCATGGACGCGGCTGTTTTCAAACATCTCAGACACGATCTCTCTCTGATGTACCACATACGCACACACCTACATGGAAGGCAAGTATTCTGGAGGCTACTGACCAGGACTTCTGGGCCCCGACATGTATATCCACCGCTACACTCTGGCCACACGGGCGTTGTGCTACATTCCGACATTTTCCATTCAGGATAACAAAACAGCACCTTCATGGACGCCAGACGAGAATCAGCAGTGCCGCTATCTCATACTCGCGCGTGAACGAGCCTTGCGCTGGTCACGTTTCTGTTAGCTAAGTCACGATCATCGACGCACACAGCCATATGCAATGTATCCCTGTGATCACTTCCGCAGACCTGTCGAGCTAGCACATGACCATACCGCGTTCAATACGAACAGCATGCATGACGGGTCTACGTCCAAGCGATGAGCAGGTGCTTGAGATCCTATTTCTCGGTACAGATACTTTGGAGGGCAAACACCTGCTCGTGTGGTCCAAAACCATAGGTGTTGGCTACTGTATCGAAGATCTCAATGGTCAAGTATGAGATAGTGGTGAGACCTCAACCGGGCAACATCGAGCCTAGTCACCAGGCCATTCGACGATCTCGCAGACTCCTCCCTTCGCCTGGAGAGTCGTTGCCTGGTGCCACAAGCTAGGCCGTCGTCAGAGTCAGAGTATGGGCACGACGCGAGCAGATTTGACCGATGGTCAGATGCACGTCACCTACATGATGGGCTAGAGCCAATGTCAGCCGACGATGTGGGAGCTGTGAGGTTGCGTATAGTTTAAATCTCCGTTTGTCAGATGAGTGATTGAGGACGATCGAGCCCGCGTAGTAGAGTCAACCATTCTTTGAGTCTAGTGGTGGATATGTGACGCTGTGGTAGAGTAGCCTACACTTGAAGTATGTGCTGCTCTTTTCAGGGCTCGGCAAATTCTGCTGAACGAACGTGCCAAGCGTTCATGGCTGCGACATCTGTCTTCTTCTTACATCATTGCCGCTTCGACCCGACGACCATGCATCCGCCGGCGTCCACTATTGCACTGATAGATGATGGCCGAACCAGACTTCTAGCACAAAGAGGACGCGACGAGGCGCTACCTCGAAGCGTAAGTGGTATACGGCCCGTTGACCTTGTCTGCAACCTGAGGCTGGTTGCCCAGGACACGCATGAGCACATGCATGCCATTAGCGAGCGGCGTACCCATGCTCACACTCGATAACGCCAATGGCGCAACCATCTCATTGTACTGTCACCCATCAAGACCGTCGTTGAAGATAAGCAAAACACGGCCAGGCCCCGGCAGAAGCCAAAGCCGACATCACAACGTCGAGCCAACTGCCTGTTCCTCCTTAGCGGCAAATGCATACGAGCTACACCCACGACCACAGCTGTCACGATAGACCTTACAAGAGGCTCGAATCAACTTCTTATCACGACGTGCTCATAATGCCTTGCGGTAGCGCATACAACGTCAGACGGTCCACATGCTCTATGCAGATCTCTCGTGCGTCCCGGGCCGGACGTGGAATTGATGAGACCTTGTCTTAACCTCTGATTATCGTGGCGGACCATGTCTTGAGAGAGCAGGAGTGATCGGCGGACAGCTCGACCACTCCAGGATTGTGCACAAAGGACATGTGACGGACAGGAGTCAACATCCCAGAGCAATAGATCCGATCCACTACGTCAAGCTCAACTGAGGACCACTGGAGCGCACTTCTTCACGGTCGAGACGCTGCGCAAATTCACTGATACGCTTTTGCAATTGTACCCGACCTGCAAGAAAGGCGTCAAACCTCCGGCACTTGAGACCAACAGTGTGCCAAGTCATCATCCTGCCGTGCACAAGCAATGCGTGGATATCCTCCTTGAAGCTTATCTAACGCCATGTTATGATCGACGAAAATATATTGCTGTATATTGCTGCATGACTTCAGATGTGCCTGCATAATCTCGCAGTCCAGCATCACAGCTTCAACGTCCCACCAACGGTAGCTGGAAGAGACGTTTTGCACAGTATCGCCCACTATGTCCTTCGAACATAGGCTCGCCTATCAGCTAGAGGTGTCTGGTGACTAGCCAATATTGCCGACACGTGGCGAGCTCCAGTACTGCATGGTCGAGTCGACCAGACTCGCCTGTAAGGATCGAGCGAAGATCGGCGAACCACGACGACAATGGCTGAACAGGAACAATGACGGGGGCAGATCTGTGGCGGCAAGGTGAACATGTGGTCCAGGCACAGCTTCGTATACTCAGAGAACAGCCACAGGACAGATACCCCTTCCAAGACTCAAGACATACTGTCTCAGTCCCTGAACCGGGGGCCGCAGTGCCAATCTATGCATGAAATTGATTTGGGCTCTTGTAGCTTCAACTAAGGAGAACGCCGGCTATCATGCATCCATCATACCATTGAGATAGCTGGCGTATGGGGCTGAAAGACCGATGCATGTTTTCGATAGTCCATCTTCAAAGGTATGGAGGATGCCACCCGAGGTACGCATTACCGAGCTCCACTCCAGCCAGCGAGATGGACAACGGACAAGTTGCATATAAGTTCGTGGGCTGCTGCTCTTTGCCCATTATACTCCATACTACCTGCTACACTTTAGCACACTCTCAGCTCACGCTTCCAGCCCACCTCAAATTCCAAGATGAAGCACACTACCGCAATCGTCTCAGCTCTGCTGGCTTCTACAGCCTTCGCTCTACCCACTGCTGAGCAGATGTCTGCACGCCGCCACCAGCGTCTCGCTGAGAGATTATCCAAGCCCAGCGGCCAACGCTTCGGCTCTACCAGCCGCCCACTGGCACCCAACACCATCAGCCAGAGCGATTTCATTGCCGTTCCCAACAACACCAAGGAGGTGACGTACTCTTCCAATTGGGCTGGAGCAGTCATTGAGTCCTCTGGTATCACCACCGTCACCGGCACTTTCACCATCCCCACCGTCAAGGAACCAAGTGGTGGTAGCAGCAGCACCGAGTATGGTGCTGCTGCTTGGGTTGGCATTGATGGCAACCAGTGCGGATCTGCCATCCTACAGACTGGAGTGGAGTTCTTCGTCGAAGGTACTCAAACTGCGTACCAGGCTTGGTACGAATGGTAAGATGGTCCTGCATCGGTTGTCAAAGGCCCACCAGTAATGTGTGCTGATAAGCCATCTCATAGGTACCCAGACTACAGCTACAACTTTCCATCTTTCCCCGTCTCGCCGGGTCAACAGATTCAGGCTACTGTCCATGCTACTAGCAAAACGAGTGGAACTGCCGTGCTCAAGAACTTGAGTACTGGCAAGAGCGTGACGCACACTTTCTCCAACGAAGGTGGCACCGGGAGTTTGTGCGAGACTGATGCTGAGTGGATTGTTGAGGTTCGTGATGCTAGCATGTGTGTATGCGTCTGTATGTGCTAACGACCGTGTAGGACTTTCAGTCTGGTAGCGCCCTAGTGCCGTTCGCCAACTTTGGATCCGTCACCTTCACTGGAGCTTCGTACACCCACGGTGGCACAACATCTGGTGTCTCTGGTGCATCGATCATTGACGTCCAACAAAATGGCAAGGTCGAGACGAACTGCGGTGTCAGCGGCAGCAGCACGGTGACTTGCACCTACCAAAATTAGATGGGCGTGAAGAACTGGACGAATGACGGTGAGATCACAAGTATCAGAATTAGGAAATGTGCGCATGATTCGCAATTGGTCGTCATAGCATTTGACAGCACTTCTCACGTGGTCCTTTACCATCGATCTACGCCATATTACCCTTAGACACCGCTGACTCGATGTAATGCCAATCACTCTTCACGGTAGTCAGGTTCTCGCATCCATCCTCCTTCACCAGAATATCATCCTCAATCCTCACGCCACCAACATCCCAATACCGCTTGAGCACGTCCTGGTCAACTATGCCATCCCATTTGCCATCTTTCAGCTCCTGCTCCATTGGATACTGACGAAAGTAGATGCCCGGCTCGTTTGTCACGACAGCACCAGCTGGGAGCTTGCCGCGGATACGGAGATATGCGAAGAATGGGTTGGGATCCTCGTAGTTGGCATTGCCACCAACGTCGTGCGTATCCATACCAAGATAGTGGCCAAGACCGTGTGGGAAGAAGCGTGTGGTGACGTGACTGTCGAGAATTTCTGAAGTGCTGAGTTTCTTCTCGATGATGCCCAATTCACGCAGTCCCTCCGCAGCAAGTGTGTGAGCTCTCATGTGTACATCCTCCCACAATACACCAGCACGAATCAGCTTCATACACTCGGTCTGCATATGCAGGACGAGATCGTAGACTTCGCGGCTCTCTTTGGTGAACTTGCCGTCCAGAGGGAAAGTGCGCGTGATGTCCGAGCAGTAGCAATTATACTCGCAACCAGCGTCGATGAGTAAGTTCAACCTTCCTTGCAACGGCATATCATTGTGGACGTAGTGCAAAGTGCTGGCGTTCGTTCCCGAAGCACATATACACCCATAAGCCTGTTCGCGGCAGCCATTGGCATGACAATGCATGACGAATACTGCATTGAGCTCACGCTCATTCTTGGCATGCTTCACGGCAGCCAGAATTTGTTCGTGGGCATAGGAAGACACAACGTTAGCGTGGCGGATCATGGCAATCTCGTGGTCGTCTTTGACCACTCTACAAGCCTCGATTGCTTTGCGAGTCCAGTCATAGTCGATCTTTGGCTTTTGCTTTTGGACTTCGTCGGCATGGAAGATGGCGAGATCTGCTCGATCTTTGATGACCATGATGATGGTCTCTTGCTTAGACAGCATATTAAGCAGGGACTTTCCAGACTGGAGCTCGTCGCTCGTAAGGACCTCGTCTACGTCGTAGCGCTCCAGTGCTTCTTCTTTCAGCAGTGGCATGCCAGCCCACATTACATATTCTGGGTCGACGGGTGGGATCCATAATGTTGACTTGTCGGCGGCGATGTCGTAGGCAAAGAAGCAGTCGGGTAGGTCGCAGCCTGTGAGGTAGTAGAAGTGCCGTCGTTGTCTTTCAGTTGTTGTTAGTTGCGGAGGGAGCCCGAGTTTCACTTTGCGTGCCTACCGGAAGTGGGTAGCCTGGTCATTGTCCTACGTAACACTTTAGTACCGCAAAACTTCGACACCGGCCTGGAGGAGATGGCGCATCCCTCAACATACTTCTGTCATCTTCATACTCTGACCTTCCACATAGACAATTCCTGATGATGGGCCGCCATTGTCGGCGATCCATTTCGCTACACGGCGGCAGTGTGACTTTGCAGTATACTTGCCTGTGGGTGGCGGTGGTAGGTTCGGGTTTGCTATTGAGATGGTCATCTTGGAGTGGGGGTGATTGTTGATTTGCAGAGGAGCTCGGCTGATGAAGCTGAACGAATTAAAGGTGCATCTTCCCCACAAAATGTGATGGTATATGGCAGCAATTATTGCAATGCAGAAGGTCACTCATATTGACGGCACAAGTCATGACAAAAGGATATGCCCTGAAGGCCTGGGAGGAATGGAGTATGGTGCTTTGCATGAATGGATCATTTCTTCTCTCTTTAGTTCTGCAGTGCGGCGCGCATTTAATTTATTAGTCCGCTTCCAGTAGTAACGTGCGGAGGTGGTTGATGCTGAAAACGTGTCCCATCGTCTGTTTCTAGTGCTGAGGAAATCTCCTGCCGACTGGAATCTTGGCTGGGAAGGCATGGTCGTCACGTTTTATCACTGACTGATCTGACTCCGTAGCCTTCAAACTGTCTGTAGAGTCTTCATGAAGACCATCTGTTTCTGAGGAATCGAGTATGATTTTACGTGCTTCACACATTTTACCCAGGTTGCAGACCGCTCATAGCTTATGCCCTGTCTTCTTCTGCGCCTTCTGCCACGAGGCCGTGCTCTGACATGCTTGGATATACTCCTTCACTTTCGGCCAATCTTGAGCCTTTACCCCCAGCTCCCTGGCCAGTATGAAGTCGAGACTGAACTCTATCATGATATCCGCAGCCGTGAGATTTTCTCCGAATAAGAATTTACCCTTACTCTTGCCAATTTCGGCCTGAAAGAAAGCGAGATCTTTCTGCACATTCACAGCTATCCCTGCCTCTGTCTTCGCTACGTCGCCATCTTTCTGGCTCCAGCGGGCGTAGAGGACGGCCAGAGAATGCGTCATGAACGTTGCTTCCGCCGCGTGCACCCACTGCAAAACGCTGTAACGTTTAGGGTCTCCAAGAGCTGGGACAAGCCGATGCTCTTTATCGTATTTGTCGCAAAGATATCTAGATGCCTCTCAGAAATGCCGTGTTCGTCTCAGAGGATGTCCTCTGCCAGACACTTACTCGGTGATATTCCCACTTTCTGTTATGAACACATCGCCATCTTTCAGCACCGGGAACTTTCCAAGCCCGCCCACCTCATCCTTCATCCACTGGGGTGCCTTTTGGCCTTCTCGTTCGGCACCCTTGAGCTCATAGTCGAGTCCTAGTTCTTCGAGCAGCCACGCTGGGCGTATCGACCGTGAGGCGCCAAGGAAGTAGAGCGTGATGGGAGGCATATTCACAAGGAGCGGCAGGTGAAGGTTTTCCTCAATTTACACGGAAGCAGGTATGCCATTGAGGCTGCTCTTCTATACCTAGCTGTTGTGCTTATTCCCGCGCATGTGTTTGGTCAGAGTCCAGGCCATGACGTTAATCTGTGATATGCCGGCGGGGCTCCGTGGTACTGCTTCTCACATCTTATGGTTCTCTATGCCTACAGTGCTGGTATTATATGATTTTGGTGGTGGGGTTCTGCCTCATGGCGCGTCGGGGGTCGAACGCACGTTGTCGGCTGTTGTGCCACAGCAATGCTTCTGCACGCTAACGAGATTCCCATGCCGATCAGCGCGTAATCGTAGTAGGGGAGAGGACCTCGACAAGTAACAACTCTGTCAAGGTCGACTGGAAGTTTCGAAGCGGTGCAGCTTCATTGAAAAGCCATGCCGCGAGCCGAAGAGCTCACTTTCTCTCGGAAGGGACAGTTTGAATGGTTGTACTCGATTAAAATACAATATCGGCATTAGATAACACTGCACTCGACGTATGGGTAAGCGTACGGTCCTGACCGCCTCCGATGTGCTAGACGGCCGTGCCGTGCTTACTCGACAGTCTTGTTCATCGACTAAGCATCATATTGTGCCTCCTTCTCCTTCTTCTTATCACTAGCACCCTTGATAATGTGAGAAAGATCGCCAACTAGACAACACTCGTCAGCAACAGAAACAGCAGACTCGGCAGCAAGCGACAACTTACCAGGAAGCTGGAATGGGAAGTCCAAAGAAGCCAACAAGATGGCGAAGAAGATCCACCAGCCGAGCATGTCCGCGATGAATGTCAACGCGCCAGCAGCGATCTGCAACTTAGTCGCCAACGCCACATTGCCAAGAGCGGTCTGCCAGAAAGCGCCAGCGAGACACCCGAAGCCCGGAACGAGCGTGGCGAAGATGCCGAAGAAGACGATGTTGGTGCGCAGGGAGCAGATCATGTAGATGAAGCAGAGGACGCCCATGAAGAGGTGGAAGAAAGCTGAATCATCAAGATTAGTATGCGAAACCACGAGTCCGCAGAGGCAAGCAACACCTACCAAAGCTGGCGTAGAATTTGGGCTCGGTAAGACCCTCAGCAACGACACCAGTGGTTGAGTAGGCGCCGTAGGAATTGTAGAATGGTTGAAGAGTCATGCCCCATGAGATCCAGAAGGCACCGAAGCTGCCAAAGACGACGAAGGGGAAGGTGTTACCGATGATCCACTGGAGTTGTTGTTAGTGTCCTAAATCCTCTGTCCCTTCATGTGGACCTCAACTTGCCTCGCCGATAGCCCCGAGAATCATCAATACACCACCGAAGCCGAAGTAGACACCAGTGTCGGATGCGCCATTGCCTCCTGCGCCTCGCCAGCCCATAAGGATGCACGAGAGTGGTGAGAGGGAAAGCAGGAAACCGACGAGTGCACTGCATCGTTGTTAGTAGGAGCTCATGCCGCACACCACGGTAAGCAACTTACAGAGGCGTTGGGTTACCAAAAGTCTTTCGAAGATCGCCAGCAACTCTATTCTGTGGCGACAGGTAGATCTTCTCGAAGAGCTCAGGGGAGATGGACAGGCTGCCAGTGGTCCTGATGCGCTCAAGAGCGCGTTCTGGATCGTGGTCCTTGTCGAGGTGGTAACCTGTTGCGTTGTCAGCGACGTCGTTGCGGTCTTTGGACTAATTCCCTCAGCTTACCGTTGCCGTAGTCCTTCTCCATTGGACCGTTGCCGCCGGCGGTCATGTTCTGGTTCCGCGCCGCAGCCTGGTAAGTATCGGTATTCGTCGCCATCCTGTCGGGTTCGAGGCTGAATCAGAGAAGGCAGATCACTGTACAGAAGGAGCTCAAGATCGACTATCGCACGACAGTGGAAGAGGCGCAGGATCAGTTAGGGGTGACGTGACTGTGCGAGAGCGGAAGCAGGACAAGAGGGCGAGGAGCAGGTAAATCACAGATGGAGGACGACCCTACCTTAGCTCTTTATTGTTACTGTTACTCCTCACATGGGAGCACAGCCTCTTACGACTCCTCGCAGAACGCCTTAGCAACAAGCTCTGAGAAACCTAGGCATCATCTTAGACCGCTCTGCCAGAAGAGCCCCTCCCCCGAAGCCGTTTGTGTGGAGATCGAACAGAGAAGACCTGTCGATCACCCATCGTGAGTCGCGAGACAGAGTGCTTGTACTTTCGTCTGCCACCTGCAAGCTGCGATGCTTCTCCGCCGCCGGCATGGTACCCTTAAAAGATTGGCCTGCTTCTGGCGAGCTATGCTGCTCTGGGTCTGGTGTGCTGCTTGCCCCAGTGCTGCGGTTGGACGGGGACTTCCGTGCCATCTGTACGTACCCTCACTAGCCTTCCAACCAGACGGCTGGCCGGATCTTGGACAACCTTAAGTAGATTGCCTGTTGTACAGAATGCATGCCAAGTGATCCTGATGAACGCGATGTGCTGACTGTAACACATGAGGTTCGTCAGAGGATCGCAACAGATCACGTCCGGGCTCTCTGACTGCAGTTGCAACTATCCACGGACGACCGGAGTGTTGTGACGAGACCACGTCTCAGTTTAGCGTTAATCTCGGACGCGAGCGTTGATCATTGCGGGGGAAGTGTGGACCTCAAGCCAGAGCCACAGCTTGGGGTCTGGGGATCGCCAACGGCAGACAGTCGGTCATTCGGCTTGTGGTGCATCCTGAGTTTGATAGCCAATAATAAGTCCACATTATTGGAGCTCTATTTCTAATAGCTCTGCGCTTGGTGTCGACGCGTAAGGTGCAAAAGTGGCAGCGTGATGTGCTCGGAGCCAAGACCATCCGCTTTCGCAGCCTCGCTGCGCTGATCTGCGAGTCGAGCCCTGTTAGACTAGTTGGCCGATTTCCATCGATGCGACGAAGCTCAATTGCGCCAGTGACGGACTAATGGCGAAATGGCCGTAGATGTCTATTGGTTTGCCCTCAAATCGCAGAGACGCCAGGGTGGCATGTGGCGTGCGCCCTATCGCCATCTCTAATTCTGAGCATTGTTTTTGGCTTTCAGACTCGCCAGGTCCTGTACCGGCCCTTGAGCTTCCTGTAGGGCATGTAGTCTGCAGCCCCAATATTGTTGTCTCTAGTCCGAAAAAGCTAAATCATTGGGCAAAAATCCCATGGCATCCATCATGGCTGTCGGATGGTGATGCGAGAAGTCGCAGGCTGCCATCACCATTATATACGGCCATGATCATGTTGACTAATATTCGCAGAGATCAGTAATCGCGGTGAAGCTGATGGAAGCATGATGTGTAAATACCTGGGCTGCCAGCCGCGAGTCATGCTTCAAGTCGCGTCAGACGCGTCCTTTCAATTTCTCCCAAAGAGGCAATCACGTTCTGAAGTACAGTGGCATTGACGGCGATGTCAGGCTACGGGGTATTTTTTAATAACACATCATGGCAGATGCCGACAGAGCAAGGAAGCGTCGTAAGCTCGATAATACAACACGCGCCGCTCCAGCGAGCACTCCAGCATCACAACGCAAATCGTCCAATTACATCAGCAAGAAGCCAGGCTTTCAGATACGTACGAGTGATAAGGGAGAGTCAACGAGGAAGGGCACTTCTACTGGCAAAGATGCCTGGGCTGAGGTCAAGGCACGAGGGTATGGACTGCATCCCTCGCAGAAGAAGGCAGAACTGGACGTCTACGATGACATAGATGGCGCGCATCCTTGTCCGCCTAAGAAGACCGCGTCTACTGGCAAAAGGAAGGAGCGACTGGACCCGTTGCGCAATCAGCGAGCGGAGGCTGCGAGCTCGCCTATCAAGAAGCCTTCTAGCTCTGCAGCGGCAGGTTTCTTCAAGCAGTTCCATGCGCCGAGGGCGGAGGGCGCGAGAGATGACGTGAAGTCGCTGGAGACTGCGAATGGCCCTCATGCCGAGGAAGGAAGGCACGACGGACAGTCAGACATCGCGGCAGCTGCTTCAGACAAGTCCAAAGACGAAGACAGGACAGCTTTGCGGTATACGTCAAGGACAGACCAGGACAGACAGCAGCGAGTAAAGGCAGCAGATAGATGGTTATATGAGTCTGATGGCCCAGCTTCCACCGTACGAGCTACAGGCAATGGTCGGCGAAAGACTTTCGAAGATGAGATACGAGAGTTGGAGGAGGCGGCGAAGCGCAAGGTTGAGCAGGAAGCCAAGGCGGGAGAGGACGATGACCTGGAGGAGGCAAGTGCTACGGAGCGGCGAAGTGGTAGGGAGTGTAGGATTGTGGTGAGAGAGGTGGTACAGGCAACGCCACGCCCGAAAGCAACAACAAACCGACGAAAGACGAATGGACCGAATGAAAGAGGCACGCACGATGGCGATATTACTAAGCTCGGTCCTCCCGCCATCGAGGAGCAGAGTGATGCAGGGAACAGGCTCGGCAACGGCGACGAGGTCACGGCGGAGGACGATGTGGAGATTGATGAGTCGGAAGATGCAGTACCGAAGCCTACTGAGGCGACTCCGACCAAGGCGCTGGCAGCAAGACCACATCGCCCAACACCTTCGAAGGTCAAGCTTCTGGGTTCGCAGCCCAACACGTCCATCCGATCTCACGAATTTGAGCCCGATGACCTCCAGGCAATACAGTCTACCATTCTAGATCAACTGACTGGCCGGAGAGCTGTGCGGTTGACGAATCTGGAAGATGAGGGTGCAAAAGTCTCGATAGTCATCTCGCAAACGATCACAGCAGGCGAAAGCAACAGTATGCTTCTGATTGGTGCGCGAGGAAGTGGCAAGACTGCTCTTGTGAACCAGATCTTACATCAACAGGCTCGCGAACATGCTGATGATTTCCATGTGGTACGACTTAACGGCTTCATACATACCGATGACAAGATCGCTTTGCGAGAGATTTGGCGACAGCTGGGCCGTAAGATGGAGCTGGATGAGGCCGAAGGACCAGCGAAGAACTATGCAGATACTCTCGCAACACTCCTAGCACTGCTCTCACACCCTGCTGAGCAAGGACGCGATCAGCCTGGACAAGTCACCAAGAGTGTTATCTTCATTCTGGACGACTTCGAGTTGTTTGCTACTCATCCCAGGCAAACGCTACTCTACAATCTGTTCGACATTGCGCAAAGTAGGAAGGCACCGATTGCTGTTCTAGGTCTGACAACAAAGATCGATGTCTCCGAAAGTCTCGAGAAGCGGGTGAAATCTCGCTTCAGTCATCGATATATGCATCTTGGGCTGGCGAAGAGCTTTGCAGCATATCGTGAGAGCTGTAAAGCCGCGCTTTCCATTAGCGGTGATACTGATCTGGCTGAGGCAACGAGAGAGGCTTGGGGTGAAGTGATTGACCACTTCCTGTCATCTTACGCAGTCGAGCAGCATCTGCGACGGCTATACTACACCACAAAATCCGTCTCCGACTTCATGAGCAGTCTACTTTTACCAATGGCCACATTACCCACTGGTGCAAACACCACCTCACGGGATGTCCTCAACCATCTCACGGCAGCCATCTCAGCCACGGCATTGAGCCCACACGACAACAAGCTCACACTCCTCCCAAGTCTCAGCACATTACAACTCGCACTGTTAATCTGCGCAACCCGACTGACAGCAATCTACAACACCGAACTCGTATCTTTCCTACTAGCCTACGAAGAGTACAAAATCCTCGCTTCAAAAGCCAAGATTCAGGCTTCTGTATCCGGTGGCGTAGGTGGAGCAGGCAGAACTTCAGGAAAGGAAATTGCGAGGGTGGCGTGGAGGGAGCTGATTGATTGTGGGTTTGTGATTGAGGATGGGAGGGGTGGTGGTGGTGGTGGTGGAAGTGGAAGGGTTGATGTTGGGTTGGAGGAGTTGGGCATGTGTGGGGCGGATCTTGGTGGGTGGGGAAGGTGGTGTAGGGAGATATGATCTATAATAACAGCATAGACGACTACTGGGGCTCTACATCAACTGTCAATGCATGAATCAGCTCGAGTTAGACTTTAACCCCTTCTCGACGGCGGAACCTCGGGCTTTGAACGCTAGACATCATGTATGGTCAGGATTTCACAACTTACAGCATGGGAGGATTTCCAGCTTCGACAGCATGTCCCTGGACCGCT